TCTGAAACCTTGCTGTTCATCTGCTAAGCATGTTAAGTCGTTTATTTTGGTTGTTATCACTTTTGTCGTAAGTTTTAGTGTGGTGCTTAGAAGATTTATGCCTCTATAGTTTGAGGGCAGCTTCTTATCTCCTCTTTTAAACATCAAGATAGTGGTGCTGGTTAGCCATTCATCGGGTATCCTGTGTTGGTAAAGAATTTTTTGAATCAGGGATGTTAGTTGCTGTATGAGACTTTGGCCGCCATATTTAAGTAATTCGTTTGGGATATCATCTTGCCCTGGGCTCTTCCTATTCTTTAGCTTTCGAAGGGATGTAATTATATCGGCTGCCTCAATCTGTACGTTGTCGTTGGTCATTATTTCGGGTGTATTTAGTTCAACCGCTATTTCTTCTGATTTGTATAGTTCTGACAAGTAATCAATCCACAAGTTCTGACAAGTAATCAATCCACCGTTATAATGTGAATGAATAATTTGGCATATAAAATATATCAAATAGACATGTTCAACGTTTTTTTTTTGAAAAATTTTAATAATTATTGCTTTTTCCATTAGCTAAAAATAAGTGGGTAATTTAGATAAACCCACGCTTCTAAGTTAACTACAAGACCGTATTTTTGTTATAGTATATAATCATTTGGAAAGAATAATATATTTTTTTAAGCCACACATATTTAATGAATTTCTATTTTATATGTTTATATATTAACTAAATACATAAAATCCCACATGATATCTAAAATATGTGTTTTAAAAATTAATGAAAATTAATTGAGTAAGATAAATACAGTAAATTAACAAATTAATTTACTTTTTTGTCGTGCTAGTGCATGTGTGTTTATATTTATTATTCAAAAACTGATTATTAAAAACAAATACTACTGGTTGATTAAATACAATTAAAAATACTAATAATGTCGATCTGAGTCATTTTGCGTTTTATTGTTTATTTACGTGTTTTTGAATAAAATGTTTTAAAACTGATGTAGATTGTTATACTGTGAAAAGCATTAGTACATTTACTTTGATAGCTAGCTAATGCATTTTTTTAATTTAACAAAAGATTATTTTGTTTACGGATTATTTATGCGTTTTTTAATCCAAATCCATGTAAAAAATAACTATAACTACTTCATCCAGCTAATAAATTTCCTGTTATCCTTGCTAATTTTCTAATATCACGGTCCCATCTCAAGTTTGATCTTCCTCTGCTGTAATTCTTGTGATCCATCTGTTGTCCGTCCTTCCTGCCAGATGTCCTGCCCATTGCCATTTGAGGGATTTGATTCTGTGGATGACATCTATTACCTGTGTCTTTCGTCGTATCCACTCTATTCTTTTACGGTCTCCCTTGGTTATTCCCAGCATATTTCGTTCCACTGAGCGTTGTGCGACTTGTAGTTTCTTTATACTGTCCGTTTTAAGTGTCTAGGTTTCGCACGCATAGGTCACTACTGATAGCACACATTGGTCGTATGTTTTCTTCTTTAGATAAAGTGGCATTCAAGATTTGAATACGATTGAGTTTCTTCCATAAGTACTCCATGCTAACTTAATTCTTCTGTTGATTTCTGGTAGTAGAGATCCCGAGCTGTGTATTGTGCCGTTTATTAGAATGTCTTTTCTGTCTACCAGTTCGTTGTACCTTACGTTATTTTCATTGTACTTCGTTGTTTTCGTTTTCGTTGTACTTTAGTTTTTGCTGAATTCAATTTGAGACCTACTTTATTGGTTAGGCTGTATTTAGTTCGTTAATTTGTGCTTGTGGACTATTCTACAGGGGTCTCTTTATTACTATTCTACAGGGTTGTTCACTACATACGACACGGAGTATTGTAGCTAAACGATTATATTTTTACAAATTTCAAGTTTTGGGTTCGATGAAGGACTATTAGAGGTACAATTTAAAAATAATTTACAAGATACAGAGTGTCCCAAATAAGTAAAAAATATCAAAGTTGTATTTTTTTAAATGGAACACCCTGTATATTATTACATTTTTAGTTTCTACGACTAAAATAAAGGTAAATTTGATTAAGGTTTATTACACTTAAACCTTACCGTTTTTTGAAATATTTTCAATTTTGTGAAATTGCAGTAAAAATTTTAAGGCTTCATTTCTCCAAGGGTATCAAAGTTTTTAATACTAAATATTTACTGAAGTTTATTTATTGATCAGTTATTGTGTTGCAATAATAAAAATAATACTACCTTATACAGAGTGTCTAAAAATTTATTTTAAATAATTTATAGCTTTAAACGCCAATAACTTGTTTAATTTAAATGGAACGCCCTGTATATTTTAGGAGAATCAGATGCACAATTTAATTGTCTATCAAATTGTATTACACCATTTTTACCTATCCCTTCAAGTTTTCGTAGAAAATGCATTTTCTTATAATTTAGACCTCATTCATCAATATACCCATGGAATATTGGCATTTTATTATTGACACCCATAGAATATTGACATCATATATTGACATTCTAGTAACATTATCGTTTTGCTAAAAACAATAATGTTGTATGCAAAAAGAAAACTATTTAAATCTTTATAAAAGAATATACCATTAATTAAATATAGCACCGCCCATATACTAATTAATTACATACTTAATTGTATTCGTTAATAAATTATTCTAAATAAATGTGGATTTGAGTCAGAAATCAATATAATAATAAGTTATCAAAATTAAAGTCTCTGTTGTTAGAAATAAGCATTTATTAAAAAATGAAATATCATTTTTAAGGTGTTACTTTTTATCACACTGTCTAATACCCATACAAAATTCAGTTTTTTTTAGTATTTGGAACAATTATTATTAATCAATGCAGTCAGTTAATGTAGTTTGAATACTGGAATCATATTAATTGGTCCTCTTTAACAAATATTTAAATAGTTTTTTTTATTTTTTAATGAAATAAACGAATTATATCCACAATATTAGTATCTGTACTCTTTAAAAATTTGGTACATCTTTAAAAATAATCTAAAATGTCAATATTCCATAGGTATATTGATAAATAAATTCTAAATTACAAGAAAATGCATTTTCTACGGAAACTTAAAGAGATAGGTAAAAAATGGTATAATATAATTTGATAGACAATTAAATTGTGCATCTGATTCTCGTAAAATATACAGGGTGTTCCATTTAAATTAAACAAGTTATTGCCGTTTGAAGCTAATAATAATTTAAAATAAATTTTAGACACTCTGTATAAGGTAGTATTATTTTTATTATTGCAACACAATAACTGATCAATAAATAAACTTCAGTAAATATTTAGTATTAAAAACTTTGATACCCTTGGAGGAATGAAGCCTTAAAATTTTTACTGCAATTTCACAAAACTGAAAATATTTCAAAAACGGTAAGGTTTAAGTATAATAAACCTTAATCAAATTTACCTTTATTTTAATTGTAGAAACTAAAAATGCAATAATATACAGGGTGTTCCATTTAAAAAAATACAACTTTGATATTTTTTACTTATTTGGGACACTCTGTATCTTGTAAATTATTTTTAAATTGTACCTCTAATAGTCCTTCATCGAACCCAAAACTTGAAATTTGTAAAAATCTCATCGTTTAGCTACAATACTCCGTGTCGTATGTGGTGACCAACCCTGTATATCATCAGTACAAAAATATAAAAATACTTATTTAAAATATGTCTAAAAACGACAAATATCAAATTAAAAACAGAAAATAGGTAAAGAAATAAAAGAAAAACAGTAATCAGCTGATACACAGTCTTAATACGCAGGTATGTTCTTTTGATTCTTGCTTTAAGGTTATGAATGATCAAAATTCTGATTGGAACGCAAAAGTTATAGTTCACTAAACGATTTTCTCGTTGATGGAACGCATTTTCTCTACTGTGTATAGGGTAACCGTATCAAGAACGGTTCTCTTTTATCTTGGAACAAACCTAAGAAAAACCTGAAGTAAGCTATTATCAAATATGAAATTAATATGAAATATTTAGACCACAACGTAAATCTTGTGACATTTTACAAAAAAAATACAATTTTTTCAGTAGCAAAATACTTTTTCAACTTTTAGTATTTTTTCAAAAATCATGTACAGGGTGGGTCAAATTCGACGCTTTTAAATGGAAACACCCTTTTCTATAGGAGATAGACAAAAACTAATATCGGTGTCTGGAGCTCAATTTTCATCAAAAACATAATGGTGAAAACCGCACATCAATATCTGTTACCGTTTCGGAGTTACGGGGCGTTTTTCAAAAATGTGCATTTTTAACAAATCGCTGTAACTTTTTTACTATGGAAAATTTTGTATTTCTATAAAAACATTTCCAAAGCACCTTTTTACGTAGAATTTAATGGTTTAAGTATAATTTTTTTAAAATTAATACTTTACGAGTTATCAACAGAAAATTTGATTTTTTATTTGGGACATCCTCTATATTTTTAATTAACTGAAAAGAATTTAAAATTACCTTTCCAAAAATATAGCACACCTGATATTTTGTTATAATCCCCTTCGAAATACAGAATTTTTAAAAGTTTGCCACTTTAAACTAGTAGGCTTTGGACCACTTATTGATGATATGCCCTTAATGGAACTCGAAAACATATTTTTCCAGCAAGACGACGCACCGCCTCTGAACGCTGAAGTTATCAGCAAATTTTTGCAGCCAATTTCAAGAATAATTGAATAGCTAACCAAGATCCCAGCCGTTGGCCGTCGAGGCCGCCTGACTTAGTGCCCATGGATCTAATCCTATGGATATATTTGCGGAAGAATTAGTAATGTTGGTCGCGAATATGTGGGAAAAGGGTGTTTCCATCTAAAAGCGTCGAATTTGACCCACCCTGTACATATTAATTAAATCATTGAAGCATTTCCATTATCCTTGATGAATGTAAGCAGTAAATAAATACACATAAACAAAAAATAAACGCTCCCAAGCTATTATTGAAGCACCCGCAGAACTTGACACAAGCCCTCTTTGTACCGAGGACTCACCAAAGAGTAACAACCATCGACCGACAAAACTGCTATATCGATGGGCGAGGTGTGATTGGCCACGCATATAGCGCCACCTTGCGGACGCCATTTTCGATTATGTATCCGAATAACAGCAGAGACCGATCGGATTATTATCCGAAAAGCCATCATGTAGATCTTGCTGTGGACCCAGCGCTTCAGGATACCGGGCGGTATGAAGCCGATAAAGGGTGTTGTTACTAGTAAGAGCATTACCTGTCATTGAAATTTTAGTTAGTAAAAGCGTTGATTGAAAGAATTCAGAAGATACGCAACCCAATGGGCAAATTCGTGACAAGGCTGATTTGATTTCCCCTTACGTCTCAGGTGCTGTACGGTGGAGGCACCAATCGTTCTGCAGTCAATGCATAAAACACTTATTTTCTCTAATTCGGCCAGCGAAGACATATCGAAGACGGTGTGGGACTGAAAGCGACAGTGTTGCCATATTAAAATGTGTAATATCTGTAATACGTTTGACGAACATATCTTTGGATGAAAAATTCGCGTTTATGTATTGAAAAGTTATTCATGTTAAACACAGAATAAACAACAAAAATAAAATTCTTTTATAGGTACTGAATACTTCGTAGATTCGCAGAAAGTCGTTTAGTTGGCTTGGAAATGACGATAATTGACATTTGCCATAATATTTTACATATGAAATAACAGCGATCTTCATTTCCAAGCCAACTCTGACGCTATTCTTTATTTAATCGTATTATAATATATTAAATTGTACTGTACCAAAAATTTGTAAATCTACGGAATAATCCGTAGTTCTAGCAACACTGTCTCCGGCAACCACTCACTCTGTCGACGAAAAGCAGAACTACGGTACAGTATTCTTTATCCGCTGCGCTATAAACGACTATCAGCGCGCAGCGGCGCAGAGCTGAACTAAATCTCGGACAGGCTGACGGTAACGCCAACTACATCTCGGACATGTTTTGTGCCACGAAATCGCCCATAAGGTTGCGCATCTTCTTATTTCTTCAATCAAGAATAAAAGTAAAAAAAAATAATTAAATATATAATTTTGTATCATAATGTCAAAAGTTGACATATGATTTGTCATTCTATTCAGAGTGTCATTCTCTATTGAATAAAGTTGTAGTCATTTCCGGTGAAACAGGAAGTAACCAAAAACAAATGAATACGTCAATCAATCCTAATTTATACCATATATTAATATACCAAGTCTCGTTTTTTACCTGAAAAAATAAAAAAGTTATAGGGGTGAGCCACTTTTGAGACGCACCCGGTATATCCTCTTTTTATCACCAATAAAACGGTGTAAAGAATTTCAAATTTTCTCGGATATGACTCAAATTGAGATTTATTGAACTATGAACGAACAATAATAGTTATATTATTGATATTTCAAATTCCTTGACTTTTCTAAACAGTAAAAATCTAAGAAAACAACTTGACTCATCGCGTTAAAATTTAAAATGTTTTTCCAAAATTGGTTTCGTTCAGCTTTCTAATTTTTCGTTGCAGCTACAAAATACACCAACGCTAAAAACACCAACTTAGGCCGTATGAATCATTCTAATTTTGAAAGAGGTTTGCGCCAAAAAAGATCAAACGATGATGACTCCGAATAAAGGAAAGAATGTTATCTATGGGTAGCGTGTATCGGTAATATTACCGGTAATATTATGGTAACATTGGTAATTTATAAAAAACAGCTTTTGAGACTGTTAGCTTTTGAGGCCCGTTAGCTTCAAAAATCGTTATCCACTTAGAGATTGGCTTAAACAAGTGATAAGTTGCTTGTATTTGTAGCCAAAATTCGTTTCGAAGCAGAGGGCTTAAGGCAGGCGGCCACTGCGAGCGAAACTAAACTAATCGAAGATAAGATTTGTAAAAATCAGCTTCCATACTTTTTAATGCGTCAGCGGCTACTTGACCGAAACAAACGAAAATATATGAACGAAGATTCGAATCGCAGTTTAGTTTCGCTCGTTTTAGTTCGTGACAGGTTCCAGCGAATTTTTCGCAGCGATTAGTTCTATGATAGCAGAGATACAATACGAAAACTTAGCTGACTACTGAGCGAAAATAGTTCCCAGTGGAGTTCCCATTTAATTACCGTTTGTTTTCATATTCTTAGCTTAGTTTAGTTAAGGCAGGCGGCCACTGCGAGCGAAACTAAACTAAGCCAAGTAAAGATAAGATTTGTAAAAATCAGCTCCCATACTTTTAAATGCATCAGCGGCCACTTGAGCGAAACTAAACGAAAATATGTGAACGAAGATTCAAATCGTAGCTTAGTTTCGCTCGTTTTAGTTCGTGACAGGTTCCAGCGAATTTTTCTCAACGATTAGTTCTATGATAACAGAGATACAATACGAAAACTTAGCTGACTACTGAACGAAAATCGTTCCCAGTGGAGTTCCCATTTAATTACCGTTTGTTTTCATATTCTTAGCTTAGTTTAGTTAAGGCAGGCGGCCACTGCGAGCGAAACTAAACTAAGCCAAGCGAAGATAAGATTTGTAAAAATCAGCTCCCATACTTTTAAATGCATCAGCGGCCACTTGAGCGAAACTAAACGAAAATATATGAACGAAGATTCGAATCGTAGTTCAGTTTCGCTCGTTTTAGTTCGTGACAGGTTCCAGCGAATTTTTCTCAACGATTAGTTCTATGATAGCAGAGATACAATACGAAAACGCAGCTAACTTAGCTGACTACTGAGCGAAAATCGTTCCCAGTGGCCGATGAAACTTATTTTCGCTTAGTTACCGTTTGTTTTCATATTCTTAGCTTAGTTTAGTTTCGCTCGCAGTGGCCGCCCGCCTTAAGAATATACAAAAGAAACGGTAATTAAACGAAAATAAGTTTCATCAGCCACTGGGAACGATTTTCGCTTAGTAGTCAGCTAAGTTAGCTGCGTTTTCGTATTGTGTCTCTGCTATCGTAGAATTAATCGCTGCGAAAAATTCGCTGGAACCTGTCAACCTGGAACTAAAACGGGCGAAACTAAGCTACGATTTGAATCTTCGATCACATATTTTCGTTTAGTTTCGCTCAAGTGGCCGCTGATGCATTTAAAAGTATGGGAGCTGATTTTTAAAAATCTTATCTTCGCTTAGCTTAGTTTAGTTTCGCTCGCAGTGGCCACCCGCCTTTACTGTGTTTTGTAAAAGAACATCAGAAATATCAACTGCCAAGCTTTTTAATGGATGTTTAGTGCCCAAAAAGCTTTTTAGACGAGAAACAAAAGAGCCTCATCTTGTTTTCACAACAAAAAGGAAAAGAATAGAGCGGGAAAAAAGCAATACTTCCAATGTTACCGATCTTGCGATAATATTCCGAAATATTACCAAAATTACCGGTAATATTACCCTTTACATCGCTATCTATGGGTGTTTTTCAAAAGAATCTAAATCATAACTAAATCATTTTGTATTTTACTTACCCCGCAAAAACATATGGTGACTCTTAATGGAAGAAGGAAGAAATATCGTACGAAAAATCCACAAAGCCATATGAAGGTGAGCTTCCACGAGATGAATTCATAACCGCGATTGGTTCGGATGAGGAGGTTCCAGTTTTTCAGCTCTTCAGTTTCAAATCTAGAGGTCACTTGGTCTTCTATTATGGCTTCCATGCCAGCTTTGGTGTAGTCCAAGATGGTACAAAGTTGAAAATTGAAAACTTTCTCCTGTAAATAATGGCATATACATCGTAACTACAATACAAAAAGTAAAAACTTTTTTATTATTGACATTTTGAGAAAAATGTATTTTCATAATAAAGATTTTTGCTCGTTCGAAAATGGTTAATTCTGTTTATACTTTCCAAATTTCCATACTGTCTTAGAGAAAATTAAAAAAAAAATAAAATATGGTTGAATTTTTTTGGTAAAACTCAAACAAGTCCTAAAAATCCTTTGAATAAGAAGACTAAAGAAGGAGCATATCAAAAATCTTAGGTCCACCCCGATGGGCCTCAAATATGGCCGACTTAAATTCCGGTTTATCAGTGCCGTTCTAATTTTATTTAAAAAATGAAAACTATGATGTAGGGTAGACGTGGGGTAGACTCAATAATTTATTAGTTTATTTTACGTTGTGAATAAATGTTGGTAGTTATTAAAATTGTTATAAAAATATAAAATTCTAATAAAAAATAGATAAGTTATAATAATTATTTATAACCACAAACATCCGATACGCTACTGAAGCAGGTAAGTCAAACTGACGTATCTAAATTCTTTGACATCTAATCTTTGACAAGTAGTAAATAAAAGCAAAAATGCAAGAACAAATATATAATTAGTTAATTTTAGTGAATTTCATAAATGATCGTTTTACTACACGTATGTATATTATATAGTCACTTACTAGCGAAAAGTTGTTCCATTATTTCACTCGATTTTTGCCGAGATCTACCGCACGCTACACAACCAACTATTTTAGAGTCTTTTTCGATAATGTGTCAAATGAATCGTCAAACAGAACTGTCAAGGATCCCCACCCTAGAGTGCTTTTATGGCGCTTTTTCCGCCCACCATGCATGAATACATGGATAGCATTATGCTCCTTCCTTAGCCTTCTTATTCAAAGTAAAAATCAAAAGACGTTTTTATGGCAACAATCTATCAAAGAATAAAAACGAAATTATATTACCATAGAAACGCGTTTTGATTATTAAGACTTAGGAAAAATACCATTATATCTTCATGTAGTACGAGAGCTAGCAACGTCGGAAAAACAAGTAATTTAAGACGTCTGGCTCTTTTATATATCTTTTACTATGCTCTCTAGGACCGCATGAGGCCCATCTGGCTGCCGGTAAACGTTGCGTTCCCTACTGCTGCGCATTGAAAGAAGATTCTATCTGCGCTATATTTTTATTAGTCCTTTAAATTCTAGTATTGAATATAAATCGAACATGTCTCCATAGCGCAGTGTGTAGAGTTTCCGACCATGAACCGAGTTCGAATCCGGGTCAGGGCAAAGACTTTTTTATTTTATTTTCGTTTATAGTCTGATAGTAAAGTATTAAATATTTTTTTTTAATTACCAGAATTATTTAATACTTTACTATCAGAATATAAACGAATATAAAATAAAAAAGTCTTTGAGCTGACCCGGATTCGAACTCTGAATCATCGGTTCCTGGTCGGAAACTCTACGCACTGCGCTATGGAGACATGTTCAATTTATATTCAATACTAGAATTTATAGGACTAAATTAATAAAAAATATAGGATCTTCTTCCGATGCGCAGTAGTGAACGCAACGGGTATCGGCAGCCAGACGGGCCGCATGATGTTTCAGAGAGCATTGTAAAAGATATATCAAAGAGTCAGACGTCTTAAAATACTTTCTCGAAAACGTTGCTAGCTCTTAGACTAATCTTTTTCTTAGTTTTTTTTTTCTAAAACGGTTTGGAAATTTGGAAAAGTATAAAATGATTAATAACATTAGGACAAGCAATTAGAAATAACAATTAACAATTAACATTAGGACAAGCAATTATTAGAAATAACCATTAGGACAAGCAATTTTTTTATGAAGAATACATTTTTCTCAAAATGTCAATAATAAAAAAGTTTTTCCTCTTGTAAAGACAATCCAGGAACATACTGTATAGATAGGTTAATCATACCGGGTATTTTTCAAGTGGTTCACCCTTATAACTTTTTTACTTTTTCAGAAAATAAAACGAGATTCGGTATGGTAGTACATGATTTAAATCAGTATTGATTGATGTATTCGATTATTTTCTGTCACTTATATTCTGTCACAAATATAATTCTAGTAAACCAATTTGATGTAGGCCTAGGAGACCGGTTACCTGCATGCCATCGACCCAGATATGTTATTAAATAATATTAATAATTAAACAATTAAAATATAACAATCTCGGCCCTCGGGTCGATAATCAAACGCAGGTCACCGAAGTACGATTTCCTCGTGGTCATAGCCGGGTTAGTGCAATCAGATTGTAAACTATTGAACGACGTAACCAGCGATGACTACGAGGAATAGAAGGATATAAAATTGGTCAAGTGCGAGTCGGACTCGCGCACGAAGGGTTCCGTACCACTCATTATCTATACAACATTAGACACTATAATATTATAAACTTTTTTTCCGATTTAGCTGAAATTTTGAATGCGCGTATAAGTAATTTAAAAAAAAATGAAGAAACACATTACTAAAAATTGTATTAATCAATAATAAATATGTAAAAAGTAAAAATATTTAAAAATATGTAAAAATTAAAAAAAGGTCGCCTTGACTAGGATTCGAACCTGCCTTACTACGGCTCCAACGTCATAGCAGCGTAAAGTCGTAACGCTTTAACCACGCGGCCACCGAGGACTTGAAAGATTCTATGTAAAATTCTTACTTAAAAGATAATGTTTAGTGAAAGTACTTTTTTATTTATAAACATTTATTTAATTCTGTTTTTAGTATTTGTTCTTATAGCGGCAACATAGATTCATTATCTGTGAAAATTTCAACTGTCTAGCTATCACGGTTCATAAGATAGACCTTTGTGACAGACGGACGGACGGACAGCGAAGTCTTAGTAATAGGGTTCCCGTTTTTACCCTTTGGGTACGGAACCCTAAAAAAGAGTATACTGAAGAGAACGGGGTTAATTGCATTATGAAGTTGATAGTCAAATGGTTAATCAATAGCTAGTCAGCCAGTTAGTCAGATAGTGAGTTAATTGACCAGTCGGGAGATGTTCTTGTAAGTACCTCTGTAAGTCTTGGTATTTCCAAGAATTGTACTTCATTCTTTTAAAAATTTAAACTATTGTATATTTTTGCACAATAAATGTATATTTTTCTAATTGTTGTTTTCCGGTGAAACACGAAGTGACCAAAACTGACTGAATACGTCAATCAATCCTGATTTATGTCATATACAAACATACCAGTCTTAATTTTTTATCTGAAAAATTAAAAAGTTATATGAATGAGCCACTTTTCAAAAAACACGCGGTACTGAATTAAACGTAAACATAAAAATCTTAGCTATAGAAAAAGGTAAACAAATTTGATTTGCCTATTAATTTGTTTTCCTTTCCAACACAGTGTTATCAACATGTTTACTAGCGGCTGCATTTTTGATTCTTTATAATAATGTTTATATAACTTGTTATCGCTATTAAATTTACTGTGTAATATACACGAATTAATTTAAGACAGTGACGTACTTGTCTTTCTTTGAACTCTTCCTCGATGTCATTCTCTTCAGATTTGTGATCGATCATTGGGACGTTGACTGGATCCGGCAGCAATATGTGTCGGTCTTCTCGACTAAACAAAATAAAACAAACATCAAATATGTTCGAATATCCATACGATCGAAAAAAAACGGCGTCAAAGACGGCTGGGGAATGACAATCTATGATAATTTTGACAAGGTCAAGCCTTAGACGTTATTTACTTGGCCTATACTCTACATACAGTTGGCCTTAAAAAGGCTGTAATTTATTTTAATACTGTTTAAAATACGAGACAAAATATTTTTTTGGAAATAGATTTGTGTCTGGAAACGATCTATACTTTTTTAATCGTTCTAGTGTTTACATTTGACAAGTTTTATGTCAATTTTTAGTAAACGACGTCTAGACATTGATCTCGCCAAACTTACGGACCTTTTAAAAAAAAATAATTTTTATTCAGAAACTATTTGACACGAGTTTACCAAAAATGTTTTTATACCTACTACTGGTTAAATGATTTGTAGATATAGTCTATAAAATGAATAACTTTGAATTTTAACCGTTATTTTTTACCAACATGGCAAATATAAAATCCCTCTGTCAAAAAAGTTACTGATATTCTTTAAATTGAGTGCCTGAACGAATCAGATAGGTAACTCTTTTTACTTTCGTGAAATAGAAAAGGAAAATAATAAAACAAGTGACAGTTCTTCCTCTTCTTGCAAAAATCAACACGAAATGACATAATTGTCAAAAGTAAAATGACATCAGCTTTTGACATTTTTAAATATCAGACCAATGCTGTCTCTAATAGAACAGCCTCGGAGCGAGATTTATGACGTCACGCTAGTTAGATACTACGGATTAATAAATATGTTGTAGAATACATGGAAAACATAATTATTCATCGTATTTTTGGTTTGTATTTTAAAAATGATATAGTTTACATGAAATATACATAATATATACAGTTAATAAATGCAATATATATACCTATTTATAGTAATAAATACTTTGGCAAATCAACTATGAACCATACAAAGCAGCAAATGTTTTCCAATATATATACTAATAATGAATAGGTACATAAGATAATGGATAATTGGATAATGGTAATAATAATGGTTAAAATGTAAAATATATTTTAAATTTGAGGGTTTGAAAATCGATCTAATTTAACAAAAAACATTCAATATCTACTAATAGTGATGTATTATTATTTACATTCACAAAATTTATATGCATATTTCGCAAGTATCAATGTTCGAAAAATTATATTTGCAAATAATACAATATCATAGAAAAACAGGCGTCAGCGATGGCTATGAAATAAAGATCGCTGTCATTTTATATGTAAAATTATTCTAAATTTTTTATTTTTTTGGGATTTAGGTTCGGGAAAAACGCTGATTAAGTTTTCATTTGGTTTGTCATTTTTTTCATTTTTTTTGTTTAAAAAAAACGTTTCGGCTAACATTATAGCCTTCATCAGTGTTGTGTCATGAAAAAAATAGTGTCGAATATAATCCAAAAAATTACATATAAAATATTCTAAATATATATGTTACTGTAAATGTTCGAAATGCGGTAAAACCTAGGATTTACCAAGATAGTAAAAATCAACCAACCCCACCAAATAACCACCTAACCAATGCAATAACACCACCCAAATAACCAGGCTAACCAATGCATTAACACCCTCCAAATAACCAGGCTAACCTAATTAGTTAATGCCTTTGGTAAATCCTAGATTTGGCGCGCTTATCCTAGGTTTTACTGCATTTCGGACATTTACAGTAACATATATATTTATTAATTAATACATATTTATTAATCCGTAGTATCTAACTAGCGTGGCGTCATAAATCTCGCTTCGAGGCTATTCTATTAGAGACGGCATTGCGTCAGCATGGCCGCAAGTTGCTAACCTAATAGAATTAATTTCAGATTTTTCAATAAATAAACACTAGAAAAGCCCACGGGAACTGTCAAATTCAAAGTTATTCGTTTCACAGACTATATATACGAGCAGTATGACTTTTTTTGAAACTAGTTTCGGAGATAGAGTTTACCAAAAATGTTTTTTATTCCTACTACTACTACTAATCATCAATTATATCATTACCCAGCCAAGAAACAAAATAAAAACCAGCATACAGTGTTGCCGGTTCGAACCTGTATAGGCATTTTTCATAAACGGCTACTTGGGCGGTGATAATTCTTGATTCAAAATCCGGCAATAACGCATAGATAAAATGTTTTCTCTTTTAAATAACTTTTTTCTCTTTTAAGCATATTCGATTTGTCATTAAGCTGTCTCCATCAGCGACCTACACGTTAAAATCCAAACAATGGGTCTAGAGTGACCAAATCTGTATAGTTCTTCTCACATAACTATTCCCAATATGACGAAAATCCCGTCAAATCAATGAAAATCGGTATTTTTTGATAAAAATAAGTTTTTATTAATAAAAACAGAATCAAAAAAAAATTGTGCGTGCAGGGGCGGATACAGAAATTTATTTTAGGGGGAGCCCAAATAAAAAATAATGCAAAATATGCCTTTTAGGGCGCCATTTTTAATCCAAAAGCCTAATATTTAACCCAATTTACAGATTTTAGGGGGGGCCCGGGCCCCATGGGCCCCCCTCTGTATCCGCCACTGTGTGCGTGCACTATGTGCGCATATTTGATATGAAACTTCTTACTATCAGCTATTAAATTGGCGGATTTGAAAGACATGTTTGAAAATGTCACATATAATGCTGTTTTAATATAAATGCTATTTTCAATTTATTTCTGTAATCTGAGCCTGTAAATTTTGTGGCATACCATCCAAAGTACACACTTTTATGCAAATGCCTAATAATGTTAACGCTTAAATTTATTTAAGAAGAGACAAATTTTTGAACCTAACCAACAATTCGTATTTATAGTGGTTTATAATAATTGTATTAAATTATACGAATATTTTCGTTGATTATTGGTTTGAAATAAATATGACGATATCCTCCAATGAAAATGCAAGTTGCTTAACTCTAATAATTCTAATTTTGAGCTAGCAAATGAGTAGGGTTCCCAACCGTCCCGGTTTGGCCGGGATTAACCAGGAATAAGAAAGTTTGTCCCGGCGAAAGTTTTGTCTTGGCCGGGACCTGGTAACTAAAAAAGTGTGTACTACACACATAATATATATTTTTCTCTAATATTTAATGTTTTGTTTCAATTATTTAAAAGCTTAAAGATAATTGTCCCGGAATCGCCGATGCTCAAGTTGGGAACCCTACAAATGAGCTAAAGGCTTTACATAGACAGAAGCTACAAATCTATTAATGAAAATATGCATGAAAATTCACTTCCTAGCACACAACCAGAGGATTTTGGTACACAGGTACAGTATCAAGTTTATTATAATGCTTTTCTTAGCTTTAAATCAAATGTTTCCTGGTGTTTGCGCGATACTTTATACGTCCACGCATGGTCAAGGTCATGTCGTGTCAAGGCCATGAGGTGTCACGGCATTGAATTTTTACTCCCATCGCGCGTAAAGAAGTTTCACTTCAAAAATATACAATTTTAGTTATTTGAATAATTTTCTTTTAAATGACATGTAAAATGTAATTAATAAGTAGTGGAAAGTCTTAAAATGCGCTGTAGTATTAGAATTTCATAATTACTGAACAGAGATATTTATTTATTTTTTAAGTTTATATCAACATTGAATATAAGTAACCTCCAAATATAGTATTTCCTTTTCAGTAATCCCCTATAATCCCCACGTTTTCTGCAAAAAAGTTTTAATTCCAAATAATAAAAAAGAAAAGATATCACATAGTGATACAAAACTAATATCAACATTTACTTTGCCAATCATAAATCAATATAGTGATATCTTATTAAACTTATCAGAATAAATATTTATTTATATTTTGTTTTAACTAATAATATTGCGGTGTAGTATCAATAAATAATACAATAAAATTTCTTGTTTAATTTTATATACAAGGTGACCTGAATTACTTGGACTAAACTTTAAACCGCCATTTCATAAAACATGAATATATGAAGAACCATCTTTGTGAACAACATTTAAAAACGATTTTTCTGTTTATCTCATACGTAAATGAAATTTCTGTATTTTTTCATTTAAAATTGACCTTTCGATATTCTAAATTTTTATGTAATTTAGTTATATATTTTGTCAGTAGTATTTTTCCCATGTCTAAAGAAGAATATATAACTTATATATATTTAAATATATTTTTTAATATGATCTATACCGGGTGTTGCATCGTCCAGCGGGACATAGAAAATCCCATGTAAATTTTAATGGGGTTAATTATTGGTTTCCCTAATTATTTTAGAGAATAATTCTATTTAGGTTTATTGAAGAGCACTAAAACCCACATTTCAAAAGAATAACTTTAGATATTTTTGATTAGCCCGTTTACGGGTTATCGCCGATTTCTTTTTAAATATTTCTCCTTTCTTATGGCCCTGTATTTACTTATGAGCACCAGTCAAGGTAAAAGATAACTGTCAAATGAAGTTGTCATTTCAGAAATTTACCTATTTAGTGCTTTATTATTATTGAAAACTCATTCCTACATCGAAAATCTTAAAGATGTATTTATAAATACAAATTAATATAAATTAAAGTAAAATAAAGTAATCAATTACAAGGTTAATTATAGTATTATTACAATATTCAATAACTTATTAATTTAGGTACTATTAAATTGTTAGAACTTTAGGATTTAAGATGTTCAAATATTCCTGCATCGACTGCTAGACAATAACCCAGGCGATCATAAAATTTCTTCTTACAGTCGCTAGTTGGTAAACAGAAATTCTATATTGCATTCAGCAGAAATAGAATTTTTTAATTCGTCTAAATTTGGGTATTTTTTATCCTTGTATATCCTGTTTTTTAAATGGCCCCAGAGAAAGAAATCATTTGGCGAAATATCAGGAGACCTTGCTGGCCAATTTACTGTATGATTTAGGCCAATAACGTTTCCGTTAAAACTATTGTCTAAATATTCCCAAACAGCCAGGGTACTATGTGCCGGGCAGCCATCCATATGGTACCAAACTTCCTGATTTTCCTAGCGGAATCATGTAAAGCAGGTAAAATATGATTTTCGAGGAGTTCCAAATAATATTCTGCATTTAAATTTCGCGTAAGAAATAATGGCCCGATAATATTGTGTCCGAATATCCCTGCCCAAACATTTACTTTCTGTGGATATTGCGTCCTTGTTTCGACAAACCTGTGTTGGTTTTCTTTGCTCCAATATCGATAATTTTGAACATTGGGTTCATTATTTAAGGTAAACGTGCATTCATCAGTAAAACATATGTTTTTTTTTAAATTCCCTATCCATGTTTGCTCTTTCCATCATATCATAACAAAACGCCTGCCGCCGTATTTCGTCCCCATCTCGTACCTCTTGGTGCTTTTCATATTTGAAGGAATAGTATTTATGTCGTTTCAAAATTCGAAACGCTGTAGTGTGATCTATTCCTATTTCATCCTCAAGTTTCCTTGTGCTGATCTTTCCATCGATTCTTTCCATCGTTCTCTTCCACGCACAATAAAACTTCCAAGTCGGTATCATTTCTTGCATCTTCTCTTTGTTCCTGCCTTGCTTCACATCTGCAGTTATTTATTAGGGTACCTTTGGTCTCAAATCTCTGGATATTCCTTGCGATTGTAGATTTTCCAGGTATCGGTCTATTCGGATACAGAGCAGCAAACATGTCCGACACCTTTTGATAATTATTTCCTTGATAATACCATATAATCATCAATACTTTTTCTTCGATAGTGTAATTCATGGCTAATATTTTCGATGTAGGTATGAGTTTTTAATAATAATAATAAAGCACTAAATAGATAAATTTCTGAAATGACAACATCATTTGACAGTTATCTTTTACCTTGACTGGTGCTCATAAGTAAATACAGGGCCATAAGAACAGAGAAATATTTAAAAAGAAATCGGCGATAACTCGTAAACGAGCTAGTCAAAAATATCTAAAGTTATTCTTTTGAATGTGGGTTTTAGTGCTCTTCAATAAACCTAAATAGAATTATTCTCTAAAATAATTAGGGAAGCCAATAATTGACCCCATTAAAATTTACATGGGATTTCCTATGTCCCGTCCGACGATGCAACACCCGGTATGTATAGTTACCTAAAATACAAAAATCACAACCAAAATTCTTTAGAAAATGTTCCGTAAACACTTTAGAAATACAGGGTGTTTCTGAATAAGCGTCCACTATTGCAGAGGGTTATTTTTAAATATTTATAAGATAAAAAGTTCATATATACCGGGTGCGTCTCAAAAGTGGCTCGCCCCTATAACTTTTTTATTTTTTCAGATAAAAAAAGGGGTTTGGTATGTCAATATGTGACATAAATTAAGATTGATTGACGTGTTCAATTGTTTTCGGTCACTTCCAGTTTCACCGGAAATGACTACAACTTTTGATTCTTAAATGGCACCCTCGGTATTTATTTACTTTATTCGATAGAAAATGACACTCTGAATAGAATGACATATTATCATATGTCAACTTCTGTTGACATTTTCGCTTAAAACAAAATTGTATTTTAAATTTGAATCTAGAGTGCCATAAATGTGTTAAAAATACTAATTTTTAATCAAGGAGCTTTGGAAAAATATATTTGATCATAGAATGTTTTTACGGTCTTGTCTTGGCCGGTTAAAAGATGCCTAAATCGTATTTTTAATCATATCTCAATTTTTTCAAATGGAACAAGGGTGGCTCATTAGAATATTTAGAAAAAAAAATTACAAATAATTTGGTACCACACACTTGGTATTTCGAGTAAAATTGTCGCTATGAATGACATGTTGCAATTTAAAATAAACCACATTCGAAAATGTCAAATGTTGACATATGATATGTTATTCTATTCAGAGTGTCATTTTCTATCGAATAAAGTAACAAAATACCGAGGGTGCCATTTAAAAATCAAAATTAGTCATTTCCGGTGAAACAGGAAGTGAACGGAAACAATAATTCTCATTTATGTCATATATACTATCATACCAAATCTCGGTTTTTTATCTGAAAAAATGAAAACTTATTAGGGGTGAGCCACTTTTGAGACGCACCCGGTAGATGTGTTCTAAAATACTGTGTTTTCGAGATACAGGGTGTCGAGATACAAGTTTTAATAAAAAATCGTTTTTTATTTCCATAACATCTTCGAAGCCAATTCAGATATTTTTATGAAATTTGGTACCCATAGCCTTTCACTATTAAGAGGCATTTTTCGATAAAAAATATTTTCCCAAATTTTTACCAAAAACACAATTTTACTTACAAAACCCCATATCAGATTTAAGCAAATTCGCCATACATTAAAATAGTTTATATTTTTTTACGCAAAACCGTGCGTCTGACAAGAAAAGCAAATAGACATAATTTGTTCTAAAATGAATGAAGATTTGAAAAATAATTTATTTAAAAAAAATCATGACTTGCCATTTTTTTCTTGAAAAATATTCAGTCAATACGAACAACACTGATGAAAATTTGAGAAATTATTTTTCATCGAAAAATGCCTCTTAAAAAAATATTTTTTTTCTTAAAAATTTAACACCCTGCATCTCGAACACGCAGCATTTTAAGACACATGTTTATATGAACTTTTTACCTTAAAAATCCTTGAAAAATCACCCCGTAAAATATATATTCAAAAACACCCTGTATATTCGAATAAAACATTGTTTTTTAACTTAACTAACCTAATAAGGTTGTTTCCACCATTCACCACATGTCCATTGGTCAAACCGTTCGGTTTCAAGGCAGTGCTCTTCTCTATTTGGGGCTTATTTTTGGTATAAAGAGTGGGAACGTCGCCCTCCTCGCTGTAGCCTTCATCCTCGGAGTCGGAGGTGTATTTTCGTTTTTCATTTTGGGCAATTTCGATGTCCTTCTTCCCATACTGAAAACAAAATGTTTTTATTAATATACGTACTAGCAGGGTTCGAACATATTATCATGAATGTGTTTACGTATCCAGAAAAATGCGTCCCGTGAGAGTCACGGGACATCTTATCGAAAATAACTGGCACAAAACTGTACGCCACTGCATTTTGGTGTCATTTTTATACAGGGTCGCTGATATGTATGGGAACGGTAGATTATTAGGTAAAATATAAGAGGTACCGCAAAAAGTTAAATATAAAAGTTATAGGGTTTTTAAACATCTATTAGCGGGTAATAAATTGAAACATACAGGGCCGGTCATAAAGTCGTGGCACATCAAAGTTTATTTTTTTTAAATGAAACCCCCTGTGTATTATTGCATATTTCGCTTCTTCCTTCAATTCTAAGCAAAAATCGAGATACAACACAATGTACCTCAAACCAACCGTTTCCGAGTTATTGACTTTTAAAATATTACTTAAACAATTCGATTTAATTAATTTCGATGTGTTCGGTTTCATTTAACGATGCCATTCTGCGGAAATTGTGATATAGTCTGTAAAACGAATAACTTTGAATTTGACAGTTCCCGCGGACTTTTATAGTGTTAATTTTATTAGGTTAGCAACTTGCGGCCATGCTGACGCAATGCCGTCTCTAATAGAACAGCCAGGAAGCAAGATTTATGACGTCACGCTAGTTAGATACTACGGATTAATAAATATGTTGTAGAATACATGGAAAACATAATCATTCCTCGTATTTTTGGTTTGTACTTTAAAAATGATACAGTTTACATGAAATATAGATAATATACAGTTAATAAATACAATATATATATATATATATATATATATATATATATATATATATATATATATATATATATATATATATATATATATATATATATATATATATATATATATATATATATATATATATATATATATATATATATATATATATATATATATATATATATATATATTTATAGTAATAAATACTTTGGCAGATAAACTATGATCCATACAAATGCAGCAAATGTTTTACAACATGGCTGAAATCGTACTCCATAGTCAATGTAGATAGTTTTTGTGTTAAGAATAATAATTTAAAAAAATATGTGGTCATCTTTTGACAAGTTTATATTAGTTTATTAATTGCAGTAAACATTATAATATATAAATAATTTTTGTAAATGCAAATAATAATACATCACTATTAGTAGATATTGAATGTTTTTTGTTAAATTAGATCGACTTTCAAACCCCAAAATTTAAAATATATTTTACATTTTACCCATTATCTTATGTACCACCTATTCATTATTTGTATATTGTAAAACATTTGCTGCATTTGTATAGTTCATAGTTTATTTGCCAAAGGATTTATTACTATAAATAGGTATATATTATATTGTATTTATTAACTTATATTATGTATATTTCATGTAAACTATATCATTTTTAAAATACAAACCAAAAATACGAGGAATAATTATGTTTTCCATGTATTCTACAACATATTTATTAATCCGTAGTATCTAACTAGCGTGAAGTCATAAATCTCGCTCCGTGGCTGTTCCATTAGAGACGGCATTGGTCTAATATTTAGAAATGTCAAAAGCTGATGACATTTTACTTTTGTCAATTATGACATTTCGTGTTGATTTTTGCAAGAAGAGGAAGAACTGTCACTTGTTTTATTATTTTCCTTTCCTATTTCACGAAAGTAAAAAGAGTTACCTATCTGATTCGTTCAGGCACTCAATTTAAAGAATATCATTAACTTTTTTGACAGAGGGATTTTATATTTGCCATGTTGGTAAAAAATAACGATCAAAATTCAAAGTTATTCATTTTATAGACTATACTTAATAATATTTGATGTTAGTTTTCAAGTTAGCATTTATAGATGTATAAAATGAGATTATATCAAGTCTGGAAATTACAAAATTTTCGTTTAACATTTCAAAATCAAAACTGCATAATTCGGAAATTGTTGAATTTATAGGTACATAATCGTAATTATTATTAATGTACCTAAAACCTATTATATTTTACCTAATAATCGACCGTTCCCATACATATCAGCGACCCTGTATTTTTTTTAGATTAAGCAATGCAAAGTTTTAACATCCTGTATCTTTAAAACTATGCATTTCCGGACCCTATAGGAACTTTTTAGTAATATTTTGATGAGAAATCATCCCTAAAATTAGGCGAAACAACACCCTGTATAGAGTGATTCTTTAATAGTGAGTAAATCATTAAAATTTCATAAATTCAAATTAAAACCCCTATTTTACACGAAGTACACCTCAAATTAGCCTAAATATGCACTTAAATATCGGATCGGCAATAAATATATTAAACAAGGAAAAAATATCATTAAACTGTATTTTATTGCTATATTGTCACAAACGTAAAAGTAATATAATCGATCAAAATTTGTCTGGACGTCACTGCTATTAAATGATTTACAAAGCAATACATGTCCCATAATTACAAATCCAATGCCAGATTTAATGATACACCGACAAATTACTACGTAAAAAATGCGACTTTATTGTACAGGGTGTCCCAAAAAATTCTCACTCATGAAATTAACATATATTATTAATTTACCAAACAAAACATGTATCATTGAACTATACCGTTGATTGAAAAAATTAGAAGATGCGCAACCTTATGGGCGATTTTGTAACACAAGACCTGTCCGAGATGTAGCCGACGTTATCGTCAGCCTGTCCGAGAATTCCGAGATTTAGTTTAGCTCTGCGCCGTTGAGCGCTAATAGTCGTTTATAGCGCAGCGCATAAAAAATACTATGCCGTAAATCAAAACTTTATTAGGTACTTACTGTAGTAGGTCTGTACTTATTTTACTACAAATATCGTAATCTTAAACCATACAGGGTGTTCAAAATTCTATACCAAACTTTCTAAAATATAAAATAGTTTTTCTTCGTTTTTTTTTTAATGGAACACCCTATATATTATTTATTTGCTGGAAGGAGAATTAAAAAATGTACACTTTTCGTATTTAAAGTATTTCAAAAATTTTAACGGTTTCGCAGATATTCGCGGTTTTATATTTCGTATGGCATTTTCCACAGTAAATTTTTATCAAAATGGTTTAAGTTTACGATATTTGTGTCAAAGTAAGTACAGACCCACTACAGTAAATACCTAATACAGTTTTGATTTCAGGACATTTCTAATATTTTTAATAATTTTTTTAAGAATGGCTGAAAAAAATATTTTTTTATTTATTTATTAATATTTTTGAAACTGTAAACATATTTACTAATATCTTGTGGATGATGTAAAGTGATTAAAAAGGAAGCCAAAAATGCAATAATATACAGGGTGTTCCATTTAAAAAAAAACATCTCGATTCACTCACACTTTTTTGAGCCACCCTGTGGAAGTTAAAATATTTTCCTGAAATACATCCTAATACATACTTTAGGTTTGCACTGAAACAAAATTCCTAACTTTTTTATTATAGGAGCTACAGACGCCCGACACACTATTGCCGGACCCTGTATAATAGAATCTTCTTACATTTTAAAGTTGTCAATTCTATAGGTATAATAACATACACTCGAACATACATTAAAAATAATTACTATTCATGACCAATAACTGTAAAAACAATGTTCAGTATGACAATGCCGATTTGCTTAATATTTCGTAATGATACCCATTTTGAAATACACAGTGGCCTAAAATTATACGTACCCAAACTTTTACAGTTGATCAAACAAGTTAATCTGAACAGAAAATATTCTAACCGTGGACAAAATCTGTCCAGCGAAAGGAAGAATAATTTCCACATATGACATACAAAAAATGACAGATACAATTTATTTTTGAATTAAATACACAGAAAATTGCTACTTTTGTACACTCAAAAATCGATTTGCTTGGGCAAGCAGCAATACTTAAACTACTGAAGTATCAAAACAAATAATTTCTTTCAAATAAAATGTATCAAAAATTTAAAAAAACAAATATTTTAAACGGTTAACTAAAAAAATGATCTGATAAAGTTTCGGACCCCCTATAAAAGCTACTTGAACTTGCCGAGAACTTTGTACCCAATTTAGCAAAAATATATAAGTATGTAATTAGAAATTCTTGATAATATCTCACTCATCTCAGTCTCATCATTTTTGATCGCAAATTATATTTCTATCTGATATCCGGTATAAAAAATAAATAAAAAAAAATCGATTACAAAAATTTCAGTAATCATATCTAAAGGAAAGTTTTAGATTTTAGATTTAAAAAAATAAATGTTTTGTCTAGACAAGAACACAGATATAACATCGTTAAGACATGATCACACCATTCAGTCATTTCATAATTTATAATGATACAAGCTGACTATGCATATACAGGGCTGTTCACCACATACGACACCGAGTACCTATTGTAGCTAAAGGAATAGATTTTTGCAAATTGTAAGTTTAGGATTCGTTGGAGGACTATTAGAGCTACAATTTAAAAATAATTTTACAAGATACAGAGTGTCCCAAATAATTAAAAAATACAGTTGTATTTTTTCAAACAGAACACCCTGTATATTATTATATTTTTAGATTCTACGATTGAAATAAAGGTAAATTTGATTAAGGTTTATCACACTTAAATCTTACCGTTTTTGAAATATTTTCAATTTTGTGAAATTGCAGTAAAAAAATTAAGGCTTCATTTCTCCAATTTAATACTAAATATTTACTGAAGATTACTTATTGATCAGATATTGTGTTGAAATAATAAAAATCATACTACCTTATAAAGAGTGTCCAAAAATTTATATTAAATAAATGCTAGCTTTAAACAGCAATAACATGGTTAATTTAAATGGAACACCCTGTATTTTTTACAATAATCAGATGCACAATTTAATTGTCTATCAAATTGTATTATACCATTTTTTGCCTAACTCTTCAAGTTTTCGTAGAAAATGCATTTTCTTATAATTTAGACCTCATTTACCACTATACCCATGGAATATTGACATTTTAGATTATTTTTAAAAATGTAACAAATTTTCAAAAAGCACAGATACTAATATTGTCGTATAGTTTGCTTGTTTCATTAAAAGATAAAAAAATGTTTAAATATTTTTTTGTTAAAGAGAACCAATTAATATGATTCTAGTATTCAAACTACATTAATTGAACGTTTACGTTGATTAATAATAATAGCTCCAAATACTAAAAAACTTAATTTTGTATGTATATTAGACAGTGTGGTAAAAAGTAACACCTTAAAAATGTTATTTCATTTCTTGACGAATGCTAAATACGGATACGAATACAGAGACGGACGTTCATTTTCATAACTTATTATTATATTGATTTCTGATTCAAATCCACATTTATTTAGAATAAATTTATTAACTTTAATTAAGTATGTAATTAATTAATATTTGGGCGGATAATGGTAGCATATTTATTTAATGGGTATGCTCTGCTTTTATAAAGATTTAAATAGTTTTCTTTTTGTATACAAATGGGCTAGTAATATTACCGTTTTTAGCACCTGTACATATTACCGTTTTTGCTTTAAAATAAATCTAAAATGTCAATATTCCATGGGTATATTGATAAATGGAGGTCTAAATTATAAGAAAATGCATTTTCTACGAAAACTTAAAAAGATAGGTAAAAAATGGATTATAGAAATTATTTAAAATAAATTTTTAGACACTCTGTATAAGGTGGTATAATTTTTATTAATGCAAAACAATAACTGATCAATAAATAAACTTCAGTCAATATTTAGTGTTAAAAACTTTGATACCCTTGGAGAAATGAAGCCTTAAATTTTTTACTGCAATTTCACAAAATTGAAAATATTTCAATAACGGTAAGGTGAAAGTGTGATAATCCTTAATCAAATTTACCTTTATTTTAATCGTAGAAACTAAAAATATAATAATATACAGGGTGTCCCATTTAAAAAAATACAACTTTGATATTTTTTATTTATTTGGGACTCTCTGTATCTTGTAAAAATATTTTTAAATTGTAGCTCTAATAGTCCTTCAACGAACCCAAAACTTACAATTTGTAAAAATCTAATCGTTTAGCTACAATACTCCGTGTCGTATGTGGTGAACAACCCTGTATAGAGTGTACGTGGTAAAAACACCGAAAACTGTTCATTATACGCGATTTAACGAATTCCAAATTAGACAGGACAGGTTTGGATGTAAATTAAAAATAGTTACATACTATTTTTAATAATAATTTTTTGATAGCAGTTTATCGCAACCCATAAAACCTACTTAGGTAGAAAATCTCAAGATTAACTACTACCTGAAGATTAACCCGAACACATAAAACTGACCATAAGAAATAGACAAATAGAAATAATAGAATAAAATTCAAAAAACTGGGCGACAGATGTTTAATATGATTGATAACAATAATTATTTATACATTAAATTTATAAATGAACCGCGAATGTATTGACCGTGGTTCAGATAAAACAATATGTTAATAGTTTATAAACAATCGATTACAAAATGCGTGATCTCCAATTGAAACATCGATAACCACGAAAATAATTATCAATAAACTTTTAGCCAATGTCATTAACACTCACACAGCACTCAAATCATTTTATTCTATGAACCTTAAACATTACCTACCCGTCTAATTTGACTTTAAATATTATAATTATATTCCCGAAAAAAATTCCATTCATGTTTAACTACAAAGACACGCGAATAATTAAACAATATTTGGGTCATTAGAAGTCTGTTTTTAAATTTTTTTTTAATTTGCCAAATATGATCATAATAATAGGTGTATAAAATTGGTCTCAAAGGTCAATGTCTAGGACTTAGAACTTCCTTTTCCTATTGTTAATATACGCGGGGTATTTCTTTATCTGATTTTTAAAAATTCCTCAGGGCTGGTAGAAGAATAAATGTACTATATGTCTGATTCTAGGCATGGAACCACGGACAGACAAACCGACAGACAGACAGACAGACAGACACCATGAAAATATTTTGTATTTAGGTCATTTATGACCCAAATAACTCATTTTGAGTGATTTTTTTGCCGATCTTAATAGCCTACCATACCTATTGGTATGGTTGGCTAAAAATATTGAGTAGTACATTAAAAATCCGTTTTTTTTTTAATATGCGAAATCTGATAACATACATTAAGTTGAGGGGTCAATGTCTGGTGTAAAACTCATTATTATTTTCTGCTGCGTATGTAAATCCAAAATTTCAAATTGTAAAGTAAGAAAAAACCTTCAAATACCTCAGAAAGGTTGTAAAATATTAACAATACATATATTTCAACTTGATTTCAACTAAGCACAAACTTCAATTTTAGTTCATTGCAAAAACAAACTGCCTAGGTCAATATTTGTATCCTGTTGAAACAGAGGTATGAATATTAAACCCCTGAGTAACTTGTAATGTTTAAATTAAAAAATATATAAATGAACATATATTTGCTTGGTTATATTATTTTCTTCTAGGCATAGTACAATTGTCCTGAAACTACTTATCAATTAACTTTTTTATAAATCACATTCTATTAAGAGTTAAGTACATGTAATAGAATTATGAGTATATGGGGTCCAACGTCAAAAGTCCATAGGATTATAATGATAAAATAATAATACACTCATAATTTTCCAATTATATTGCTACGGATTATTGCCCACAGCCTTTGCAACAATTTTTATTAATAAATAATATTATACTTAATGGTCAATAAATAATAAACCTTATCCTAATTCAATTAATTTATTAGATTTTTCGGAATTTGATGAACAAGTTCTTTGTTTATATTTAATTCTTTTTTCTAAGTTTCTTTGAAAATAATCAGGAAGTAAAATTTTAAGGTTAACGCATCTAAATTTAAAATTTAAAGGTTCCTTGACATACCGATACGATCAAAAATAGTACCTTGACATATTTTGTACATTTTTTAATACAATAAAATCAAATCTAAACGTGATTTTGTGATATTTGAATCATGAATTAAATAATGGCATGAATTAAAAAATATATGTAGCTAAATGACTTTGTAAAGTATTGAGTTTATTGGCTCCTTTGTCTGTGAATAAACTATATAAAAACAAATATATAACATTAGAACAATGCTCTTTAAATGTATAACGCATAGTTACAACAATTTAATGATGACAAAAGACCTAAGAATGTTAAACATCTACAGATTTAGGACACTATAGTTTCGTAACAGACGTATATAGATTCTGCATTAACTCACCTCGAAAATCATAAGTAGAACTTTCACGTACAATCGCCTAACTCCCAAAGACTTTCCTATTGATGCCAGAAAAATTATGGAAAGCAGGAGCATCATAAATGGCACGAATAACATTGAAAGTAGAAAACTAAATCCGGCTGCTACTATTGCCATTTTCGCCGGATTTTCTTCGAATTTCCCGAAACAACTGTCCTTTAATTAATTTTAATTCAAAACGCGTACATTTTTGACTATAGAATGAGCGCAAACACCCCGACTAATTGTGAAATACTGAAGCTGCCACGCGAAAGTTAAAAATAAATAATTTTCAATAGTCAATTATTGGGAAATGAAATAAATACAAAACGAATGACGTTTGTTTGAAGCGACGCGTGCGCAATCAAACATGTGCGTCTCTAACTAAAGGTGAGTGCACATTGATATAATCGTTATATTATTCATATATCTTCTGGGCATAATATAAAATCTATAAAGTTATATTCTACAGTGACAAGAATAATATAAAAATACACAGCTTTATGGAACTACTATAGAGAAAAATACATTGCTAAGACACAGCTAAGATACAGTTAAAGTAAAATTTTGAATGTCGTGCTATGCAACCCGTAATACACTAATCCCGCTCTTGACCTAATCTTTTTCATGTAACCGGGCCTTAAAATTTTTGACAGAACATCTGTCATATAATCGGCCATAATCAGCTGTCATCTGTCCATTACATCACGGATCACGGCCAACTTTTTAAAAAATAGATTTTTTGTCTTAAAAAGAAGGCTGATTTGAAGAACTTATTTTAAAAACGAAATTATGTCTGCAGCACCAGTTCGTGTGTCTCCTGTAATTAAGGTACATTTATAGACTTCTATATTTCCGTTTTTTTGTCGAAATAACTTATTGTAAAAGGTTCAGTTTTCCATTATGTAATCTCGATCTTTTTAGTTCTTCAGATGGAGCTTCTTGGGGGTTGGTGTGGTATATGGGGCCTTCCATCAAAACAGGTTATCGAACAGGGAAGCTAAATTAAGAGCAGTCGAAGAGAAACAAAAGGCAGTTCGTGACGCGAAACTTGCTGCCGAAAAGAAAGCAGCAGCCGATAAAGAAATTAAGGAACTTGAAGAAATGGCGAAGTAGATTAATTATCCGATTTTTTTGTTAATTAGTAGTAAGTAATAAAGTGGATTTCTAATTTCAAATATTAATTTTTCGGTATTCCAAATCATTACATGCCTTGCCTTGTGTAACAATTTTCTTAATTTTATGCAACCAGATATACCTGAAATTATAAAAAAATTTAAACCGGCCTAAATTATAAAATAAAATGATAGAAATATAGAAATTAATGGTTTACAACTTTTATCTTCTGTGTTTATAACGGAATTATATATTTTATAATAATCTTATTGCAGCATGATGAATTTTAAATAAAACCAAAATTGTATTGTCTTTTTTCTGTGTGTATTTCCTTTTCCGTAATCTCGATCTTCATTAAATATGATAATTTTTGTATTTCTATATTTTTTTTTTATTTAATTCAACAGAACTTGTGACCAACTACACAGATCTTACCTGTGCTAATTATTCAAACAATTCACATTTAGCGAAGACATAATTTCACGATTTAAACCATAATTAAAACGATATATACCAAAGACGTCATAGAAACCTTTCAAAAAGTGCATTTTACTGGATAGAATATGCGCGACTTTAAACATTTTTTTTATTTAACCATTATAATACATGAGAACAATTTAGGCGATTTAGTATAAAAGATGTAGAGCGGTCGACCCAACAAAATTTATCAACTGTCATTTTAAAGGTTACTACAACGCCGTTTTTTTTAAATAAAAAGGGTACTGAACATAACTTGCAACTTATTGTTTAAAAGTAATGATCTGTCTATTAAGACTATTTCCTAAATTTATCTCTTTTTAAGCATGGATAATTTGACAAAAAAATTAAATACCGATAGAATAAAAATACGATCGAAAATAAACGGCATCAAGAGAGGGCTTGGAAATAAAAAATGCTGTCATTTTGCATATAAAATTTTAAAGATGAATATTACATATTACCGATCGTCATTTCTAAACCTACTAGACGCCTTTTTTCTGATCATACAGTGCAAGTTTTAAACATTACCATTTTATCAATAAAATAAGTTTGAATACCGTATAATCGAAAAAAAAAACAGCGTCAGCGATGGCTATGAAGATGTCACTGTCGCTATATATAAAATTAATATGGGGAACGTCATTTCAAAGCCAACTGGACGCCGTTTTTCTTCGATCATACGGTACCATACGATAAAAAAAAAGAAGATAGCTGTCATTTTATATGGGAATGTCATATTGACGCCATTTTTTTCGATCATATGGTATTTTGTAGTTGTCTGGATTTTTTTTGTTTTTTAAATACCGTATGATCGAATAAAAAAGGCGTCCAGTTGGCTTGGAAACGACGATCGATGACATTCCCCATATATTATCAAGATATTATCCATATAAAATGACAGCGATTTCATTTCATAGCCATCACTGACGTCGTCTTTTTTTCGAACATACGGTATATAAAACTAAATGCTAAATTCCCAAGAGACGTTTGCATAAAAAAATAACTGAAAAAATATTCATTCTTTGGAAAATAATTTTAAAAAATATGAAAAATTAAAATTAAGATATATTCCTTGAATTCTAAAAATTAGAGATGAATTTTGAAAATATTGATAAGAACTTACGTTAAGAAAGAAAACACTGAACTATGATAAAAAAAAAATACTAATCAAATTCTTAACGCTGGAGGAAATAGATTTTAAGAATAAAACAACAGATTGCAGGTAAAAAAATGGAATTTATTTCATGACTCAAAATTTTTTTGCTGTAAAATCAGATCTTCCTTAATATTCTTCGGCACCTTCTCCTTCACCTTCTCCGGAGTCCATGCCTACTTCTTCGTAGTCCTTCTCCAAAGCGGCCAAATCCTCACGAGCTTCAGAGAACTCACCTTCTTCCATACCTTCACCCACATACCAGTGGACGAAGGCCCTCTTGGCGTACATCAGATCGAACTTATGATCCAACCTAGCCCAAGCCTCGGCGATGGCAGTTGTGTTGGACAACATGCACACGGCCCTCTGTACCTTGGCCAAGTCACCACCCGGTACTACAGTTGGGGGCTGGTAGTTAATACCAACCTTGAATCCGGTGGGACACCAATCGACGAACTGGATAGTACGTTTGGTCTTGATAGTGGCAATAGCTGCGTTTACGTCTTTCGGTACGACATCTCCTCGGTACAACATGCAACAGGCCATGTACTTTCCGTGTCTTGGATCGCATTTCACCATCTGGTTGGCTGGCTCGAAGCAGGCGTTGGTAATTTCAGCCACGGAGAGTTGTTCATGGTAAGCTTTTTCGGCAGAGATTACCGGAGCGTAGGTGACTAGAGGGAAATGGATACGTGGGTATGGTACCAAGTTAGTCTGGAATTCAGTCAGATCGACGTTGAGGGCACCGTCGAACCGAAGAGATGCAGTGATAGAGGAAACTATTTGTCCAATCAGTCTGTTAAGGTTGGTGTATGTTGGGCGCTCAATGTCCAGGTTACGTCTGCAGATGTCGTAGATGGCTTCGTTGTCAACCATGAAGGCACAGTCGGAGTGTTCCAAGGTGGTGTGGGTGGTCAGGATAGAGTTGTAAGGTTCAACGACAGCGGTGGAGACTTGAGGGGCTGGGTAGATAGCGAATTCAAGTTTGGATTTCTTGCCATAGTCCACGGATAATCTCTCCATTAAGAGAGAGGTGAATCCGGATCCAGTACCACCTCCGAAGGAGTGGAAGATGAGGAAACCTTGGAGACCGGTACATTGATCAGCCAATTTCCTGATCCTGTCCAAAACCAAATCAACAATTTCTTTTCCGATAGTGTAGTGACCTCTGGCATAGTTGTTAGCAGCGTCTTCTTTGCCGGTGATGAGCTGTTCAGGGTGGAACAACTGTCTGTATGTGCCAGTTCTTACTTCATCTACGACGGTGGGTTCCAAGTCGACAAACACGGCCCTGGGTACGTGTTTACCGGCACCGGTCTCGCTGAAGAAAGTGTTGAAACTGTCGTCTCCGCCGCCGACAGTCTTGTCTGATGGCATTTGACCGTCGGGTTGGATGCCATGTTCCAGACAGTAGAGTTCCCAACAGGCGTTACCGATCTGGACACCGGCTTGACCAACATGTACTGAGATACATTCACGCTGTAAGAGAAAAAATTACTTTAGTATAAAATCACCAAAAAAATTAGGTGCTTGCCAGGTGGAGGACTCTTCGAATTTAGTATTATACTTTTTTTCAAGCGAAATAAAAAATGTTTTAATAAAAAATAAATACAGGGTCGCTGGTATGTATGGAAAAAGTCGTATTGGGTAAAATATGCGAGGTACCGCAAAAATCTAAATATAAATGTTATAGGGTTTTTAAATGTCTATTGGCTAGTAATAAATTTAAGTATACAGGGGGTTTCACTTAAAAAAATGAATAATCTTTTGAGGTGCCACGACTTTATGATCGACCCTGTGTACTTAACTGTATTACAAGATGTTAGACATTTAAAAATTCTATAACTTTTTGCGGGACCTCGTATACTTTGCCCAATCATCGACCAATTTCCACATATATCAGCGCGATCCTGTATAATTTTCCCTCCAAATTTTGACAACGTTGCCAAAACGTTTACTTAGTACATTTACTAAAATATTGTAATTTTTACTATATTTTCGAAACTCGTTTTCTCGGTGTATAAAATGAAAGCGACCTCCATTTAATAGGCATCGCTGACGTCGTTTTTTCCGATCATATATTTTACTATGCGACCGAAAAAACGGCGTCAGAGATGGCTTGGAAATGAATATCGCTCTAATTTTGTGTGTAAAATTATGTGGGGAATGTCATCGTTCGCCATTTTCAAGCCAACTGGACGCCAGATTTTTTTTGATCATACGGTATAGAGATATTATCGATTTATGGCTTTTTAATGCTTTTCAACATTTAATGAATAAGTTTCGAATAAATAATAAAATTCCAAGGGTGTGTTATATCTGAACAGGCACCCATGTAAGATTTTGTGAAATATTAAGTGTTATAATCAATATTTTATTTTCGTAAAAAAATAGCAAACACATTTCACAGAACAGAACGTTTAAAAAGGGAGAAATTTTGAATCTTTTGTTTGATAAAATACCGGGTCAACATCAAAATGGCGTCGGAAACCGCCACGCCACGTGTAATATATCAAATTTACTCAATATCTAGTTGAATAAATTAAACGAACCATATCAAAAAGTACTTAAGACAATTACTTACCATTTTGTTGAATTTTTTTCAAACAACTACCACAATAACGGTTAATAAGTTTAAATGAAACGCTCGGACAAGCTAGTAATGCAGCTCTCCAAACGAACAATCGAGAATCGTGAAATTTCCGTTGGGCGCTGCGCTTTTATAGATTCGGTGACGTCGCCAACCAACGCCTAAATTCTGAACGCCGATTGGTCCGCGGTGCGTCATGTGGGTAACGGAAACCCGCGGCGGATCGATTGTCCTTCTTTCCAGTCGCTCATTTAAATATTTTTATGGATCGATTTTTTTATATTTATCTATGCAGATGTTTTTATTAATTAAATTTGAACATATCCCTTCAAGTTTTTCGGTAAAATAGAGTAATTAAACGAATTCCCTAATGTAAACACGGCTGTATTTCAAAATTTGAACGTTAACTTTTTGAATTTAACTGACATTTTTAAAAACATAATTTTATTTTACAGATTGTCCATTATTAGTTTTATTTAGGGCTAGGTACCGAATATTTAGAAGAAGGGATTTAAAATTGTTTAGAGTCCTAGATATTTATAGCTAGTAAAATCGTTCATCAAACAGAGCACAGAAGACATGCATTTCCCACATGCATAACAGAGGGGTGTCTTAATTTGGATTCTCTAATTTTAGAACATGAAAATTACTTCTAATTTTAGCTTAGATGAATTTAGAAGACACATATACCAATAGTAAAAGATTTACAAGAATTATAACAGACTCTGAAGAAAATATAAGCTGAATATACCTAGCCAATATAGGTAGCTACAAAAAAGTTTGTGTTTGGTAGCCTTATTAGGACTCAAGAACAAACATATTTTTATGACATAATTGAGTAGGAGGCATTTAAAGCAGCAATAAGGATAAAATTATTGCAAATAACTATTATTTCGAAGAAAGTTTTACATGGAAGATGATCAAGGTGACCTTGAAGTTATGCATCGTTGAATATGGTTGAAATCTTTTGTGTGTGAATGACCTAAAAGATTGATTTTATATAAACCTTTAACTGATTTCATATTAATCCTTTTTAAGCACTTTGAATCTGTGTATTTACCGATATAAATATAAAACAATAGGTATTTATCTACCTACCCATTTAGAGGTTTTTTACTTTAAAAGTAGGTATTTTTTTTCATCCAAGTATGATTTAACCTAGTTTCAAATGAAATTCGATGTTATTTACTATATTTGCAAAGATAAGTCCTTGCATCGAAGTTGTTTTGCCTTAAATGGAGGTGATATCACAATTTTTACCGCTTACAAGCTTTAAATGCGGTGATGACTCATAAAACCCACATGTTATGATCAAGTGTAATTTGTTATGTATTAATAATTTTAACATTAGCATAAGCCCGTATTTATAAGGTTAACAAACAAAAAATAACAATAGGGATATAGACAAGGAAAAATTAATAAAACACTACAGAAATAATATAAACAGCTTTAATAAAACAAAGAGAGAAAAAGCTATACTTAAAAAGTAACATCTGTCAAAATAGAAACAAAAGTGTAATAATGTAAAATTTATTATAAAGAGAATTTTAATTGTATATTTTATTTAAAATGAGATAATAAAATATAATTTTTAAATTGAAAACAAGAACATTAAACAAGTATAACATATATGATCGAAAAAAACCGTGTCAGAGTAGCCTTTGAAATTACGATCCATGGTAATTTGCGTCGGGTCGGCCTCTAAACGTTAATTTATTAAAACATGTTAAATACCATACGATCAAAAAAAAACGGCGTCGGCTATGGCTATGAAATGAAGATCGCTATCGTTTTATATGGAAAATGATATGGGGAATTTCATCAATCGTCATTTCCAAGCCAACTGGACGCCGTTTTTTTAGATCATACAGTATTAATATTTAAAAAACAAAAAAAGACACGAAATCTATTTACAAAATATCGTATGATCGAAAAAAATGGCGTCAAGATAGCATTCCCCATATAATTTCACATAGAAAATGACAGTTATCTTCATTTCCAAGCCAACTCTGATGCCTTTTTTTATTGTACAGTATAATTTTTACTACAAGTTTGATTTTTTGCCAATTTTTAATAAAAAATGATATTATAGCGCTCGACCCGTACAAAATTATCATCGACAGACATTTTCACGCCTACTTTGATGCCTATTTTTATTCTCGGAGTAAAGTATGCAATAAAATTAATAATATTTTCTTGCCAAATACAAAAATTGTCAAAATTACAACCGGTATTACTAACATAAACATATACCATATGACTGAAGAAAAAAAAAACTTTGTCATAATAACCTTTGAAATGACGATCAACGGTAATTTTCTTCCTGATCCTTTCAAAATTATCATCGACAGATATTTCTAAGCCTACCTTGACTCCGATTTTTATTCTCGAACATTATTAAACTGTAAAGAATGCAATAAGAATAAAATTAATAAAATTCTCTTTACCAAGTATTAAAATTTTCAAAATTAAAGCCTGCATTATTAACATAAACATATTGAACATATTTATAGCATATATAATCGAAAAAAAAACGGCGTCATAGTAGCCTTCGAAATTACGATCAACGATAATTTTTTCGGTTCCGGTCGGCCTCTAGACAAAATCTATTAACAAGTATAATTTTTTTACTTTGCAAGTTTAAAGTTATGACAATTTTTTGACAAATCATAATAGAGTTCGACCCGCACAAAATTATCATCTATATACATTTCAACGCCTACCTTGACACCGATTTTTATTTTTAAACGTACAGTATTAAAGAGTAAATGCAATAAAATTAAGAAAAATCTCTTCAAATATACAATTTTTTAAAAAATAAAACCTGCGATACTTTTAAATATCTACCGAATAACTTGAAAAAATATACCCTTATAAATTATTAATTCGATTTTTCTGATATGATTTGCCCGAAATACCTTATAGAAAATTTGATTTCCCGTTCGAAAACATTCAGATAAATATCAGTATCAAAAATTTATACATGTACAGGGCGTGCCTAAAATTTCGAAATTTTTGGCACCCCCCGTATAAAAGACCAGCCAAAAACTTATTCTACGCTAACATTATTTACGTCTAAAATCACATTGAGCTCTTTCTCGAGATGTAGAGCGCCGTTTTCTTGGAAACCTAAAGGAATTCTCAGCACAAAACTTTTGGGTAGACATGTTTCATCTGTACAAGTCACCAGATCAAAAATAACATCAATAAATTCATCTAAATTATCTTTTTTCGGTGGTAAACTTAGTACCAAGTCTATGCCTTTGACGTTCGTTCCATTCTTGGGTACCGAAGAATACGTAGGGTTGGGTAAAGACACTATCCATCTATGAGGCGCATCCGGAGTTAATTTCAACCCATCCCTGAACTTTAGGTTGATTTTTACGACAATTTTGCCACCTTTACTGTTAATTCTCATGGGTTTCTTCAAGGTTACTATACTTTTGCCTTTAATAAGGGCTTCTTTAGAAGATTTCTTTTCAACAGAGTTGGGTGTTAAATCGAAAACTTCGACTTTTGTTATTGAAGTACTTCTTCCCAGAGAAATAATTTTGATTTGGTGGTTGTTGGTGTCGGCTAAGTATATTTTTTTACCGTCAGGACTTAAACACAACCCTGCCGGTTCTTTGAATGTCGCCGTGGCAGTGTCATTGGAATTTTCAAAATTGCTACTAAGATTTAAGGTAGAAATTTTATTTTCAGTGATATCTATTTTCTTTAGTTTGTGATTGTATGTATCGGCTACAAAAAGTGTTTTTTCATCGGGGCTGATGGCTAAGCCTAGAGCGTGTTGAAGTTTTGCGTCATAAAGTGACCCATCCTTGTCACCAAAAGCAAAAAGGTTCTGAAAAAAAAAATAAAAATTATAGTATAACAATAAAAAATTGTGTGTGCACTATGTGCGCATATATGATGTGAAACTTCTTACTAACAGCTATTAAATTGAAAGATTTGAAGGACATGTTTAAAAAAATATATTTTTTACGGTTAATAAATAGTTTTTTAGAAGTAAAAAATAGTTTTTTCGTGTAACGAATAGTTTTTTACGTGTAGTAAATAGTTTTTACACGTAAAAAATAGTTTATTGCGTGTAGCAAATTATTTTTTACGTGTAACAAATAGTTTTTAGAGGTAAAAATATTTTTTTGCGTATAACGAATAGTTTTTTACGTGTAACAAATAGTTTTTAAAATAATTTGATTCAATTTTCAAAATATTATTTTATACAGGGTGTTTCAAAACCAATGCGAGATACTTTAGGAAGTGATTCCTTGACAGAAATAAAGGGTAGTTTGTTATGTAAACATTCCATCTGAATTCAACTATTAGAGCAATATTTTTTAGAAAAGTAGTGTTTTAATATTATCATTGATCATTATTACAAAGACTTCTTTGACGCCGTTTTTTTCATCGGTATCTTAATATTTTTATTTATCGCCAAATGTCTTTAAATTTAAAAAATTACACAGAGATTTGTTGAAATTTAATATTTAAAAATGAAAAAGATTTATTTCCAAAATATGTATTATCTTATACAGGGTGTTTCAAAACAAATTTGTGGTATTTTAAGGAGCGATTCCTAGAGAAAAATAAAAGGTAGTTTGTTATATAAATTTTGCATCTAAATTCAACCATAAGAGAGATATTGCAATAAATAGAGAATAGAAAAATAATGTTTTAAATATTATCATTGAACATTATTGCAAAGGCTTCTTTGACGTCGTTTTTTTTTTCATCAGCATCTTTATATTTTTATTTATCACTAGATGTCATTAAATTTATAAAAAATAACACAGAAATTTGCCAAAAATCAATATTTCAATTATTTTTTACGTGTAACAAATAGTTTTTTACACGTAAAAAATAATTTTCTACCCGTAAAAACTAGTTTTTTGCGTGTAACAAATAGTTTCTAAAATAATTTGATTCAATTTCCTAAAATTTATATTAAAATATCAATATTTTTGATAAACACGTGGTCACAACGAATATCTAAGCCGTAGGCTGTCCTTACCACTTTTCGTCTCGCTAGCTTGTGTGTCACGGCCTTGAATATTTACTCCCAGCGAGCGTAAAGAAGTTTCACTCCAAAAAAAAAACTTTTTTTTAGTTACATACGTTTGGATTTCTATCTCCTCCGACTACTGGGGTGACTTTCCCGTCGATCAATGCCAATCTTCTGATGCTAGAGCTCTCGCTGTCGGCAATATAGATTTCCTTGTTGTTTTCGCACAGAGCCAACCCTGAGGGTTGTGCAAAAGCGGCTGCATGAGCGTAATTGTTATTTCGATTTTCTTCCCTGCCTGAACCGGCTATATTTACACAGGTTCCTGTAAAAACATATTTTTATAAGGATCATCAAATAAAAAGGCTGAGGAAGTGAGACATTTGCTTATAATTTGGTGTAATCACAGATTATACAGATTATAAGCTTTGTTTTTTCTTTATTGTTTTTCGTGGTTCCAATTTTCGGAATCGGGCACTAGTTAGGTTACTAGTTTGCGCATATAGCACGCCCACTTATGGCCTCAAAATTGTGCACAGCGCCTGACCGGCACAGTTATTAGAGAGATATCAGAAAACCGAATAGCGTCACGCAGTATTTACGGGTACCTTATCATGGTTACGATATGCGCGAGTCAACGCAACACCCGCAAATAACGTTACCGCCTGACGTAATTTGCGGATCAATTACACCAAGCGCTATTTCTAAATAACGTTTAAAAATTGCTTAAATGGGCATGTGCGGGTATTTGACAATCGGGGCCGGCTGGCAAGATCTTTTATTTTAGGTTATGTTTGAATTGTTTTGAATTATTACTTTAGTTTTATTAGGTAATTTGATATTTAAGTAGCTGGGATTAGTTTTAATTAAATAAATATGGCCCAAAATATGGATTCCACCTCTTCCAATATTAAAGAACCTATAAAGAGGCTTAAGTTTACAGCAGATGACAACTTAGCCCTTCTAAGAGAATTTGTTGCTTGTTGCCCTAAACCTACTGGCAGACGTTGAACAATAAAGCACTGGAAATAAGCACTTTAGCCCTTTAGTTTTAAAATACCTAGTAAACAAAACAATTTCAAAGTTTTAAATTCAAAGTTAGACAGAATTCTTTCCGACCCGATAACTATAAATGAAGAGAGTTAATACCACCTCACGTAAAGGAAATAACACCTGGCCTTATTAACGTCCATGCACGCTACTCGGTTTAGCGATATCTCTCTATTACGCTGTTTATTGTTATTTTACGCGAGTTTAGTTTTGCGCACAGGAAATTTTAATCGTTTGCACATCGTCATAAAAAACAATTTTCGTACCACGAATTAGGGACAAGATTTTTATCTGTATACTTATAGGATATCTAATCTGTGGTGTAATCAATAAAAGTTGACATGCTTGTCACTGGCGGCTCGTGAGTATATAGGAAGGCGAGGCTACACGAGGTTAATAATTTTATTTAAATACTATGAAGCATTATTCTGCGACGCGTTGTCCTTTTTTGTTAAATGGTACAAAAACTATTAGGTCCAGTACCAAGAAAAGTTCTTAAATACCTATTGCCTACCTTGCCTCTTTATCATTAAATATTGCAGAAATTTTTGACTCCTTAATATTTGTCTTTTTTCAGTTTCATTTTGTTTTAGAAAAGGAGTTTCAAGTACAGAAAGAATAACGGTATGAATAGGATAAAAAGTCATAGTGAAAAAAGTAGCCGTGGCAACATTGCGGCGTGTATATCTCAATTATTGATTTCTCTAGAAAAAAAAAACAAACAAAAAGAAAGTAACTAACCTTTGCTATACTTTTTACATTTCCACCAAACAGTGTCGTCTAGGAACAGGGCCCATATCTGATGGGTCCCCGCCATGGCTATTAATAAAACCTCCCTAACCGGAGGTTTTCCATCGAGATGGAAAGTTAAGTCCATGTCAGATGTTCTGTAAACCACAACATCCCAAGGACTCGATATGGCTTGCTGGGGACCTGGTTTTCCTCCTAAACGATCATGTCCTTGTTTGCCGGTACCTAAAAATACAGATCTCAGATAATATATCATGCAACCAAAAAAGTCAAAGTAGCCTTTGAAGTAAGAATCAATAATGTCTAATTTTGAAAACATTTTTCTGCTATTTTTGTATTAGAATATCTCTCTAATGATTGAACTCAGGCCCAGAACTATTTATATAATAAAGTACTATTTTTTTAATAAAAAAACATTCCTTAAAGTTTTTCGTTTGTTTTGAAACACCCTGTATAAAAGTATATTTTGAAACTAGATATTTTTTGATCATTAAAGATCAATTTTAGACAAATTTCTGTATCTTATTTCTTTCTTGTCTAAAAATTAAGATTCTGATAGCTTTAAAAAAAACCATAAAAAAACGGCCTTTGAAATGATCATTGATAATATTTGAAATATTATTTTTCTGCTTTCTTTTTATTGTAATTTATCCCTAACGTTAAATGTAGACACAACGTTTACATAACAAACTACCCTATATTTAGTCAAGAAATCACTCCTTAAAGTATGTTGCATTTATTTTAAAATACCCTGTATAAAATAATAATAATAATATCTTGGAATATTAATTTTTGGCAAATTTCTGTGTTATTTTTTATAAATTTAATGACATCTAGTAATAAATAAAAATATTAAGATGCTGATGAAAAAAAAACGACGTCAAAGAAGCATTTGCACTAATGTTCAATGATAATATTTAAAACATTATTTTTCTATTCCCTATTTATTGCAATATCTCTCTTATGATTGAATTTAGAAGCAAAATTTATATAACAAACTACATTTTATTTTTCTCTAGGAATCGCTCCTTAAATACCACAAATTTGTTTTGAAACACCCTGTATAAGATAATACATATTTTGGAAATAAATCTTTTTCATTTTTAAATATTAAATTTCAAAAAATCTCTGTGTAATTTTCTAAATTTAAAGACATTTAGCGATAAATAAAAATATTAAGATACCGATGAAAAAAACGGCGTCAAAGAAGTCTTTGTAATAATGATCAATGATAATATTTAAAACACTACTTTTCTAAAAAATATTGCTCTAATAGTTGAATTCAGATGGAATGTTTACATAACAAACTACCCTTTATTTCTGTCAAGGAATCACTTCCTAAAGTATCTCGCATTGGTTTTGAAACACCCTGTATAAAATAATATTTTGAAAATAAAATATAATAATATAAATAATAATAACATTTTTTCATTATTAAATATTAATTTTTCGACAAATTTCTGCGTAATTTTTTTATAAATTCAATGACTTTTAGCCATAAATAAAAATTTTAAGGTACTCATGAAAAAAAATCGACAAAAAACGGCGTCAAAGTAGCCTTTGAAATAATGATCAATGATAAATTTTTAAAGCATTATTTTTCCCTACTAGCTCCTTTTTTAATTAATAAGTACCTACCTGCTACTGTTTCAACTTTTCCTTTTTCTAAGTCTATCTTTCTTATGGCATGATTTTCCGTATCGGCAACAAACAAAACATTTTTATTCAAGAAAACTAACCCTTGCGGATTATTGAATTCAGCATTCTCTAAACTTCCATCTTTAAATCCTAATTTTTTCCCGCCAATCACCCTTAATATGATTCCTTTATCATTAACAATCAATATACGATTATTGCCGGTATCAGATATAGCCAAAATAGTTTGAGTATTCTCCTCACTAAACAGAGTAATTTTGCCTGGGAATAGTAGGGGTCCTTTTAAGTCTGGCAGTAAGTGAAAGGCGGATTTTAAGGGTAATTTATGATGGGAAATAACTTTTTTTTCTCTAAAATACATAAATATAAATATATTAAAGCAAAATAAAGTACTATGTCATACTCATAAAAATCTAAGGCCACTTTAATAATATCAAGAAGATCTTCTTTATGTCCTTCTCCTGTAAGCATAACAATAGGGGCACCATTGGGTCCTAACATTAACAATGTCGGCCAACAGTGTACGTCACAATTTTGCCACATTTCTGAATTCTCATCGTTAACCACTGGATGACCGATATTATACCTTTGCACAGCTGATAGAATATTCTTTGAAAGTTTTTCGTTTTCGAATTTTGCACTGTGTACCCCAATCTAAAATTAAGTAAATTTTTAAAATAGACCCTTTATAAATGCGTTACTAAAAGATCTTACTACAACTAAACCATCTTCGACAGAGAATGTGTTTTCTATTGCTCTTAAATCTGGTATAATGTGCATACAGTTAATGCAACAATACGTGAAAAAGTCCAGAACTACCAATTTGCCTTTTAAGTGGTTTTTAAAAGACAAAGGTTCTGAAACATTGAACCACTCCAGTCCTTGAAGAACAATAAACGTTTTTTAAAGACTGAAATTATTATTATAATTACCTATTTACCTTCTTTAAAATCGGGTATAGGTGCATATTTTACTGTACTCAAGTATTCCTTAATACCTGCATTCTTGTCACCTAATTTTTCAATCAAGCCCAACAGTTTTTCGTGAGAATAATATAAGTAGTTGTCTTCTGATTCCATAATAAAATTTCTGGATTGTCCTATTCTACGAAATAAATTCACCAGCGATCTACGGATATAATTCATTAGAATTCTTGAGGAATCTACTACACTACTGAATCATCGAATCATCCTTGCTGGAGTCTATTTATTTATAAATAAAAATAGAGAAAGTGAAGAAATCAACATTACTTACCAGAATCGACCTTCAAAAAATAAGGTTATTTTTGATGGCGCTTTGTTTTTATTTCGGTTACTCATACGTCAAAAATCTGTGCTTATATTTTCTGTGGTCAGAAGCGGGATTTATATACAGGGTGTGAAAAATAAATAAGTGGAAGAAATTCAAGTGAGTAGATTTTAATTTTGATTTTAATGAAGATGGAGGGTTTCTTTAAGGTTTTTAGGTGTAAAATTACATAGGATTAAGATAGCTTGATTTTCATGCATCCGTTATCCGACGATGCGATATTAATTTTATTACTTGAATGTTGAATTCTTAAATTATATTAGATATAATTTAAAGATAAAAAAATAGAAAATTATGCAGTTTTTAAATTTATTACATATTTTCATTTCCATAACGATTTCGCGGTTTTTCTTATAGTCTAAGAGCTAGCAACGTTTTCGAGAAAGAATTTTAAGAAAGCTGGTTCTTTAATACAGTATGAGAGTATGATCGAAAAAACGGCGTCAGCGATGGCTATGAAATGAAGATCGCTGTCATTTTATATGGGAAATGTCATCGATCGTTATTTCTCAGCCAAATGGGCGCCGTTTTTTTCCGATCATACGGTATATCTTTTGGAGCAACAGCAGCTCAGGAGAGCATAGCTCCCGAACAGAGTGCGGACTGTCTGGCTGCCGGTAGACGTTGCGTTCACTACTGCGCATCATACCTGTATTCAACATCTGTTCACTACTGCGCATCACAAATTCGCCTTGTATTTCAGGAACTAAGCAGCAAAGTATGTAAAAATCGCATCATTGTATCTTTACTCATAAACGAGAAATCCTATAAACCACACGAAAATAGGATACCCTGTACAGAAGTGATGCGCAGTAGTCTCCGGGCAGCCAAAGGTTTTTATCCTACAGAAATATGTGTAATAGCATCTTCCCCTCTTATTCCTCCATGGTGTAAACGTACACTTAATCATTAATGATCTCTAAAAGAAAGATGTTTTTTACATGTAAAAAACTAGTGTTTCCCAAAAACATTTTTTTACTAGTCCATCCCTGGTGAAAATTGAAAGTCAATATTGTAAAAAAATCTTTATTTTCTTCAAACCAATTATAAAAAAACATATACAGTAATACACTGCAATGGGTAAGATAAGCGTATAGATTAGAAAAAAAAGTACATACAGACTTTTCTAAAAAAAATACAACTATAAAAGGTAAGTAATACTTTTTTAACCGACGAGTGTAAGAATTATTTTATCCATTAATTCATAACTGTACGTAGCAATGACCGAAAAAGTCCACAAACAGTGTTTTTACACTCAAAAATCGGACGAATTTTGAATGGTACGACGCTACGGTGCACTAGCATCAATTTTTTCTGCCGCCTCTTCTTTTCATCGTCGCTAAACACTGCGGGCAGTACCATTTTCCTTTCGGCGCGGCCGTTATGCCGACGCATGGGTAGTGGAACCACTCAGAAGGACACTGAAAAAAAAGTATATATACAGGATGTTTCAAAAAACATGTGCCATCTCTCGTGGAGATTCCTCACGTAAAAATAAGATTTATTTTTCATATCAACGTAGGTCCGATTCTGTTTTCTTTCGTAGCTACAGGGTGTCAAAGTCTTAATAGTCTTTCGATTTATTATAATTTTCTTTCAAATACTTTTAGTGATTCAAATGAAATTTTGAGAGTAAAGTAAGAGAGTTACTATAAATGCTACATATGTTAATGCTAAAATAGTGTCGATTAATTCATCCATTGACTTTTTTTCTTTTAATATCAAAATTGTGTAGGCCCTTTAATGCCAATTCAAAGTTTTTTCTTGATATTTTGTCGAATTCGGCCTCCTTGATGAGATAAACGCAATTTTATTAATCACAATTAATAAAATTAAAATAAAAATACAATTAATAAATTATACAGAGAAGACCAGGCTGCTAGTAACATACCAAGTTGCCGGACGAATTTACGTTTACCCGTTTTGCGTTCGTACTCGAGAGTCACTGCCGGCTAGTCGGCTGGTCAGGCAGTACGCAGTTGCAGTTGTGCTTGGACGGGTCGGTCGTGACAGACTAGGAATACGACTCGAGGAGTGCCGAGTATTTATTATTTTCATTTTAAGTGTTTACCTTCACTTAAGGTAACATTTAAAATGAAAATACTTAAATATTTATTATTTAATTGTGTTTACAAGCCAAAACTAAAAATAAATAAATTCTCTAAACCCAAAAAAATAAATAAAATATTACTCTAAATAAAAAAAGTTATAACAAGTGTTCAAAAAGACCATCTTCTTGTGCTAGGCAGAAGCCTAGGCGGTCGTAAAATCCCCGTCTGACATTGGCTAACTTATTAGGGCTAATAGTTTGGAAAGCCTCTCGTATTTTTACTTGAAGGTCATCCAGATTATTAGCCCTGTTATGACCATACACTTTGGATTTTACATAACCCCACAAAAATAAGTCATTGGGAGAAAGATCTGGTGATCTAGCGGGCCACAAAATAGTTCCATGTCCACTAATTAAAGGGTTGGGAAAAGTATTGTTCAAATATTCGTGAACAATACAGGCATTGTGGGAGGACAACCACCTCAGCAATTTGATTACTTGAAAAGGTGGGATTTTGATCCGCGGTAGCACAAATGAATACTTGCTTTAACTCCTGTTCTTCATTAATCAACACATCAGGCTTTTTTTGTTTTTGTGGGAACACGCACCCATGTGTTTCAAAATTATTAATAGCTCTTGATACAGTAGGTAAAGATGGAATTGGCCTGTCTACAAAAGTTTGTGGAAAAATTGTTTGTATATCTCGATAAGACCTATTGTGGAAATACCATTTTACAATTTGAATAAAAGTTTGTGGAAAAATTGTTTGTATATCCCGATAAGACCTATTTTGGAAATAACATTTTACAATTTGAATTTTCTCACGAACTTCGTAAACATCCATTATTTTACTTAAAAAATAAATTTTACACGAGAACTGTCGCGAGAATCTATGTATTCGTTTTGACTATTAAAACACGAATAAATACAAATTCTGAAACATTCTTATCACATAGCTACCTATTTTTATTTTATCGCATTTTTTCGCAATTCGTCCGGTTGTGCCTATGTTACTACTTCGGTGGTCCGGTCTGTATATTTTATCTAATTTATTACTAAATATTATTACTATTAGTCCAACCTACAGCAATTTTAAATTATGCATTTCGGTACCCCTGTTTATAGGAACTTTTTTTCATATTTTTTAATGAGGAATCAATGAGTAATTATTTAAAACTTTCGAAGTTAATGATATCAATTTTTTTTAAATGTTGCTATTCGTATTAGACTTGGATTAAGACAAATTAATAAACTTGCGTTTATCCCATCTTGAAGTAAATAAATGACTTTATTGTTAAAAATTTTTACAATTTGTAGACAAACGTAAAGTAAACAAAAAAGTAAACAAACAAACAAAAGAGAATACAAAACATTATACAAATAACATTGTCAGTCTTATTGTTTGAAATAAACATTTATAAATGTTTACAATGTCAAAGAACAAAAAAATAAAAATAAGATTCCAAAATATTTAGTAAGTTTATACTAAATATCAATGACCTCTAGATAAATTTACCTCGATGTCATTGGTAAATATAGTAATAGCAAACATTAGACCAGTGTTTACAAGATCAAATTCGATTATCAAAATATACCTCATTTACGGCGTAGAAAGCCTTGTCTAGTAAATAAGATTTCAATGCTTTGCGAAATGAAGAAAATGATGTTATGGATTTGATTTCAAACGGCAGGTGATTGTGCATTTTTTTCGAGTTGTATAATATTGAACTTTTAGCTAACTCTGAGCGTGGGGTAGGTAAATAAAGATCTTGCTCCGCGTTCCTGAGTGGATAAGTGTGAGATGGCCTTTCTTGAGAAGCTGATACATGCTTACCTATTAGGCAAACGGATTCAAATATAAATAAGGAAGGAAGAGCTGATGCTATTTTTAATTTTTTAAAAAAGTCCTGGCAATGAGTTCTGCTGTTTGGTCCCAGTGAATATCGAACAGCTCTCTTCTGGAGCTTGAAAATGCGGTCAAATTGAGTCGCACAACACGTACCCCAGAATGGAAGGGCATATCTGAGGTGCGACTCAAAAAATGCATAATAAACAGTTCTAGCCACTGACAAGTTAAGCTCCTTAGAAACAGATCTTAATGCAAAACAGGCAGAGCTTAATTTTTCAGAGAATTTTCTACAACAAGCCCTAAGAATTTTACAGATTTTACGACGTCAATGGTGGTGTTGTTAAGTACAAAAGGTTGCCTGTCGACAAGGCGGCCAAGGAGGCCGAAATCGACAAACTATCAAAAGACAACTTTTAATCGGCATTAAACTGCTTACACTATTTCGCTAACAAGATAAAAAAAATCAGTGGTGTACATGCTTTTTTTAGAAAAAATACTCCAGTGATAACCCATTTAAAATATGTCGCATCTATAGTAACCTGTACCTTCAAAATTTCATTCGAAACGCTAAAAGCTCTTGGAAGAAAATTATAATAAATCGAAAAAATATTAAGACTTTAACACCCTGTAGCTACCGAAATAAAGCAGAATCGGACCTATGTTGATATGAAAAATAAATCTTATTTTTACGTGAGGATGCTCCCCACGAGAGATGGCACATGTTTTTTAAAACACCTTGTATAGGGTGCAGTTTAGATTGCTCTAGGTTACATCAGTCCAGTTACAACAAACAGCAGTGAGTGGGATTCTGTAAGCCCCGTAGCAAGAAATTTCCTGTATAGCCTATACCACAGAATATCTAGCTACGCAACAGAAAAATACTCGAAATGAAAGAGCTAAAATTGCACAAATGAAATACTAGATGGCGCGACAATATCATAATCAGAATATAATTGGAAATTTTCAATTTTCGGTTTTGGATCGACGACACGTCGACGGCCTTGAAGCTCGGCTAAATATGCACAGTTGCCAGCATGTTGCCAGATTCAAAAAGACTTTAATTGGCATCCCATTCTTTTTCTGGTGTATAAAAATTTCTTCCTATTCTTCGTTTCTTGTCAGATACACTTATATTAATTATTCGTTTGGCTTTTAAAATAGTTTTAGGTTTAAGTATATTATTAGAAAACATATGGTCACAAAATACATTTTTAATATATGTACACTACTTTATTATGTTAACTAAGAAAATAACTTTAATTACCTTTAAAATTAATAATATACAGGGCGATTGATAGTGATATTTATTAATGCTGAAACGTTAGTAATGAAATATACGTTTAATAATAATGGAAATAATTTATTAAAATCCAGTATAAAAAATGTTAATTGACTAAAAAAATACTATAATAACAAATTTCTTCTGTTTGCTACGTTATTTATATAGACCTAGGTAGATTTTAAAAAGTGACACAGGTACAATTAATAATATATTAGTTCGGCATAAAAGTTGCTGTCACGCAACGTACAATAAATTAAAATTCGTAAAATAAATTAAAATTATTAATTAAACAAATCTTTATAAAGAAACGCAAGTATACCAAATTTTGGCCCATCGAACTCCAGGAAATGATATCATAATATTGTACTATATTATGGTACCACTCGATATGCTTCATAATATTGCAATGTCACCAAAGATCCGTAGTATACCAAATTTAAGAACAATCGAACGCCAGGAAATGGTATCGTAATAATGGTACTATAGAAGGTACCACTTATATGCATTATAGTACCATCATATTACAGTGTCACCGAACATACGGAGCATACAAAGTTTAAGCCCAATCAAACGCCAAGAAATGGTATCGCAATATGGCACTAAATTATGGTTCCCCTTGATATGCTTCATGGTACCATAATATTGCAATGTCATAAAAAATACGCAAGTACAATCAAATATGAGCCCAATCGAACGTCAGAAAGTGGTATCATAATATGGTACTATAGAAGGTACCACTTTATATGCATTATAGTACCATCATATTACAATGTCACCGAACACACGTAGTATACAAAGTTTAAGATCAATCGAACGTCAGAAAGTGGTATCATAATATGGTACTATAGAAGGTACCACTTTATATGCATTATAGTACCATCATATTACAATGTCACCGAACACACATAGTATACAAAGTTTAGGATCAATCGAACGCCAGAAAATGGTATCGTAATATGGTACTACATTATGGTACCTCTTGATGTACTTCATGGTACCATAATATTGCAATGTCATCAAAAATACGCAAGTATATTCAAATATGAGCCCAATCGAACGTCAGGAAGTGGTATCGTAATATGGTACTATATTAAGGTACCAGTTTATATGCATCATAGTAGTACCATCATATTACAATGTCACCGAAAATACTTACTATACCAAAGTATAAGTCCAATCGAACGCCAGGAAATTCAAATACAATCAAACGTCACAAAGTGATTGTAATTCAGCTCGTAAAATTTAACTCAAACCAACATGGCAAGTTAAATACCTAAAAGTTTGAAAAAAGAGCTCTGATCTATTTTAATATATTTAAATGATGCAGCAAATTTGAAGGTAGGCTTTATAAGGAAGTATTACAATATGAATTATACAATAGCAACACTGCATAAAATTATTTTAAATTTCGTTTGTAGAAAACTGTTTTCTTTTAAATTTATTGCCCTCTATTATGTAATAGCAGAACTACCGCATCAAAATATCTGATTTGGAGACAGGCTTTAAAAGCCTGTCTCCTTTTGATACCTACGATTTTATACGTATAACGAGGCTTCTGTTGCGTAGCTAGATATTCTGTGCCTATACTATTTGTATACGATTGATGAGTCACTAGACAGGAAATATGTTTGCAGAATCGGGCCCCAGATCTCTTGTTCAACTTCAAAGCATTGTTGGTTGCATAATAAGCAACAAATCACAAATGAAGTTAATTATAAATCATGTAATACTTACGTCTTCATTATCACAGGCAACCATATCTCCATAAGATACCTGATTGCATAGGCAGTACCGACGTTCGTTGGGATCGTACGTCCATTCGTCCGTCACTTCGGCATTGGCAGTATCCACCTCCATGGCGGATATTTCAGGTACTGTGACTGGCTGTGGCGCCGCTACGACTTGTTGGACAGACGATGAACTAGATGACAGACTATTACTACTATATTTTCTGCAAAAAGAGCTATTATGAACGGACGGTATTTCAAACAGAGTTGAAAAAAACATACTTTTTTGTTATTAAACAAACGCAAAAAAAACGTGTTTTTTTTCGATCATACGTTAGTATACAGGGTGGTCTGAACTGTATTTCGGAAATTTCGGCAGCATATTCTGCAGATAAAAATAAGTCAAAAACTTCGTATAAATGTATGTCCTAAAATGCTTAGTTTCGGAGATACAGGGTGTATAAGTTTCATATTTATTTCGATTTTTTCCAAATAATTTCTGAAGTAAAGTCGATATTTGGATGAAAATTGGCGTGTGGGAGTTTTTTGACATGAGAAATTTGATTTTGATGCCAATATGACTCCTATTTGTAGGGGGCGCCACCTACATGTGTTTTAACTGTTTTGAAGAGTAATAACTTTTCAACTATCTACTCAACATTTTTATGTTTGTCAACAATAACATGTATTGACTATTTCCATTTTAAATATCTTAACGGTTGCTCGTAGCGATTTTAACCAAGGGACATTTTTACGTAGAAAATAACGGAAATGTATATTTTTTTATTCAGTAGTTTTATACAGGTACGGACGAAAAGTTATCTTTAATTACAGTTAAAACCTTTGAATAAGAAGACTAAGGAAGGAGCATATCAAAAATCTTAGGTCCACCGCGATGGGCCTCAAATATGGCCGACTTAAATTCCGGTTTATCAGTGCCGTTCTAATTTTACGTGGGGTAGACTCAAAAATTTTTTTTTATTTTACGTTGTGAATAAATGTTGGTAGTTATTAAAATTGTTATAAAAATATAAAATTCTAATAAAAATAGATAAGTTATAATAATTATATATAACCATAAACATCCGATACGCTACTGAAGCAGGTAAGTCAAATTGACATATCTAAATTCTTTGACAAATAGTAAATAAAAGCAAAAATGCAAGAAAAAATTTAGAAAATTAGAAGTGAATTTCATAAATGATCGGTTTACTACACGTATGTATATTATATAGTCACTTACTAGCGAAAAGTTGTTCCATTATTTCACTCAATTTTTGCCGAGATCTACCGCACGCTACACAACCAACTATTTTAGAGTCTTTTTCGATAAATCGCGATAGTGTCACAGTTAATTTAAGTTCTGCCACAATTTCCATCTAGATTTACTACCTTTATACAACTATCAGTAGTATAATAAATAATAAATAACATAAAATAAGCTCCGTAAAGACCGACAACTCCACAAAACTTCAAATAAAATTCAAATGTGTCAAATGAATCGTCAAACAGAACTGTCAAGGATCCCCACCCTAGAGTCCTTTTTCCGCCCACCATGCATGAATACATGGATAGCATTATGCTCCTTCCTTAGTCTTCTTATTCAAAGGTTAAAACACATGTAGGTGGCGCCCTCTAAAAGTAGGAGTCATATTCACATCAAAATCAAATTTCTTATGTCAAAAAACTGCCACACATCAATTTTAATTTAAATATTGACGTTACTTCAGAAGTTATTTGGAAAAAATCGAAATAAAAATGAAACTTCTACACCCTGTATCTCTGAAACTAAGCAATTTAAGACATACATTTATACGAATTTTTTTACTTGCTGCCGAAGTTTCCGGAATGCAGTTCGGACCACCCTGTATATTATAAAACGTTTAAAACAAGTTTTTAAACAAAAAGTTTCAAACATACACAACCCTGATTTCAAATGACAGATCATAAAGAGCTTCATGTGCGACACTTACTTTTGTTTCTTTTTGTGGTTGGCGTGATCCTGTTGTATGGCTTGTATGGCAGTTTGTGCTGCTCCAGCTAGTTCTCTCGGTATGAATTCGTGACCGCTAGTATTAATAGCTTCGTAAGAGGCTTTCAAACTAGCCGTTCTCCTACCCTGTTGCATCTGAAACGGTTAAAGGACTTTTAATGCGGGTCTAATTTATATCCGACATTTAAAAAAATTAGTCCCACTCCCACTAGTAATGACGTCATGAGATATGCAACCAAGATTACATTAGATTCTAATGATTTTCGTCTGTTTTAATTTCAATCTTGTGAGTTTACATGCATCTGTCAATAATTAATAAAATATTTTAACGTAGGTACTGGCATTTATTAATAAATCATACAACATAATAAAAAAAATATAAAAAATATAATCGAGAGTCTACTGTAATATGAAACTTAATTTACTGTTTATGCCTTAATTGTACCTTCAATGCATTAAAGATATATACTTAGGTACAAATTATTATGCAAAATGAACCTTACAATAAAAATTAATACGTTTAAATATATTATTGATAATTAAAATATGGTAAAATACAGGATTATTCTAGTAAATTATACTAAAAAGTGTGTTATTCATTTTAGAATAAACTATTTTATACCAATTTCTGAAATTCTCTTTGTTAAGACTCCAGTGTAATGTCGGTTGCATATTCAAGGAAGTAATATTAACCATCCCACTATGTTTTTTAGAGAAAAAATACATATTTTCAAGCAAAAAGTGATGCAAACCAGGGGGGTGACAGTAAACCGGAAAATTGGAAACAGTTCTGGCGCGGTCTTACCCAGGCAGAAAGCATGGCCTTCTAGACTGTCCTAGACAAAAATCTGAATATTTCTATATGATTTCTGTCAATTTCAGTTACGGAACATTTTTATGCACGTCGGCGTCCTCTTCTTTTGTCTGTGTGTCAGCCATGTGTCAACTCCCGAGGCCTCTGGCAAGGTCTGGCGCCATTTTAATTTTTGCCGTTTTAGATTTGATTGGAAGTTTGTTTATGATATTTCGGCTGAAATTTATAAGTACAAAGATGTTTTTTGATATAAAGTTCCTTGTTAACACTTTAATAAAGTATATATGGTATTAATTACATGAAGAAAATGATGAAATCGACGTTTCTGCGTGTAGTAGGTATGGGCCATATTATATGTAAAAATAGGTAATATATTAACTGTTTTTATATTTTTTTAGCTTTAGATCCAAGGATCTTGGGATATTCTTTACCAAGGATTTTTCCGTATCTCTACTTTAAAGACTGATCGATGATTTTGAGCAATTGAAAGCAAGTTGCACAAGGTAAATTATGATTATTGAACTATTATTAGCTTACATTAATTATCTACAAGATGAACAGAAATGCGTAATTACATATCACATAGGTACCTATTATGTATTTTCATAGCAATAATGCTATGTATGTAGATTATTTTTAAAATACAAATGAGGTATTAGATGTATATGTATCATACTTTTTATTCATTTTATTTTCATTCAAGTCCTGTTTGATTTAATTCACAACAGTCTTATGTACCTATATTTATGTTTTTTTACATATTTTTTTTTGATTCCAGGTTTTGCGTGGGTTCCTGTTGTCTTTTTCTTGCTTCCAGTTAGTTTTACGCCCGTGAAGCTGTGAAAACATTTATTTATCTTCAAGTTTCTGTAAGTCAGTGCATTGTTACTTTACTATTTCACTTGAACACAGCATCTCTGATGTTATTTAAATATTTTGATATTGATACAGTAGTTTATGGGTTTATAGCTCTTTAATTGTGTTGATTTGCATATTTACATTGTTCTAAATTCCAAATAAATATTTTGAGTAATTTTGTTGTATTATTTACTACTAGAAAAAGTAAAAAGTATATTAACCCTCATTTAAACCTCCTGAACAGCCCGCCATTAAAAACCGGAAACGGAAATAAATTTCATAAAATTGAAATTGTCATGTCAGTGAAGTGTCTATGTCATGTCAAATGTCCCAGCCGCCATATCTGAAAATTAGTTACCCAGGCAGCCACGCTGTTTCCATAATTTAACATTGACTTGACACTTCTTCTTGTATTTATTATTTTATGATGCAAACTAAGAAAAAAAAAACGGGTGCGATAGAAATATACAAAAGCGACAAACCTTCGACTGTATTAATCCAAAGCAAAGCAGAACAAAAGCAAAACATTATTAGAAAAACACCTAAATCTAAGAATATCCTAAAATACTGCCTAAGCTAAGAAATAAGCTATAGAAAAAAACAATAAAAATAATTAAAAAAATATTTTTTTTATTTTTCACAATTTTAAATTATTTTTGAATAACTTTTTGATGTTTAAGAATTTATTAAATTTAGCGACAATGTATAATCTAGAAAAATAAATTTATTATAGTATATATCATTTTTATATAAGAAAAAATTATAGGTTCAGTCGACGTAATGTAGAACTAAAAAAAAGATGTCATAGCAGCCTTTGTAAATCTAGGTACATGTTAATGATTAAAATGTCTGAAAATTTTTACTTTTTTTCAGGTAGTAATTTTAGCAAGTTTTTATTCCAATTCATAGGCTACTATGACACTGTTTTTTTTTTCAATTATATAAAGAGAAAAAAAATACACATCAGTTGAATTAAAAACCCAAATGACTATAATATCACATAAAGATTAATAAAAATATATATCTGTCCAACAAGAGGATCTATAATGGTGACAGTTGTGTATGTCACTTTAATTGATTTAATTCATAGGAAAATTGTAATTTCTGTCATTTTTTTGATGCTGTCTGTCAAAACCTTCCCTGATTTGTTGGACTGACTATAAACACTAATAAAAACTTTAGACTGGGGAAGAAAGCACTTACTTGTTGAGTGGCTGCTATTGCCTGAGAAGCAGCAGCAGCAATGGCCGTTCCTGCACCTAGATTATGGCCCAAACTATAAGATATATTCGGGCTGGCTACAGCAGGGGCCTGTGAAACCGAAGCCACATGTCTAGGTTCGACCAAAGGAGATGGAATGATGGTTTGCCGTTTTTCAGTATACTGGTTCGGCAACGAAATGCTACTATCCCTACGCTTTTCGCCACGTGACCGAATATACCGAAAACTACTTGAACTTCCACTAAATTAAAAAGAAAATTATTCTTAAACTCAGAAAGTACTGGGGGATAATATATTAACCTTTCATATCTATTTTCCTTTTGCTGACTAGATATATTGGATGTTGGCAAAGGTGTATCTAATTCTAAAGACCTTTTCTCTAACACTTCGGTTATTCCTTTGTGATCGGCTTCAAGTTCACATTTGAATTTATGCAGTTCCGTGTCCAGTCTTCTTAAGTACTTTTCTACTAAATCGTACATTGTATTTGCTAGTTGAACCTAATAATATAATCCGAGTGATAATATACTGTTTTATTTTTTAAGAATGCCATTCTAACCTTCTCATCAGCATCTTCAAGGGTTTTATAATATTCTTTTCTAATAGATTTGTATTCTTCTTCTAAATTTTGAGGTATTTCTTGATTCTGAAATCTCTTACAATCGTTAAAAAATACTTTAACCCTTTTTTCAAGTTCGTCCATATTATCTAGAAGGAATGTGGCTTAGAAAAACATAAACCTTAATTAATACGAGTTTATTACTATGTATACTTAAGTCCATTTCCCTCATATCAGTAAATCTATCTCTGAGTTCTTGGGGTAAATGTTCGATCACTAAAAAATATCAAGTTTGAATTTACCGCCATTTTCAACAAGGACACGTCAGCTTCCTAAACAATCACCAACTTACTTTCCAGATAATCTTCTAAATACAACATACTTATTAATAAGGTTTAAAATTTCACGAAAAACACAACTATTGTATTAAATTTGCAGGATTTTGGCTAGAAATTTGTTTATTTTTAACGTGTTTTTGTCACATATGTTTGTCAAACGGACATTTGCAATCAAAACTGCCAACATCTTAATATGAAATTGAAAATCCCAAGTTGTTTAACAAATAAATATGTATTATTATTTTACATATTCTCCACAGTTCGATATAATTATCTCTTCCAATGGTTTTCCAATTTTTCTCCCATAATACTGAATATCCATCAAAATATCGTTTCCTTTTATAACGTTGCCAAAAACAACGTTCTTGTGATCGAGCTGTTCCATTTTACGAAATGTTATGCAAAATTGTGAGTTGTTTTCTGCCCACCCAATTCTCTTCATGGATAAAACACCTTAAATAATTGCCTTTTATAAATAATTAAACTTTAAAACACAATTCACTAATTAACTACACAGTAAATTTTTTATGGTGGTATTGCAAATCAAATGTCACTAGAAAAGAAACTAAACAATAAGTACTACCACACTCAGAAAACGAAAATTAAAACTTATGTGTATATTTGGTTGCATACAACACATTTTAAAAGTATTCAATGAGAACTACAAAAAAAACTAATTTAACAATTTAAAAAGTAAAAAATACCTGCTTTAGTATGTCTCAATTTATGATTCTCCTCCGCGAATGACTTTCCGTAGATGGAAAAGCCTCCTCTACCATTACACTGGGTTATATCACCCATCTCCATATACTGTCCCATAATAATTCTGTGCACCAAGTTATCTCTATAAGTTAAGCCTGTACCTTTGCATATTTCAAGGAAATTTTGTACAGTTACAGGCACGTGATCGTAGTACAATTCGATTACAATACGTCCCAAATATTTTCCATTTTTTACTCGAAAGTCTAGGAAGCAACTGGTAAAACAAAATCGTGAGGTCTAAAATTTATAATTTAAGACATAAATATGAATAAATATACTTACAAAGGTCGTAGTTCAGGCCTTTTGCATGTTAGCAGATGACTAATTGATAGGGCTTGCTTTAACTCGGTGTCTAAAGAAGGTTTTTTCACAATGCATACTGGGTATTTACAAATGTGCTTGATTTTTGCCAGAGTCCTATTCCACTCTTCATCAAACAGTTTATTGTTATAAAAGGTTTTCTAAAATTATAACAAATAAAATGTATAGATATAAAATAGGATCTTGAGCCTCTGTATCATAGCCTCTTATTCTATTAATTCCTTTTCATTTATACAGGTTAATATTGGGACACCCTGTTACTGTTAACTTACCGCGGTTTTAATAAGATCATATAAGTCCTTATTCTTCCTCTCAATTTTCTTTAAAGCTACATTATAAGCCCGCCATTTGTTGACTCTTCTGTAAGCTAAGGGATTATAGGTATCCACTTTACCCTAAAAAAATTATACAGAATTAAAATTAAAAATTTGTGCATAAAAATATTTACGCCCAGTCGGTTGATTGTGTTGATTTTTTTTAGCAACCCTTTATTTTCTATATCTATATCGCGGAGTCTTTGAGCGTCTTCCTTCATCTTTTTCATGTCTAGATATTTGAATGGGTTCATTTTGGGTGGATGATCGTCCACCAGGGCTCTGGCATAGAATATCTTAAATATTTAATAACAATTTATTAATAAATTAAATACTGATCCTTATACAGGGTTTCTGAATTTAATTTAATTAAATGCTTTACCTAGAAACCTGCCTTCTTTACCTCCTTACCTTCTAAACTAGCAAATGAGCTAAATTTTAGCTCATTTGCTAGTTCAGAATTAGAATTATTAGAGTTAAGCAACTCGCATTTTCATTGGAGGACATCGTTATATTTATTAATAAATAATTTCTGAAGTAACGATAATATTTAGATGAAAATTGGAGGTCTGGGAGTTTCTTGATATAAGAAATTTAATTTTGAATGTCAATATGACTCCTATTTGTAGGGGGCGCTACCTACATGTGTTTTAACTGTTTTGAAGAGTAATAACTTTTCTCGTCCGTACCTGTATAAAATTATTGTGTGAAAAAATATACATTGCCGCGATTTTTTAAGTAAAACATATGTCTCTTGGTAAAAATCGCTACGAGCAACCGTTTTCAAAATATTTAGAATGGAAATAGTTAATATATGTCATTAGTGACAAAAAATAAACATGTCGAGTAGATAGCTATTTGACTGAAATGATAAATTTGGGAACTTTTATTTTTTTAAATTAATCACAAATTTTTCTTCGAAAAAATGATGATAAAACAGTTTCTGTTGAACTTTTGACTGAAAATCATTTCAAATTTATGATTTCAGTCTAATAACTATTTAGTCAACATGCATGTTTAATTAATGAAGTCAATGATCACAGGTATTGATAATTTCGATTCCAAATATCTCGAGAACTATTACTTGTAGCGATTTTTACCAAGAGACATTTCTTACGTAAAAAACGTTAAATGTATATTTTTATACTCACTAGTTTTGTACAGGTACAGACGAAAATTTATTACTCTTCAAACTAGTTAAAAAATATGTAGGTGGCGCCCTCTACAAGTAGGAGCCATGTTGGCATCAAAATGAAATTGCTCATGTTAAAAAACTCCCAGACACTAATTTTCATCCAAATATTGACGTTACTTCAGAAATTATTTGGAAAAAATCGAAATAAAAATGAAACTTCCACACCCTGTATCTCCGAAACTAAGCATTTTAGAACATACAATTATACGAACTTTTTTACTAATTTTTATCTGCAAAATAAGCTCCCAAAGTTCCCGGAATACAGTTCGAACCACCCTGTATATTATTATAATAAAAATAATAATAATTTATATTAAACGAAAGTAAATACGAATAAAGTTTGCGTTAAAGTTAACGAGTTGACAAAAAGTAATATTAATTACTCACGTTACGGCGATGGGTATTAAACATTTTCAAGTCATTCTTACGCTCATCTTCTTGCACCTCCCCAGGCAAATATCTGGGAATTTTGGCTTGCCTAAATTTTCTCCCCTTGGCCATTTTCGTTCCCAAATTTTCCGACAAAAATACGAAAGAAATAAACGATAAAACCTACCCCGCGGCAATGTCAAGTGACATTACTGAAGTCTGCCACTTCACTTTCGTCAACCCATCAAAATTTAAACAAAAAATGTTTATGTGAACATTGCTAACATAATGAGATATGTCTTGCACTCAGCAAGGAAAAAAGGTAAGTCTTTATGCTATTTTGTTAGGTGCTTTATATGCTTGATGGTGTGCTTACTTAAGAGTCCATTTCACTAGTTCGAAAAAGAAGCTTTCGGCATTTAAAGTTTTACGTAAACCTGGCTAGGTATTTTCACACAAATGAAGAAAGAAATTAAAGATAAAGGATTATACTATATCCGTATAGTAGCACATTTTTAGACAACTTCTTTATTTTTAGGATTTTTATAATCAAACATCAACAAAATATTCCTTATGTTTGGATTAAATTTTCTCGAAAACAAAGACATAATTTAAAATTCCGTTACAATACGGAAATAGATTGAAGTTTTGTGATTACAGTGATATATAATTTATATGGTTTTGTAACAAATTGCTCGCTATTTTATGGCAAATGCTGAAGCTCCGCAAACCTTAATCAAGCCTTAATTAAAGCACGTGTGTTTGGAATTTTGGGTGTGGCTTAACATGACACGATCGGGCTAAACTTTAGGCAGATTTTTTTTTCAGCATAAGTTACAAATTGGGACCTAGCTAAATGAGGTTTTTATTCAAACTACGCCGACCCACCCCTAGGTGCCACCCCCTCACTTCTAACCTCAAGATAGCGATACCCCACTTGTGACACGACATCTTTGGAAAGCGTATAAAAAATGCTGAATGACTGTCATAAAAAGAACGAAAAAAATAGAGCCTAAAAATAAAACAAAAATGTCAAAACGTGTCACAATCAATAGAATGAATTATTTTTGTATCCATGAACCATTACGGGAAAAAAAAAGCTGGTGCAAAGAAATTTATTATAACTCTTAATGAAGACCTCATACACTTTTAGCAAGATTTAGCCCCTTCGCATTATTCTATTGTCACAAGGCGGTGGTTGGATAAATATTATCCAAGGCAATGGATTGGTAGAAGGGGTCTAATCGAGTGGCCGCCAAGGTCACCTGATCTCACTCCTTTAGACTTTTCCTTGTGGGGTTATACTAAATCCATAGTCTACAAGACAAAACCAGGTTCGTTGCAAGAATTGCGGCAGAGGAGAACTGAAGCATGTCGAAATATTCCGAGAGAGACTTTCCAAAAAGTGAGAGAAGAATTTGAAAATCGTTTGTATTTTTGTATGGAACAAAATGGCTGTCATTTTGAGCAATTATTAAAATAAATTATCATTTTAAATTTCTTTCAAATTGTCACACCTACAGTTCTTGTCACTAACCAGTAATTAAGTTGAAGTCTGTATGACCATCGTTTAGCAATTTCTATTAGCTTTCCAAAGAAGTGTCATAAGTGGGCTTTCGCTATCTTGAGATTAGAAGTGAGGGGGCGCCACCTAAGGGTGGGTTGGAATGGTTTGAAAAATACTTCATTTCCGTCATTTAGCTGTGTCCCAATTTGTAACTTATGCTGAAAAATCACTTTTTTCATTAATGTCCACCTAATTGTTCGTGTAAGGGTAGTTTTTCAATTTCACCCTAAAAACTTTATGATCATCATTTAGCATTTTTCATGAGCTTTCCAAAAAGACGCCACAAGTGGGGTGTTGCCATTTAAGATTTTTAAGTGAGTGGTGGTGCCTCCTAAGGGGTAGGTCGGGATGGTTCAAAAAATACGTCATATGTATTCTCTCTCGATATTATAGAAACGGTATTTTTTATTTTTTTGATATCTTTTTTGGTTTAAAAATTATAGCCATTGTAAGTTTTCAGTGGCCCACCCTGTATATTTCCTTCGGTCACACACCCGCTACTCGACTCCTGAGAGTGACCCAAACAGTACCTATAGCGTTATAGAGCCTTAAGAAGAGTAAATTAGATAATAATATTGTAGGTATAGGATACTCAATAATAAAAAGAAGAAAAAAATTATCGGGCAAGCCTACAGTAAGATTAGTCATGAGACATGACTAAAACATGACTACCCGTAGACACTCGGTGTTTCTGCCTTCCCGCTTCATCAATACGGGAGGAATCAGCAACGATGAACTAGTGATCCTAAAAAAAATGAGAAAGGGAAGCAAACGAGGCACAAGGCAGCAAGGCACCATTTGCAGCATGGTTAGGCAGTAGCTCACAATTCGCAAGCGTTACCACCAGTGGCGTAACAACAGTCTCACGGCCTGTGTGCAAACATTTTACCGGGCCCCCTGTTACACCTACATATTTCAATACTTATATACTAATCTGAATAATATGCATTCATATTTTAGGTTAGAAATAATATTATCAAATTAATTTTTATATAGTATTATATATCCTCATCAGAAACAGAAGGGTTACGTAATAATTCAGGCAAAATTGCACGAAAATTTAAATAAACCTCATTGAGTCCAGTACTTCGAGATTTTATTTGAAATATAATTATATCCAAGCTTTTAAAAAATACGTTTATTTTAAACCAATCTTCATTTGTTTGAATTTGATTATGGTTATTAATTTCGTCAAAGAATATTTTTGGGCAAGACATCCTTTTCTTTACAAATTGAGTTGTTGTACCCGTTGTACCCCATTGATTGCTTCGCTAGATCAATAGCTTCCGCCATAACTAAATTAAAATCATCACGCATTTTTTTATGTTTTCATATAACACCGTGAACAATTTAGATGCCTCCTCAATATTTTGCTGTTTGTTTCGAAATAGCTTAGAAACAACGTCAATATTTTTAAAATTTTTGTTTGAAAAATAATTAAAAATACGATTTCAAATTTTTCTAACTGATTTTTTAATGCTGTTGCCTCATTAGCTTCAGGTTTATTAGTAGAAATTAAAATGATTTTTGAAAGAGCTTTTAAAACATTTACATACTTAAAACGAAGAGCTTCTAGCGCATCATATCTTGATGACCAACGAGTAGGAGTTAGTTTTTTAACTAACTTATGGAGCAGTTGCCTGGTACACAAAACTAGAGCAACGGACGGCAAGGCTAAACCTATGCAAAGTCCAGAGACTAGCATGTGTGTGCATCACAGGAGCCATGAGAACCTGTCCAACAGCAGCAATGGAGGTCATTCTAGATCTAACACCACTGCACATTGTCATTGGTAGATATGCCAATGCGACAATGATTAGAATGGTCACTAACGGAATTAGTACTGGGAGAATTGTCAGATCAGGGGCTTGGAACACCCTCAAAAAGGAAATACAACTCATGCAACTCCCAGTGGACGATATGCCAAGAACGTACAACTTTGACAAACATGTCAATGTAGTATTGAGCAATAAGAAGGATTGGAAGAGCGAAACGCTTGCCCAGCAGTTAAAAGACCATACCATAACTTGGTATACTGATGCTTCCAAAACCAATACGGGAACAGGGATCGGAGTGTTTGCGCCGAGAGCTAATTACTCCGAACCAATGGGCACTTACCCTAGTATCCTACAGGCAGAAATCTACGCTATCGAGAGATGCGTACAACTTATCTTAGATAGGAACTATCGGAAACAAGAAATAGCCATCTTATCTGATAGTCAAGCAGCGTTAAAGGCGATCAACTCAGTATCAATCGATTTGAAATTGGTCAAAGAATGCATAGAGAAGCTGAATAAATTAGGCAAAGAAAACAAAGTCCTCCTACACTGGGTGCCTGCTCACCAAGGGATAGAAGGCAATGAAAAAGCAAATAATCTAGCTAGGAAAGGAGCGAACACTCCACTAACTGGACCAGAACCGTTCTGCTTTCCAGTGGTAACCAACTCAAGGCGGAACTCAAGAACTTGGAAGATTCCATCCGCAACCTGGAATGGAAATCTTGCAATGGTTTAGGACACTCGAAGAAGTTTCTGAGGGCTTATGATCAAGAAAAATCACAGATCTTCCTGGGTCTGAGTAAGAACAATCTTCGGATTGTCACGGGGTTTTAACAGGACACTGTCTCCTCAATGAACACCTCAGTAGATTGAAACTAAGAAGAAACGGCGAATGCAGATTCTGTGGGGAAGATGGTGAAACACCAGTACACCTCATCACTGAGTGCGCCGAGACGACAACCATTCGTGCCATGAATTTTGGTACGACTGATATTGGAGATGGAGAACTACCCTCTATAAAACCGTCCCAGATACTGGCTTTTGTCAAAGCCCTGGGACTGTATGATGAGTTATGATTCAAGAAAGGGGGACACAATGTAAGGTCGAAGTGATTAACCCCCCTCCCACTCATTCTAAATTCTAAAAAAATTCTAGTTTTTTAACGTTATTTTTTTATTTTTGGTAACACTTTGTAAAAGAGCCCATCGTTTTATACTATGCCCAAGAAATACATATACCTACATTTTGAATCAAGTCGTAAAAACTTCTTAATTCTTCAATATTTTTAACAGAATCGTTAAGAATTAAATTTAAATTATGAGCTGCGCAATGCGCATATGGAGTATAAGATGATACCCTTTGATACCTTCGATATCGCAGCCACATCGCAGCCTGAACACCTTTATACATCTCGCTCATATTTGCAGCGCCGCGCCGTTGTAACCTTGTCCACGGAGTATAACAGTATAATTTTTAATGCTCTTTTTGATGCTACAACTAGCTTAGTTCTATTTCTATTCGATGGTTTGGTCGGAATGAAAAATCACATATTTGCAGTTATTTTTATTTTGCAAAATATAAAGGAACACAGCTACTAAATTGCACAAGAACAAGTGTAAAGTAATAAGTTATTTTCGCGATAGCGTGTGCTAGTTAAGGAGTTAAGAAGACATGTGATAGATAAGAACTTAGTTCGGGATCGCCCGATTCTGCTTGATTCGCGATAGCATGTGATAGATATGGAAATGCGGCCCGTGTGCTTCGCACACACGGCACATCGATAGTTACGACACCGGTTGCCACCGAAAAACCGCTGCGGAGGCATTCCAACACACCTCGCCGCTATCACCTTGGCCCAGAGGATACAATAAACAAAAGATGTTATCGTGATATTACAGTTCTCAAAAGAAGAAAGAATTTATTGGACAAGTCCACAGTAGTTTAAAACAAGACTACCCCTAGACACTCAGTGTTTCTGCCTTCCCGCTTCATCAATACGAGAGGAATCAGCAACGATGAACTAGTGATCCTAAAAAAAATGAGAAAGGGAAGCAAATGAGGCACAAGGCACCATTTGCAGCATGGTTAGGCAGTAGCTCACAATTCGCAAGCGTTACCACCGAAAAACCGCTGCAGAGGCATTCCAACACACCTTGCCGCTATCACCTTGGCACAGAGGAAACAATAAATATAATTAGCGGTTTTTCGATGATAACGCTTGCGAATTATGAGCTACTGCCTAACCAGGCTGCAAATGGTGCCTTGTGCCTCGTTTGATTCCCTTTTTCATTTTTTATACATCCTGTATATTATTTTTTCAATAGATGGAGAATTAAAAAATGAACATTTCTTGTATTTAGAGTATTTCAAAATGTTTAACGGTCAATTTCATATGACATTTTCCACAGTAAGTTTTTATCAAAGCCACCCAATGATTTTTCTCTCGTATATTTTACCATTAAAAGTGCCATATGAAATAATACTGCGTGTATCTGTAAAGCTACTAAACATGTTGAAATACTTTAAATACAATAAATGTTCATTTTTTAACTCTCCATCTAACAAAAAAAATAATATATAGGGTGTTCAAAAAAATGTAACACTTTAAATATGACGAAAAGAAATTAAATAAATCGATATTAGTATTTTTAAGCAATAAATCCAGATAAACTAAGTAATTAATTATTGATATAATTTAATGTTTTCAGGACCCATCGAATCCGGACCCACCCAAATGTAGCGCCTGTCTGCACTACATGCGCAAAATCGAGACGATCGAACGAGTTCAGTCAGGTAGAGAAACGGTTATATCGGCGTTGCAACAGCAATTAAAAAAATGCGAAACGAACTACAAAAAGTTGTTCGATGATTTCGAAAAACTGAGGTTCGAGCACAGCACCGCCATGCAGCGCAACTTCAGTTTGAAAGAAATCAACACGAAGGTAGTTTGGTTTGCTCGGTCGGTATAGGGTTCCGTTTCAGCACGTAAAATCAAAATTTAAAGCAACCAAAAAACATAAAAAAGACACTAATTTTGTCTATTCTATAGCTTGTTGCATTAAGGTCTATTCAAACAATGTCAGCTATGTCTCAGTTACGTTGGACCAAATACTCTAAGGGTATATCCTCCAGAAGTCTGCAGAAGAAGTTCTCTCATCGTTGCTAAATAAATCTTATAATTTGTAGACAAAGGTAAACAAACAAAGTAAGCAAACAAACAAAAGAGAATATAAAACATTATACAAATTACATTGTCAGTCTTATTGTTTAAAATAAACATTTATAAATGTTTACAATGTCAAAGAATAAAAAAATAAAAATAAGATTCAAAATCAATAAACTCTAAATAAATTAATTTCGCTGTCATTGGTAAATATAGTAATAGCAAACATTAGACCAGTGTTTACAAGATCAAATTCGATTATCAAAATATAAGTCATTTACGGCGTAGAAAGCCTTGTCTAGTAAAAAAGACTTCAATGCTTTGCGAAATGAAGAAAATGATGTTATGGATTTGATTTCAAATGGCCGGTGATTGTGAATTTTTTTCGAGTTGAATAATATTGAACTTTTAACTAACTCTGAGCGTGGGGTAGGTAGATAAAGATCTTGCTCCGCGTTCCTGAGTGGATAAGTGTGAGATGGCCTATCTTGAGAAGCTGATACATGCTTACGTATTAGACAAACGGATTTAAATATAAATAAGGAAGGAAGAGTGAATATTTTTAATTTTTTAAAAAAGTCCTGGCAATGAGTTCGACTGTTTAGTCCCAATGAATATCGAACAGCTCTCTTCTGGAGCTTAAAAATGCGGTCAAATTGAGTCGTACCCCAGAATGGAAGGGCATATCTGAGGTGCAACTCAAAAAGTGCATAATAAACAGTTCTAGCCACTGACAAGTTAAGCTCCTTAGAAACAGATCTTAATGCAAAACAGGCAGAGCTTAATTTTTTCGACAAAGCGTCGATATGCATGTTCCATTTCAGAAAATTGTCTACAAGAAGCCCTAAGAATTTTACAGATTTTACGACGTCAATGATGGCGTTGTTAAGTACAAAAGGTTGCAACGAGAATTTACGGAAATTTTGGGAGTTACCTGTGTAAAATTGGAAAGAGGGAAGTTGCGGAATGCCGATACTGTGCTGAACCCAATGATACTCCAGAACACACAATGTTTGCTTGTCCAAGATGGGAACAGGAAAGATGTGAGGCACGCATGACGATTGGTGGCAACATCTCCGCAGATAACTTCTTAAAATCGGTAACAGAAAAAAGCGAAAACTTTGAAGTCATCTCAAAACTGGCCCAAAATATACTAGAGGCAAAATACAGCGAAGAGCAGGGGTAATGACAAAAAAGGAACAGTCCGGCGCTACTTGAGGAGATGCGTCCAGCGGGTCCAGGTAGACGTGGCAGGAGCAAGGGGGTGACGTTTAGTGGGTAGTGTCCTCCAGACAGCTTAAGGAGAGATCGGGACAACGTTGTGTCACGCGACCAAACGTCCGGGCGCAACGTCGGCACAACCTCGTGCCAAACCTAGTCTGCACTAGTTTGGAGAATAATTTTTGGGTCGAAACGACGTTGGATACCGACGTTGGCTAGAAGCCTAATTTAGTACAAACTGCAACGTTGTTTAAAATCCTAATTTACAGAAATACAAAACTAATATGGCGTCTAAGTCGCGTTTTATCCTAAATTAGGATAATTATAGTAAAAATATTATTTTTATGATTTAGTTAGAGACATATGTCAGATGACAGTGAAGGAAAACAAAACAAAAGTATTTAAGTGTGGAGGATGTTTGAAGATCATAATTATTGAAACACTTTAACCGACTCTGTAACTCGTTACCCAAGGCAAAAAGTTAAACGCAAACAACTTTATTGATAAATGTATTGTTTCTACTTTGAAAAATACTAATGGGCCTTGAAATTAAAGAAGTTTTAAAAATTTTCTTGAATTTTTTTTTAGTAAAATGAGAATAATTTATTCGCAGTCGAAAAAATTGTTTCCGCGTGTTTTTTAGGGTCAAATATTTCAAGTTAATGTATTCAAAAAGGGTGTTCAAGTTAATGTATTCAAAAAGCAGGAATTGCTATTTTAGGAACGAAACATTTTCTTATTTAACAACATGGCGGCTTTCGCTTTGTTGTTTTGGAGATTAAGATGGAGTAGTTCGAGTAGTCGCATACTGGACTAATAAAGTCGCAGTTCGGCCTTAACAGGTAGTATACTAGTCGCAAAATTGCCTAATTTAGTCATCCTAGAGTTTAGCTTGTGCCGCCCTCTATAATCTAAATAAACGAGGGAGTGGATAAACTATCGGTAATATAGGTCGATGTATATTTAAATTTAGTTTTATATGTACCTTTCTTATGTCCCATTTTAATTAAGTTTTTTTTTATAAAAACAAAAACAGCACTAAACTGTCTGACTGAACAGAACAATGAAGTGAAAATTTAAGATTTAAGGTTATGGTTCAATACAGTTGCAAAAAGGTAATGACTTGACGTCCTACCAACGTAGGAATAAGGAAATTTAAACAACGTTGGAATTAGTAAACCAGACGACGTTTGCATAACGTTGGAATAGGTCCTGAAACTGACGTCGGAAAACTCTATATTGTCCAACGTTGTAACTACGTTGTCCGAATCACCTAAAGATCACTTAAGCAAAAAAGGTTACAAGACAACGTTTATTCGACGTCGCAGAAGCTTCTACTTTGCTGTAGTACTACTCCAACGTCGGCACAACGTTATAAAAACGTTTAAATTTATTTTAATACCAAAGGTAGGGAGCTAACTATTTTTTGTAACTAATCCAACGTTGTGTTTAGTAAACATGTGGTCGCAAGTCGTGCAAATGCAACTTGGGTGGGTAGTGTCTTCCAGGCAGCTTAAGGAGAGATTAAGTCCCACACTCCCTACGTAAAGGTATTTTACACCACCAGAAAAAAACCGTATTTTTTATTATATTCCACTACCGAATATCCAATCACCTTATATTAGTACTACTATTTATATAATAGTCAGTTCATTCATACAAAATAAGTTATTATTTTTAGCTGTTTTACTCTGTAATAGCTGTCACAGATATTAAATGAATAAGGCAGAGACGGTTTGGCAATAACACTGAGATGTGACTGACATATTTATGTTAATAGGCATTGACTGGATTGATACGGAACCCTAATCCGACTGGGTAGTAATTCATATGTCGCCTTACGAGAAAATCTCTCTTTTTAGCTAGAGGACGGTTTTTTTAAGCCGGACGAAAACAAATCTTGTCGGGCCTTGCAGAATGAATCAGAAACTATCAAAGTCGACAATAAAAAAAGGTAAATACTTACTTTACATACTACCTACAATTTCATAATATTGATGTACCTGACACTCATCTGTTATTTAGAAAGACAAAATGACGATCATGATCCGACAAATTATGCACTATCACTGTATATAGACGATGCATGTTTTATTAGCATAAGTTATAGTCTAAGAGCTAGCAACGTTTTCTAGAAAGTATTTTAATACGTCTGGCTCTTTAATATATCTTTTACTATGCTCTCTGGAACAGCATGCGGCCCGTCTGGCTTCCGATACCCGTTGCGTTTACTACTGCGCATCGGAAGAAGATCCTATATTTTTTTATTAATTTAGTCCTATAAATTATAGTATTGAATATAAATCGAACATGTCTCCATAGCGCAGTGCGTGTTATCTGACAAACGAATCTAAAACAGCGGAAGGAATTCGGGCAAAAAAAGTCGATGTTGTCACGTTTAATTATAGAAAAGCAAAGTTGCCCGATATTACCTATAAATTGAATATATTTTAGTTCATCTCAGCATACATAATTATATATATGCTAATATGTTGACGTAGTTCTTATTGTAATAATGTATATTTATCTAATTAACTGATTTCGTTCATTCTGCCTATTATAAAAGGTAAAGTATTTCCTTAAGATAACGTCCGCTTAGGGTAACCTGGCAACGCTGACAAAATTCATCATGGCATCCCGGATTCAACCAGTCTGATTGGTCGAGATTCTCGCACGTCTTGTCACCATTACCCCCAACTTTATGCCCCTCTCTAGGAATAGTAGAAACAGTCACTACTACTGAAAAATCCAGTGGCGGTGTTATTGTATTGTGTTTTATATCTTTAACTTGATTTGTGTTTATTGTAATTAGTACACGCGTTTTAACAAATATTACTATATTTGGCAAATGACTAAACAAAATGTGGGTACATTTAAAGTAAAATAATATTATAAACTTTACTGGAAAATATTATAAAAATTCCTGATATATTTTTATGAAACACCGCGCGCTCGTGGATATTTTATGAATGAAATCGCTCATGATTTTAGAAAATTGTGATCCCCTTGCCGTTGCCCCGTTGTTTTAGATTCGTTTGTCAGACTGTAGAGCTTCCGACCACGAATCGAAGATTTAATTTTAATTTCCAGAATTATTTAATACTTTACTGTCAGAATATAAACGAAAATAAAATAAAAAAGTCTTTGACCTGACCCGGATTTGAACTCTGAATCTTCGGTTCGTGTTCGGAAACTCTACGCACTGCGCTATGGAGACATGTTCGATTTGTATTCAATACTAGAATTAAAGGACTAATAAAAATATAGGATCTTCTTTCATTGCGCAGTAGGGAACGCAACGTTTACCGGCAGCCAGACGGGCCGCATGTTGTTCTAGAGAGCATAGTAAAAGATGTATCAAATAGCTAGACGTCTTAAAATACTTGTTTTTCCGACGTTACTAGCTCTCGTACTATTAATTCACTTGAAAAAATAACGTTTTTTATTTAAAATCTGCATAAAAAATATAAGAGCGGGTACAGATCCAAAAAACATTGGCACACAGAATTCAAAATGCTTGTAAATGTTTGTAAAATTGCTGTCCACACCGAAGCAGCAGTCTTTTGCAATAGGTCTTAGCAAAGCGATTGTAAATTTTTGCATTACTTAGTGTGTACTATGAAAAAAAATGTGGCATTTTGTGTTTAAAAAATAAACATGACATGTAAGTGTCCTATTTTTTTTAAACCAAAGCCTTATTTAAACAAATAGAAGTAGATTATTTAAAGAAAAACCGTGCCTTTTTAAAGTAAAACTTCTTTACGCTCGCTGGGAGATCTGTACCATACGCGTAAACTTACCAACTTACAAGATACTGTACCAACCTTAATGTGTACCAATATCCTCTGGTTGTGTGCTAGGAAGTAAATTTTCGTGCATATTTTCATCGATAGGTTTGTAGTTTCTGAATAACGGTCTAGATAAAGCATCTAGCTCATTTACCAGCTCAGAATTAGAATTTAGAGTTAGTAACTATTATACAGGGTGTCCCAGAAATAAGTACAAATATTTTAACTGGTAGTATAGTTCAACCCCAGAAACACGCCTATGAGGTTCTTTTCGCGAAAAAAAAATTTTGATAATTCGAGATATTTTGATAAAAAATTTGGAAATTTTTTTAGTTTTTAGTTAAAAAACATAATTTCTTAATAATATGGCAACATAGGTATTAGATTAAATTTATAAGAAAGAAAATCCAGAAAAGATCCAGTGGTTCTCAAAATTTTAGCAAAAAATCATTTTTTTGGAAATTTTCAAAGTAAAATAACTCCGTTATTTTGGACTTATTTGAAAAACGATAAAGAGAAAATATGTTTCTTTTATCGAGATCTGCCACCCCTTAAAATATTTGCACTTATTTCTGGGACACCCTGTATATTTTCATTGGAGGATGCTGTCACGGTTGTTTCAAACCAATAATCAACGAGAATATTTGTATAATTTAATAAAATTACTGTAAATCACTATAAATAATGAATAATAAACAAAACATTTAAACAAACACCAAAACAAATTGTTTGTTAGTAGTAGTCAGAGATATAGATGTAGTAATATTTTGGTTTAATAGCCACAGCTGTCAGGGCTATCCGGCCGGGTGATAGAATTATCGTTTTTTAATAAAAATTAAAAAAAAAACTTTAAAAATTATAAAGCTGGAATAGTATACGGTTTTGCATTAACTCTAATTTTTTTTTGAAGTTTATAAAAAGTATTAAATATAAAAAAAAAATATATTATTATATCCTTCAAATCCTTCAAGTTAATAGCTGTTAGTAAGAAGTTCCACTTCAAATATGCGCACATAGTGCATACACTTTTTTTTAATTGCAGATTATTGTCTTATATGAACAAAAAATCCCTGTTGACAAACATTTCTGTAAATGATGTTATTGTTATGAGTTAATTCAAAATTCCATCGTATTAAAACTTGTGAGCAGTGATATTATTTGTTGTCTGTTATTTTTATTCAAAAATATTTATTATATTCTTTGTCACATTATTTCTGATGTCCTCTGTCAAAATCTTCTTTGTCTTACTAGACAGAGTCTACTGATGAACTATCTCAATTTTTTTTATAATTTTTTTAAACAAAACAATATAATGGCAATTAGTACAACTACTCGTATGTTCTTGTGATCTTGCATATTAAGATTTATTTCTGTTTAACAGTTATACAGAGAACAGTTGCCATCCGAGCGTACAAAAACCAGTTAAAGCAAGCAGTATATACGGCAGTAGAGACCGTCATAACTACTCCAGTTTCATATTGAAAGAACGAGTGGACAGTGGTGATCATATACCGAAACAGTCTGGAGAAACTTTAGGAGACGAATTGAATGCCATGATGGAAAACTTCCAAAGGAGCAATCAGGGCACGAGGAGTCTCGTATTGGACGGTAATAAAAACTTTACTATGATAATAATAATAATAATAGTGTCCCATACAGGGTGCTACAAATTCGAGGTACGAGCATTGGTATCTCGGAAACCGTAATAGATACGAAGACGGTTAAATTAGGGCAAAGTTGCTCCTTGGCATGTTCACCAAGATGCCATCAAACATTTTTTAGAAATTTCGAGGATTGCTGGGTTTTTTGGAAAAAACGAATTTTTTTGAAAATCAATTTTATTTTTTCCTGTCGTTACTTTTTCGAAAATCAAAAAACTAATTGCATATTCTCATAACCACTTTATTAGGGCTATCTGATGGTATTTTTAGATTTTCAAATTAGCTGATAATTTGTGAGGTACAGAGGCCAATTTAATTTTTTTAAATACGGACCTGCATTTTTTACTTCAAGTTTTGAAAGACTTTGGTCTCCTGAGTACAATGATATGCCACACTTGATAGTTTTTTTTGTTTTGGATACCTTAACAATAAAAAAACTATTTAATTGTTATTTAAAATAATTTCAAGTCCGACTCTGGTTTTTAATTTATTTAATCTGATTATATTTAGCACAACAATATTGATCAGCGCTAATTGACATTGAATAAGGAAAATCACGTCAATTGAAAGATTCAAATAATTAATATCCAGGTCAGCAATTTAAAGATATCTATTATTTTTAACTTTTTTTATTGTGAATTTGAAAGCCCAGTGTACGATTTAATAATATGCATAATATTAATCGTAGTTATTATAAATAAATCAACTTCTACAAACCAGTTTCTAATGCTCTGCATGTTCGAAAGGGTTACCACCCTCCATAATTTGAACAGATCTTTTTATACTTCTGAACGCATTTTGTACCCTTTAATTGTTTTTTATTACTCGTTAATTGTTTTTGTACTCTTAATGTTGAAATGTATTGATTTCAAATGTCCAAAACAATTTTTATTGATTTTCTTTATTCAATGTTAATTAGCACTGATCAATATTGTTGTGCTGAATATAATCAGATTAAATAAATTAAAAAACCAGAGTAGGATTTGAAATTATTTTAAATAACAATTAAATATTTTTTTTATTGTTTTACCCAAAACAAAAAAAGTATCAAGTGTGGCATATCATAGTACTCAGGAGACCGGGGACATTCAAAACCTGAAATAAAAAATGCAGGTCCGTATTTAAAAAAAATAAGTTGGCCTCTGTAACTCACAAATGATAAGCTAATTTGAAAATCTAAAAATACCATCAGATAGCCCTAATAAAGTGGCTATGAGAATGTGCAATTAATTTTTTAATTTTCTAAAAAATAAGGACAGGGAAAAATAAAATTGATTTTCAAAAAAATCCGTTTTTTCCAAAAAACTCAGCAATCCTTGACATTTCCAAAACTTTTTTGATGGCATCTTGGTGAACATCCTAAAGCGCAACTTTAAAAAACTATTTCAAATATACCTGCTACAAAATAGAACGGGCAAAAGCGCTGCCTCGGGCGATTTTTCGCCGTGGGCCAGAGTGAGAGGATGAGAGATTATTCCTAGGAGACAAAAAATTAAATTGTGTACCTATCTGAGATCGAAAGCCGTTGCCGAACTTTGGTCACAGGCGTAGGCGGAAAAAGTTCAAACTGTGTTTTTTAATTAGTAATAGTTGTTTGGTTTGGTTAATTTATAATTCGTTTATTTTGTTACACTTATTAACTGGACTCGTTTTTGGTTGTTTTGTGTAATAAAGTAAGTATTTGCATGAAAAATGTCATATATAAATGACACATTTCCTGATACATTTATATTTGTAGGGTTTTAGCAATCCTTAAACCTTAAATAGTTTTTTTTTAAATAATGGAACGAAATATTTTTTTACAAAGGAAACCCCTTGCTTGCCAATCTAGGGAATTTATCGCTAATGTATATAGAGTTTCCGATGAAGAGGCAAGAAACAGTTCTTTTAAATTACACCTAAAAAGAAAAATTGATCGCGTGTCTCTATATACTGGGGTTTCTCAAAAAACAGTCCGCAAAATTCATAGAGAAGATGAGGAGCGGCAACGGGAACGTCCAGCTGAGATGCTGTCATCACCACCTAAGAAGAAAACCCGCTTGTCTCTTATGAAAGACTTCGAAGATTTTCCTGTCATTAGACAAACAATAAAAAAGTTTTATTTGGAGCTAAAAGTCGTTTCTGCATTTAAAAAATTACTCCTTAAGCTGCGAGAAATAATGAATTCTCCGTATAGTCGCGAAACATTGAGGATGCTATTAAATGCCAATGGATTTCATTTTCGGAAATGCTAAAAAGGATATGCCAAAAAAATGCCAAATGGAAAGACCCACGATTCTTCATTGGCGGTATAAATATATAAAGTCAATTCGGAAATACAGAAAAGAAGGATGTAACATAATTTACATTGACGAGACATGGCTGGATAATGATTTAACTTTTAGAAAATGTTGGCAAAGTAACGACGTTTTTGGAATAGTTAATAATATTAGGGCAAGTGGTAAGTTTTGAAACCAGTTTAATTTAATTTATTTATCTGATCATGACCATAAGAGTTTTATTTCTGTTTTTGTAAAGTGAGGTCCATTAAGACTGCAACAAAGGGGATTTTTATCAAACAATAATAACTCAACTTATTGCAAGTTAATAAAAATATCAAGAATAAAGAATAGAAACATAAAAATAATACATTGCTTAAAATAAAAAATAAGTTAATCAAGTCGTATAATTTTTTTTAATCAGCTGCACCTAGGTATAAAAAATTTTATCCCGCTTTTTGAAGAGAAAATCTAGAAATAAAAAATAAAAACGTAATCAACATTGAAAATATATTTTGGGAGGTTGACCAGTACATGGAAGAAGTGGAACCTATAATTATTCAAACTGATAATGACAGCAGTGATGATGATTCCGACACCGACACTGACGATGAAAGTGATAAAGAAAATTAGACTCTTATATGTACAGGGTGTTTCATAGACCTAGTATTTATTTTTTGTTTTTTTTATTTAATAGTTAAGTACTTACATTATCAAAGAGACATTTATAATTTACAGTTTAGGTTTCGACCGTTCATAGTTTATTATAATACTTTTAATATTATTTATTTATTTCCAAATGTTTTGAGTTTTTTTACCTATTTGTTTTTTTATTAGATAAGTACCTATTAGGTAGACATTTGAAGTTTAAGACTCAGTTTAAAAAATACCAAAAATACCACAGCGTTCTTAGTTTATACCTAATATTATATTAAGTATATCTATTATTATCTAAGTAAATAATTACCAAAATTTGTATTTACTTCCAATGTACTTATTAAAACTGATTAATATTTTTAATAATAATCTGATTAAAATAAATTTGCACGCCTATGCCAGGAGTAGATTTTTTACACGCTTCCCCTCTGCTGCCTCAGACGTCGTTGCCCTTCATTCAGTTGTTGCACTATCTGTAGAATAATCCATCAAAGTGATATACACTATTTTTTTGACACCATTTATATCATCTACGAGGTTTTAAAGTACTTATTTTGTTTCACTGACTATAACTTGTTTGTTCTTAGAAATAAAAAAATAAGTCGTAATATTATTTGTGATATACAGGGTGAGTCTTAATTAAGTGCGAATATTTTCAGGGCTGGAGTAGATCTCGATAAAAGGAACATATTTTCTCTTTATCGTTTTTCAAATAAGTCCAAAATAACCGAGTTATTCAAGTTTGAAAATTAAAAAAAATGATTTATATTTCCAAAATTTCGAAAGCCACTGGATTTATTTTATTTGCATCTCTTTTAGTGCCGTAACCATAGAGTATAAAGCCGTAACCATGGTAATATCAGAGATTAAAAAATTATACTATGTGGCAAAACGGTGAACTGCCTGTTGTAAAAAGTTTTCTAAAATATACAGAAAAATTTAAATGAAAATGCACGATTTTCAAAATCTTTTTTTTTTGCGAAAAAACCTCATAGATGTGTTCCTGGGGTCGAAATATACCACCCCTGAAAATATTTGCACTAATTTAAGACTTACCCTGTATAAATATTGATGTTTTACATATAAATTTTAGAGAATCCTTCAAAAGTCTTCAGCGCCATTGAGTCCAACGCGCGACTTAGTTACTGCAAATGCAACGTCCTTACAAAACTGGACAGTGTAACAGACGATAACCAGAGACTATCGGAGACTTTGGAAATAGTCAATGCAGAAAACAAGAACAATCTTGAGGTACTTAGAGAAAATTCAATTAAAGTTGGCTTGCATGTCATCAACATATTTGACGAATACACGTCGCAATGTTGCCAATGTTGCCACGACTACTTTTTTTACTTTAAATTGTGACATTCTCTGTCTTCAATTTTAGACACAATACACATACAAATATTTTTTTATATCTACATTATTAATTGTTAAAAATAGAGGTTGATGGTAGAAGGGTGAAAATTTAGGGTTGTATGCATTTTTTAATGCCACATCATAAAAAAATAAAAATAAAATATTTTGTCCAAAAAGTAAAAAAAAAGAAAATTGGGGTGTACCACCCTTATCACTTAGGGGTACAAAAAATAGATAACAACCTATTTTCAGACCTACTGAATATGCATAAAACATTTAATCAAAATCGGTCAAGCCGTTTCGGAGAAGTACGGTAACTAAAATTGTGACACCAGAATTTTATATACTAGATTATATTATTTGACTTTTTTTTATGGATACAACCACAGATACAACTAAGCGTCATCGCAGGCTGTTGCTGGGATATTCTATTAATTTTAATTGTGTATTTTTTAGATATTGTGAATGATTGTAAACTCATAGGTACCGTATGATCGAAAAAAAGACGTCCAGTTGGCTTGGAAATGACGCTCGCGATGACATCTCCCATATAATTTTACATATAAAATGACAGCGATCTTCATTTCATAGCCATCGCTGACGCCGTTTTTATTCGATCATATGGTATAAAGTATAATTGAAACCACTAATTTATTCCACTAATTTTGAGGTTCAGAAAAAAAATTAGGCTAAAAATTTAACAAAGTTTTTTAACTTTTACCACTTATTATACTTTAAAATGAGCAAGTACGTGCACGCCAACTTTTATTGATTTCTCTATATGATATTGCAGTTAATACAGCAAAGAGTAAAAATTAATTTATTTCAAGTATAAGTTTCCTGTCCTACCTAACTAATCCATTATCGCTTTTAATTTAATAACGTTGATTGAGAGAATTGGGAAGATACACAACCTAAAGGGCAAATTCGTGACAAGGCTGGTCTTACCCTTAAGGTCCCCTTACGACTCATGTGCTGTAGGGTGGAGCCTCAACTTATTCTGCGGCCAACGCCTAAAACACTTATTTTCTCTAATTCGGCCAGCGAAGGCATATCGGAGACAGTGTGGAACTGAAAGCGACAGTGTTGCCATATTAAAATGTGTAATATCTGTAATACGTTTGACGAAAATATCTTTGGATTAAAAAACCGCGTTTATGTATTGAAAATTTAGCCGCGTTAAACATAGAATAAACAACAAAAAAAATATAGGTACTTCACTATATTTCGTATGATCGAAAAAAGTTCGTTTAGTTGGAAATGACGATTATTGATATTTACCTTAATATTTTACATATGAAATAACAGCGATCTTCATTTCGAAGCCAACTCTGACGCCGTTCTTTGTTTAATCATAATATCATATTAAATTGTTTAATGATAGAAAATCCGTATTATTAACGTATTGTACCCAAAATCCGTAAATTTACGGATTAATCCGTAGTTCTGGCAACACTGTCTCCGGCAACCACACACTCTGTCGACTGAAAGCAAAACTACGGTGCAGTCATTCTTTATCCGCTGCGCTATAAATGACTATTAGCGCGCAGCGGCGCAGAGCTAAACTAAATCTCGGACAGGCTGACGGTAACGCCAGTTATATCTCGAATTTAATGACACGAAATCGCCTATAAGGTTACGCATCTTCCTATTTCTTCAATCAACGTTAATTTTTTATTTCATTTCAAATCACCCAGATCGTTCGTCAACTGCAAGAAGAACTAAAACGAGCTTACAACGAGAGCGAGCAAACATGCAACTCGCTAAAACAAAAGCTACTAAACGCGGAAAACGAACTAGAAGAATGCAGGGCAAACGAAAGACGCATGAAACAACTTGCGGTCTCGTCTCACAAAAGTCTTGATGACACCGGTGGTGACGGCAGCCAGGCGATGGTGAACGACCTGGAAGCAATGGTGAAAGAGTTGAGAGGCGAATTGATAGATAAAACGGCCGAGATGAAGGAGTTCGAAGAAGAACGTGACCATTTCTGCAAGAAAATCGAGCTGTTGATGGCAAATAATTCCGATTTGTCGAGGAGGGTGCAGGAGTTACAGATGCAGGTTCAGTCATGTAGTAGAGTGGTAAGTATAACCATATCTTCTTCCTTCTTCATACTAGGCGAATCGCCTGTTTGGTTTCGTCGTCTCTACCGGTCAGACTGACAAGTTGTCGCTCCATCGTTTTCGTGGACGCCCTAAGCTTTTGCGACCTAGCGGTGATTTGTCGCGTGCAACTCTTACTATCCTTCTGTCCATTCTGCTGATATGGTCGTTCCATTCTTCCTTTCTGCTAAGTACCCACTCATTTACATTTTCCACATTGCACGCTCTTCTTATGCTTTCATTTCTCTCCCTGTCCAGAAGCATTTTTCCAGCTATTCTGCGTAGTACTCTCATTTCGGTTGTTTCTAGTAGTTGTTTAGTTTTCGCTGTATCAGATCGAGTTTCTGCAGTGTATGTCATTATTGGTCGTACCGTTGCCTTGTAAATTCTCGCTTTAGTCTCCACCTCAATGTTTTTATTTCGCCATATTGTATCATTCAGGCATCCTGCTATTCTGGTTGCCTTCGTTGTCCGTTCTCGCACCTCCGCTTCTACATCACCATATCCTGAGATTTCTATGCCTAGATACTTAAACTTCATCTCTTGCTGAATAACATGGCCCTCGACTTCCAGTTTGCATCTTAGTGGTACTTTTAATGTCGTCATGCATTTAGTTTTCTGGGTCGATATTATCATATTAAGTGATTTGGCAGTGCAATTAAATCGATGTAATAAGCGCTGTAGATCGTTCTCATTTTCAGCCACCAATCTCCTGGTCGCCCATACTGTATCCCTTCAGTAAACGTACATTTCCTATTATTTCGTCCATAATGATGTTGAAAAGAAGAGGGCTCAGGGAGTCACCTTGTCGGATACCACAGCCTACATTTATTGGTTCGGTCAGGACCCCGTTAATTTTAGCTTGAATTTGGTTCGCTTCATATATGTTTTGTATGGTTTTAACGAGGTTGTGTGGGATTTGCCTATTGTAAAGATGGTGTATAACGTCTCTTAGCTGCACACGGTCGAACGCTTTTTCTAAATCAATAAAACACATATACGCTGGTTTGTTATATTCGATTGATTTTTCTGTTATCTGTCTTATGACAAAAACCGCGTCTGTGCATGATCTGCCCGGTCTGAAACCTTGCTGTTCATCTGCTAAGCACGTTAAGTCGTTTATTTTGGTTGTTATCACTTTTGTCGTAAGTTTTAGTGTGGTGCTTAGAAGATTTATGCCTCTATAGTTTGAGGGCAGCTTCTTATCTCCTCTTTTAAACATCAAGATAGTGGTGCTGGTTCGCCATTCATCCGGTATCCTGTGTTGGTAAAGGATTTTTTGAATCAGGGATGTTAGCTGCTGTATGAGACTTTGGCCGCCATATTTAAGTAATTCGTTTGGGATATCATCTTGCCCTGGGCTCTTTTTATTCTTTAGTTTTCGAAGGGATGTAATTATATCGGTTGCCTCAATCTGTACGTTGTCGTTGGTCATTATTTCGGGTGTATTTATTTCAACCATATGTTAGTTATTATTTTACTTCTAAAACTTGATTTTCCTGCATCCGTTATACTGGGTGTCCCAGGCTGAAAGTGCATTAGAAATTTCTAGAGAACTACAATATACAGGTCGGAACACTATTGAAATAAAAAAAGTATGATTCTATTTGAAAAAAATGATTTATGATAAATTTTTAATAGCTCAATTCCGTGACAGCTACGGCCAATATTATACGACATTCGAAAAATCTAATTTTTGAAATAGATAGCCACAGGTCTTCTCTTTATGTCATAGTGGCTATGGTAATCACTAAATTTGTCGTTTAGGCTATACAATTTTTTTTGACAGGCAGTTTTTTTCTTCCAAAAATGTTAATTTTTTTTTCCCATAAACGGTTAATGTTAGGTATAGAGTGTAGTTCAGTCATTGGGGATCAAAAAAGGGGCCTGCTTGGAAAAAATCCGGTAGTTTTGAAACTTTGCAGGTTTATAGGTTTTGGGGTCTCTAACTAAAATCCATAAAATGCACATTTTCAGACTTGCCGCCCCAAGATGGCGCCCAAAATCGGTATTTTCTAAATATCTCGAAAACTATGCGATTTTCGCGAAAATTTGAGGAGAGCAAAATTAAAGAGAATAAAATTTCCTATAGGTTAAAAAAAGGTTTTATGAAAATTTTCGCTAAAGTCAACCGTTTAGGCAGAAAACCCTTGAAAATTTAACAATTTTGCGTAAAATATTATATATTATGTATAGTCGATTTTCCGAAATCAAATGTCGATTAGGGTACACTAAAACTAGATTTAGTTTAGTTTCTTCAATTTTGTCATAAAACAGTGGCGTATCATTAATTCGCTCATTAATTTATGAATAAGTAATTGTCGTACTGGACAGCATTCATTGCGAACTTACCACCAGGTTCAGCATTGGTTGTGTAGAATGGGGTTGGAAGAAAACAAAAACAGGCATTACTCCAGTCACAACGTTCAAAGATCCAGCTCCAAAATCCCTGTTGGCATTTTTATTCTGTAAATGCAAAACCAACAACTATGGTAAAGCCTGCGGATGCAGAAAAGCAGGATTAAAATGTGCAATGATTTGTGCATACTGCAATGGAAAATCCTGTGACAACGTCACTGAAGTGTCACTCGACGAATCCGATGAAGAGGAGTTGGACTTGCCTATAGATATCCCTCTGGCGGCTGAAGATGAAGAGTTGGACGTATTGAGAGACCACCCTGATGAGCCCAGCACAGCAGACACGATCGACTTTGACATCAATGAGCCAGATCCGTCGGGCTTGTGCAGATAAGTTAAAGTTTTTAATTTATCTAGTGGAGTAGGCCTCCGGGGAGACCACGTTAAAATAAACGCCCCATATACTTTACCTCTTGGGTGGTGTGGAAACAAGTACACATTTTCAATAATTAAAATTAATTATTCATAAATTAATAAGCGAATTAATGATACGCCACTGTTTTATGACAAAATTGAAGAAACTAAACTAAAACTAGTTTTAGTGAACCATAATCGACATTTGATTTTGGAAAATCCACTATACATACAGTACATCTGCTGGATCTGTGTCTATGAAAGGAATGCGGACAAAAAACATTTAAACAAACAGCAATATATTTTATACGTAGATTTGACGACTGCGTCACCGCAAATCGCTCCGCCCACTCTTTTTATTAGCTACTTGCAAATTTGTTGAATTTTTATTGATGGGACGCGTCGTCTATTTTTTTACGAAAAACAATGAGAGAATATCGTTTCCCCTCTCACGGATACCCCGTAGCTAAAGAACGGACAGACGTACTGTAATTATATCATATTTTACGCAAAATTGTAAAATTTCCAGGGATTTTGTGCCTAAACGGTTGACTTTAGCGAAAATTTTCATGAAACCTTTTTTATAAGAAATTTTATTCTCTTTAATTTTACACTCCTCAAATTTTTGCGAAAAACGCATAGTTTTCGAGATATTCACAAAATACCGATTTTGGGCGCCATCTTGGCAAGATGGCGGCGTCGGCGGCAAGTCTGGAAATGTGCATTTTATGGATTTTAGTTAGGGACCCCAAAACCTATAAACCTGCAAAGTTGCAAAACTTCCGGACTTTTTTCCAAGCAAAAATCCCCAATGACTGAACTAGTGTTTGATATCAAAATTCATAGAATTTGATAGAGAATTTAAATATGCAATAAAAAATGAGGGTGCCTATTTAAAATAAGAAAGTTGCTGTCAACTTCCGGTATTTCCAGAAGTGCCGCCATATTGAAAATATTTTTAATCGATAGATCTCGTTGTGACACAGTGATGTGCCAAAAATCTCCGATCTAGCTATTTAGTTCCCTAAAAACTTCTAATGCACGTGCAGCCTGGGACACCCAGTATGACGATAGGATGATACGATATTAATTTTATTGGTCGAATTGGTTGGTTAGAATATTAATTAACTTTTAAATTTATTGCATTTTCATGCCTCCTTTCTTCGGATGTATGCTTTGCTTGTGATACATGTCATGTTATATTTTCATTTAAATAGCGATTTCGTTGTTTTACTCATAGTGTAAGAGCTAGCAACGTTTTCGAGAGAGAATTTTAAGAAAGCTGGTTTGCTATGCTCTCCTGAACAGAGTGCGGACCGTCGGGCTGCCGGTAAACGCTACGTTCACTACTGCACATCCATATCTGTATTCAACATCTGTTCACTACTGCACATCACAACTTCTCTCTGTAATTCAGGAACTAATAAGGCTAGGACAAACATATATGTGTAGCATATTTAGTTACATAAAAAGTAGCAAAGTAATGTAAAAGTCGCATCATTGTATCTCTACTCAATAACGAGAAATCCCATAAAACACACGAAAATGGGATACCATGCACAGATGTGATGCGCAGTAGTGAACTGCAGTAGTCTACCGGCAACCAGACGGCACGCACTTTGGTTAGGAGAGCGCAGGAGAGTATAGATATATTAAAGAACCAGCTTTCTTAAAATTCTAGTTTTCCCGACGTTACTAGCTCTTGTACTATTATATTTTTATTAAGGTTAGATTAAATTTGTCAAAAAAGTGTCCAGAACAGTCCTTGAAGACTTTTTATTTTTTTGTACAATTTTCTTCTCAATTCTTTTGCTATTTACTATCTTCCTCCTATTTAGAATTCACATACGAGTACTACTACTGCTACTACTGTCCATACTCGCTGACGAATATTTGACAGTTTCTTCAGTGCCTTCGATCCGTTGGTCAGAATAGAAGGACTTTATTTTCATTACCTAATTTATTCATCTTCTCCAGGCATTCTTTGACCAACTTCGAATTAATGGTTACTAAGTTGATCGCTTTTTTACAACAATCACCGAATCTCGTCGGCACTCTTGGAGGGGATGTTTATCTCAAATTTGGGGTATTTTTTGGCCACTGGTTTGTTTCATTAGTACCTTTTATGTTTTATTTGATCATTCTGTATTTTCAATCACTTGAATAAATCTTTTTAGCCCCCAAAACAGAGCGCGAGCAGTCAAATGACACCCTCCTTCAGGGACATAGAAAAGGAACTGTCGAAAATAAACCAAGACAAGGAAAACCTCTCGAAAAAATTCGAAACCTCCAACGAACTGTTGATGTCCAAAAGCAAAGAGGCGGAGGAAATGAGGGACTACCTCCGATCCCAGCTAGAAGAGATGTTGGCAATCAGCCAAGAAAACGAGGCCTTAAAAGAAGAGATGGAACAGGTCAAGAAGGAAAACGAGCTCGAAGCAGCCAGGCTGCAGAATTTAGTGGATAAATCTCAGCACCAAGTGGCCATGTTGCTGCAAGAACACGACGAGAAGACTCAGGAAATCAACAAGGTGGTCAGCGAGTTGGATTCAATAAGGAAGTGTGTGAGTGTGGATAATAATACAAAAGGTGAAGTGGTACAGAAATTAGAGAGGGAAAACGAAGAACTGAACAACAAGATAAGGCAGTTAGAGATGGGGAACATGGGAGATTGTAAATGTCATTCGGCAGCTTTAGAATTGGAGAGGTATAGTCGTGCTTTCAAATTTATCTCGTGTTGTGAGTAATCGTTAGGAATTATTTTTTGTTTTTATCGGTGTCTGAACAAAAAAAAATCGGACTTGTCTTTATTTATTTTGCTTACACAACGTTTCGGTCCGAAGTATCACTGACCGTTATCAAGTGTGAACTAAACTAAATCCTAAAACTATATATAATAGTTCTAAAAGCCTAAAATCATGAGCCTTTTAGCTTGATTGGTTATCTTTCTCCATTTGTTTCTGTCTTTCGCCTTTATTCTCCACCCATCCACTCTTATCCTTCTCAAGTCCTCTTTTACACCCTTTTTCCATCTGATTCTCGGTCTACCCCTCCTTCTCTTTCCACCTATTTCACGTTTCATTATCATATTAGGAATTCTTGCTTCAGCCATTTCAATGTGTCCCAGCCATCTCAGTCTTTGTGCTCTTGCGACTCCTGTTATACTCGGTGCCCGATATAGTTGCTTTACTTCTTCATTTGTTCTTCTGGTCCATTATTGTGTATCTTCTTTCCTCCAAAAATCTTCCTCAGTAATTTTCTTTCCCAAATCTCTAGCCTCAAACTTTCCGTTGCATTGAACGTCCACGTTTCACATGCATACAGCACTATTGGTCTTATCATTGTTTGGTACATTCTGATTTTTAAACTTCTAGAAAAGTTCTTACTCTTAATAATTTTCTGTAATGCGCTGACACATCTATTTCCTGCCATTATTCTTGCCATCATTTCTTGAGTTACATTTGGATTCCTTAGAAATACGGCTCCTAAATATATGTGAATGTATCTACTTCCTCAAACTTGTATCATTTACCTCTCTCAGAATTCAATTGTAGACATCTTCCCTTCTCAAAATCCCTGTCTGACCACTCCATAAATTTCGTTTTCTTCTCATTAAACACTAAGCCTACTTTTTGGGCTTGATTTTCCAGTCTTTTGGTCACCGATATCAGCTCTTTCCGATCTCTTGCTAAGATAAATAAATCATAGGCAAAGGCTAAGCATTGGTGTCTTTTTGTATCCAGAAGGCCCTCTCTGTTGATTCCCGTATCTTTTATAACTATTTCTAATACTACACTAAACAGTACTGGAGATAGTGGATCCGCCTGTCTTAATCTGTCCCTGATTATAATTTTTTCCGTTGTTTTCTTGTTTACTTTGACTTCATTTGCTGTCTCTTGGAGTGTCAATTCTATCATCTTGGTCAGTTTCTTGCTAACCCCTACTTCTGTTAATGCTGTCCTTTTAACTTTGTCATGTTATATGCCTGCTAAAAGTCGATAAATAGGAGCATTGTCTGTTTTTCGTATTCATAACTGTCCGCTTCTATTTCTCTAAGGGTAAATATTTGGTCAACGGTACTTTTTCCTTTCCTAAATCCACATTGGTACTCTCCAATTTTCTCATCACAACCTCCTCCACTAATATTTTTTTATATATGTTGCCAGTACTTCATAAGCTACATTTAGAAGAGCTGTACCTCTGTAGTTTTGAGACTCACTCTTATCTCCCTTCTTATGTATAGGGCAGATTATTGCTTCTTTCCACTCTTTCAGTATTTCTACTTTCTCCTATACGTCTTTCAGTAGTTCCTGGATGTGGTTTATCAACTTAAACCCTCCATACTTAAATACCTCAGCGGGCATGTAATTATTTCCGGAACTTTTGTCATTCTTTAAGTTCTGGATAATTCTTTGTCATCATCATCATCATCATGTAGCCATCCTTGTCCACTGCTGAACGTAGGCCTCCTCCATATTTCTCCATGTCTCTCAATTTTGGGCCGTCATCATCCAATTTCCAGCAATCCTCTTTACATCATCGGTCCAGCGTGTCGGTCGTCTGCCTCTGCTACGTTTATCTGCTCGAGGTCGCCATTCTAACAATCTTCTAGTCCACCTGTCTTTAGATGTTCTCGCCACATGACCTGCCCATCTCCATTTCATTCGAGTTATTTAGTTTACGGTGAAACAGGAACTTAGTTATTCCAAGCATGACTCTCTCCATGGCTCTCTGGGCTACTCTTAAATTTTCTGCTGACTTTTTCGTTAATGTTAGAGTTTCTGCTCCATATGTAATTACCGGCAAGACGCATTGTTCATAAACTTTCCTCTTCAAGCATATGGGTATATCACTTTTAAAGGTCTCCCACAGTTTGCCAAAAGCAGCCCAACCCAAACCTATTCTGCGCTGTATCTCGTGTGTTTGGTTGTTCTTTCCGATTTTTTTGTATTTCGTGCCCGAGATATTTGTATATATGTGTTTCTTTTATGTCGGCGTCACCTATTCTGATGTTCTGTGTCAGCACTAAGTTTGTCATTATTTGCGTTTTACTCGTATTTATCCGGAGACCGACTTTTAATGAGGCCTGCACCAATTTTTCGAGCATCTGCTTTGAATCTCCGATGTTATCTGAGACAAGGATGATGTCATCTGCGAACCTGAGATGTGTCAACCTTTCACCATCGATATTTATGCCCCTATTCTCCCAAGAGAGTGATTTCATTGCGTATTCAAGGACAGCTGTAAAAAGTTTAGGCGAAATAGTATCCCCTTGTCGAACTCCTCTGCCTACCTCAATTTTATCTGTTGTTTCGTGAAGTTTTACAGTTGTGGTGGCATTACTATATATGTATTCTATAAGCCTTGTATACCTATAATCTACTCTTCCCTGCTCCAATGCTGCTATTATTGATGTTAATTCTGTGTCAAATGCTTTCTGGAAATCAACGAACACCAATGCTAGGGGCCTGTTGTATTCCACAGATTTTTCTATCAGGACTTTAATTACTTGAAGATGATCGTTTGTTCCATAACCTTTCCTAAAGCCTGCCTGTTCTCTTGGTTGATAGAAATCTAGTTTACGTTCGAGACGTTTGGCAATGATTTTGGTAAACAGCTTATACAAGTGACAAAGAAGGCTTATCGTCTATAATTTTCAAGCTCGGTGATATCGCCCTTTTTATGGAGAAGTATCGTTATGCCGTTGTTCCATTGAGACGGGATTATTCCTTTTTCAAGGCATAGATTAAATAAGTCTTTAATCCATTTTAATAGTGTTCCTCCTCCGAGTTTTACAGCCTCAATCACTATGCCGTCCTCGCCCGGGGCTTTGTTATTTTTCATTTCTTTTAAGGAGTTTCTGATTTCTTCTGTAGTTATTTCCGGTATATCCTCTGATCCCCCTGGTTAACTATCTTTTTGCACAGACGTTGTTGACTGTTGTATGTTTGTTGGTGATTACTTGTATATAGTTCAGTGTAAAAGTTTTCTGTTATTTTCAACAGCCTTTCTCTATTTGTTGTTACGACCCCTTGGTTGTCTTTTAGTTTAAAGATCTCTCTCTTTCCATTTGATAGTTTTCCCCGCAACACCTTCATACTTTTATTCTCTTTTATAGTTTGCCTTATATTATCTGTATTAAGTTTTCTTACGTCCTTTCTGATTTCTTCAGATATTGTTTTGTTCAATTGTCTCAGGTCTTCAGAGTTTCTGTTATTTTGTTTTAACATTTCTTTTCGCAAAGATATCATATTCTTTGTATTTTGGGTGAGTTTTTGTTGTTTGTTACTAATTTGTTGGCAGTGTTGTACTTCCGCTTCTTTAATGGCTTCAACAATATTGCTACTTATATTTTCAATATCGTGTTGGCTGTTTAAGGTCCGTTCTTCCAGGAAAGCTGTAACGGAATCTGCATAGTTGGAGTCACTGTTAGGGGGGTTCCATTTAGTATTTTTGTTTTGTCGAACCATCTTTGACCTTTCTCTTTTCAAGTCTATCCTAACCGTCGCGTCGCTCTAACCATTCTGTGGTCGCTTCCGTTGTACAAGATTGTACAACTCTTCAGCACCGTCACGTCTGTTACTACTTCTTTCTTATTCGAAATGATGAAGTCAATTTCGTTTCTTGTTTGTTCATCCGGGCTTATCCAAGTCCATCTTCTGTGTTCTTTATTCTTGAAGAAGCTATTCATTAAGTATAGTCGATGTTGCGAGAGAAAGTTGATCATAATTCTTTGTACACTTTCATAATTCGGTAGGAGTACCTCTTTATTCTGATGTTCTATATTTATTTCATCCTCCTCCTTGTCTCGCGTATCTTCGCTTTCATTTAATAGTTCTTCTAAAATTACTGAGCAGAGCATTCACCCATGAATTAGGTTCGTAGTTTTTTTAGTTTATTTGAATACTTTAAATTTACTTATGTTAAGAAAAAAAAATCTAGTTATTATTTTTTAGTCTAAGAGCTGAACTAATCAAGAAACAATGCACCATCGCTGAGCTGGAAAGCACCCTGGACACTTTCAACAAAACCATGCAGCAATTCGAACAAGACATCCAAGACCTAGTCTGCCAGAACGAATGCCTAAAAAAAGATCGAGAAAAAAAGATAACCACCATAAAAAACCTACAAGAACAACTGGGCAAATCTGCAGACAACCTGAACAAAGCCACCAAACAGCTCAGCCGATCTGACGCCAATTCAGATTTCAACGCCAAAAACATGCGGGCCCTTCAAGCAGAAAACGAAGAGTTGAAGAAACGAATCGAAGCAATGGAAATCGATAAAGATATTTCTCAGAGGAAATTGAAGAGCGACAATTTACAGTTGGAGTTACAGGTCGAAAATGCTAGAGATGAAGTTAAGAGATCGAGCCAAGAGTGTTCCAAACGGTTGCAAAGCCTGCAAAGAGCTTGTGACGAGATTCAGAACCAATGCACCCAGAGATGTAGCACGCTGGAACGTAGCTTGCAAGATGCCCAAAAATACAAAGTCCTAGCGGAGGAGGAAAAGCTTAGATGCGAGTGTTTGCAGGAAGATATTGTGAAATTAACTAGAAAAAGTCAGGAGGACAAAATAGAGAAAATGATAATGTCCGATGAGCTGAGGTCGCTGGAACAATCCTACAACGAATTAAAGAAAACTTGTAGCACCAAGTCTAGCGATAACGAAGGTCCCAAACGTCAAGTGTCATGTGGTATGAATATACCGGTTGTTTCTCAAAAGAGGCTCACCCTTATAACTTTTTTATTTTTTCAGATAAATTAACGAGATTTGGTACGTTAGTATATGACATAATTCAGGTTTAATTGACTTATCCAATTATTTCCGGTCAGTTCCTGTTTCACCGTAAATGACTACAACATGTATGTATGTCCGGTTCTACAGCGTCCTTCGTCGCCCTCCGGTCTCCATGCGCCACCTCCGTCTATTGTCCCAATCTCCTGGTAGTAGGTTCCTTTCCGACATAGCTCTGTCCTGATTCCTTGATTCCAGGAGAGTTTAGGTCGACTTCGTTTACGTTTGTCTGTACGGGTCCACTGCAACACTTGCTTTGGTATTCTATCGTCACCCATTCGTTGTACAGGGTGGGTCAAATTCGACGCTTTTAAATGAAAACACCCTTTTCTATAGGAGATAAACAAAAACTAATATCGGTGTCTGGAGCTCAATTTTTGTTAAAAACGTGATGGTGAAAACCGCATATCGATATCTGTTACCGTTTCGGAGTTACGGGGTGTTTTTCAAAAATATGCATTTTTAACAAATCGCTGTAACTTTTTTGCTATGGAAAATTTTGTATTTTTACGAAAACATATCCAAAGCACCTTTTTACGTAGAATTTAATGGTTTAAGTATAATTTTTTAAAAATTAATAATTTAAGAATTATTAACAGAAAATTTGATTTTTTATATGGGACACCCTGTATATTTTTAATTTATTGAAAAGAATTTTAAATTACCTTTCCAAAAATATAACACACTTGATATTTTGCTCGGTTCCCCTTCGAGATATCGAGTATATATATATAAATTCGCCCGCTTTAATTAAGTAGGCTTTGAACGGCACCGGCTGTAATGCAAAAAAATTCTAGCTGTGAGAATCAGTTAAAACGAAAATAATATTTGCTATGAGAGATGAAAAATTTTATAACAATTTAAAATATATTTAACCAACATCAACACATTTAAACTATATCTAATAACTATAAAAATAAATAGCAAACCAAGACAGGAGATTTTGCTACAGGTGTTCGACATATCGACCGTCTTCTGTTATGGACAGATGGGGCAGTTTCTCGCGGAATTCATTAACTCAGTAGGGGTGAAAGATACCCTCTCATAACTGATAAGTATTTCTAATTCTTATCTAGATTATACGGAAGAATAAGGAACCTTTATTCTTCCGCAAATATATCCATAGGATTAGATCCATGGGCACTAAGTCAGGCGGCCTCGACGGCCAACGGCTGGGATCTTGGTTAGCTATTCAATTATTCTTGAAACTGGCTGCAAAAATTTTCTGATAACTTTAGCGTTCAGAGGCGGTACGTCGTCTTGCTGGAAAAATATGTTTTCGAGTTCCATTAAGGGCATATCATCAATAAGGGGTCCAAAGCCTACTAGTTAAAAGTGGCGAACTTTTAAAATTTCTGTATTTCTAAGGGGATTATAACAAAATATCAAGTGTGCTATATTTTTGGAAAGGTAATTTTAAATTCTTTTTAGTTAATTGAAAATATAGAGGGTGTCCCAAATATAAAAACTATTTTTCTGTTGATAACTCTTAAATTATTAATTTTAAAAAAATTATACTTAAACCATTAAATTCTACGTAAAAAGGTGCTTTGGAAATGTTTTCATAGAAATACAAAATTTTCCATAGTAAAAAAGTTACAGCGATTTGTTTAAAATACAAATTTTTGAAAAACACCCCGTAAATCCGAAACGGTAACAGATATTGATATGCAGTTTTCACCATCATCTTTTTGGTGAAAATTGAGCTCCAGACACCGATATTAGTTTTTCTCTATCTCCTATAGAAAAGGGTGTTTCCATTTAAAAGCGTCGAATTTGACCCACCCTGTACATGAGCGTACCACTGCAGTTGTTTTTCTTGTATATCTTGTACAATGTTACCCTCCACCTTCATTTTTTAGCGTATTCTCTCGTTCCTAATTCTGTCTAAACGGGAGATTCGGGCTGATCTTCGCCAGAAGTCCATTTCGGTCGACAACAACTTCTTTTTATGTTTTTAACTTAACTGCCATACCTCAGAGCCATATAACATTACGCTTTTCAGAATCGCGTTATAAATCAGTTTTTTTTCTGTGATCCGAGATATCCCTAGACCAAATCACCCAGTTCAGCGCTCCTATTACCTTTCTGCCTTTACCAATCCGTTCTTCGGTTTCCTTTTCGTATCTCCTTTTGCTTGCGATTTTTACCACTATATACATATATTCTTCGGAAGCTTCAATTTTTATATTGTTATTTAATAGTAGGTCTTCCAACTAGCCACCAACAAACATATATCTTGTCTTCTTCTTATTTAGCTCCAGTCCCCATTTCTCGTACTCCTTTATCAGTTTTCTGGTCATGTATTCTAGGTCTTCTTTGTCTTGTGCCATTACTATCTGGTCATCGGCGAAATGCAGAGTATACAGAGAAAGGTTGTCTTTAATAGGTATTCCCATCTGAAAGCACTTCTTGCGCCAGTGCTTAAGAGCTTCTGATAGGTAGATTTTAAATAAAGTTGGGGACAGACAACAACCCTGTTTTCGACCTTTTGATACTGGGAATAATTCAGATAGAGCTGGGCCTATTTTAATTCTTGCGGAACAATTGCAGTAAAGTTGCTGTACCGCTTTTATTAGTGTTATATTTATTGGGCTTTTTTCGAGAACTTCCCATAGTTTCTTAATTGGTACCGTATCATAAGCCTTACTAAGGTCCACAAACAGGAGATGAATTTGGTCGTGATTCGTTGCCGTCTTTTTCTCAATGATCTGAGTTATTGGAAATATATTATCAATGCATGAGCGGCCTGCTCTGAACCTGGCTTGTTCTTCAATCTCATGGGGACTAAATTCATCTTCTCTTAGGGTTTTAAGTATTTTTCCGTACAGTCTGCTAAGAGTGTCAGACACAGCTATACATCTGTAGTTAGTGCAAATATCTTTCCTTTCTTTTTTGTGGATCGGAGTTATCCATAACGTTTTCCATGAATCAAGTATGGGCTCCTCGTTAAACAAATGACTACAACATTTGATTTTTAAATGGTACACTAGGTATTTTTTACTTTATTCGATAGAAAATGACACTCTAAATAGAATGTTAACTTTTTATAAAAATCAAAAGTTGTAGTGATTTCCTGTGAAACAGGAAATGACCGAAAACAATTGAATACGTCAAATAATCCTAATTTATGTCATATTCTAACATACCACCAAATCTCGTTTTTTATCTCAAAAAATAAAAAAATTATAGAAATGAGCCACTTTTGAGATACACCCAGTAGAGATGTTACTTACTTGAAATATAATTGAAATGCAAATACAAAATGCAAAATAGCTACTTTTATTTGATATTTAAAATACTCCAAATGCATTTTTTCTGTAGAATCATTCACCCAAGTTTTAGATAAACTATTTTTCTGACACTCTGTACATTTTGCGTAAATACTTTTTTTTTCAAACGCCACAAAAGTATTATTTTTTGACAATATAAAAGTAAAGCACTTTTAGACCTAAGCATAAAAGTACGAAAATATATTATTAAACTGACATAAAGTCAATGCAACGAGCGTAACCATATTTTCTCGATATATTTATAAATACTTACAAGGTATGCCTTCAAAATCTATTTATATTATTTGGAACGGTTGTTGTTTAAAAACTTATTTGTAGCGTTTGAGAAAAAATAACATGTTCTATTCGGTTTGGTTTGGTAAGTAAAAATGAGTTTTTGTGCATCGACTGTATGTCGGACTGGCTAACGCTCGTCCGTCAAACGTACAGGGTGTCAAATTGGACGCTTTTAAACGGAAACACCCTTTTCTATAGGAGATAGAAGACAGCTAATATCGGTGTCTGGAGTTCAATTTTCATCAAAAACATGATGGTGAAAACCGCACATCGATATCAAAATCGATGTTTTTCAAAAATGTGTATTTTTATCAAATAGCTGTAAATTTTTTTCTATGGAAAATTTTGTATTTCTATGAAAACATTTCCAAAGCACCTATTTACGTAGAATTTAATGGTTTAAGTATATATATATTTTTTAGATTAATAATTTAATAGTTATCAACAGAAAAATTGATTTTTTATTTGGAACACCCTGTATATTTTTAATTAACTGAAAAGAACTTAAAATTACCTTTCCAAAATTATAGTTCACTTGATATTTTGTTATAATTCCCTTGGAAATACAGAATTTTTAAAAGTTCGCGACGTTTAACTAGTAGGCTTTGGACCCCTTATTGATGATATACCCCTAATGGAACTCGAAAACATATTTTTCCAGCAAGACGAGGCACCGGCTCAGAACGCTAAAGTTATCAAGAAATTTTTGCAGCCAATTTCAAGAATAATTGAATAGCTAACAGATCCCAGCCGTTGGCCGCCGAGGCCGCCGGACTTAGTGCCTATAACTATGGACCTAATCCAATGTTCTTATTTTTAAATTGCCCGTATAATCTAGACAAGAATTAGAAATACTTAGTAGTTATTAGAGGGTATCTTTCACTCCCCACTGAATAATAAAGGTCGATATGTCGAACACCTGTAGCAAAATCTCGTGTCTTGGTTTGCTATTTATTTTTATTGTTATTAAATATTATTTAAATGTGTTGATGTTTGTTAAATATAGTTTAAATTGTTATAAAATTCTGGATCTCTCATTGCAAATATTAATATTATTTTCGTTTTAATTGATACTCACAGCTAGAATATTTTTGCATTACAGCCGGCGCCGTTCAAAGCCTACTTATTTAAAGTGGGCGAATTTTTATAAACTCGAATCGACCAAAAATATCAGGTGTGCTATATTTTTGAAAATGTAATTTTAAATAATTTTCAATAAATTAAAAATATACAGGGCGTTTCATATAAAAAATCAAATTTTCTGTTAATAATTTTTAAATTATTAATTTAAAAAAAATATACTTAAACCATTAAATTCTACGTAAAAAGGTGCTCTGGAAACGTTTTCATAGAATTACAAAATTTTGCATAGCAAAAAAGTTACAGCTTTTTGTTAAAAATACATATTTTTGAAAAACACCCCGTAACTAAGAAACGGTAACAGATATCGATGCGCGGTTTTCACCATCATGTTTTTGATAAAAATTGAGCTACAGATTCCGATATTAGTTTTTGTCTATCTCTTATAGAAAAGGGTGTTTCCCTTTAAAAGCGTTCAATTTGGCCCACCCTGTACAGTCTCGCCAAGAAAAGTGTCATTTTTACTCCTAGTAAAACAATTACCGTATGATCGAAAAAAAAACGGCGTCAGCGATGAATTATATGGGAATATGGGAAATGTCATCGATCGTCATTTCCAAGCCGTTTCTTTTTCGATCATAAGGTACTATTCTTCAAAGCGATTTTGTATGTGAAATAACGAAAAATAACCAAGCATTTGCATTTTGTATTTAAATACTGCTAATAAACGATTTTGCATGTCTCTAGGTACGACGCCTGAACACAATTCTTTTCAGAAAGAAAGTCAGACGCCCAGACAAACGCTACGGGATGAAGTCACGGAACAACCGTCAGTGAAGTTCAGCTTTCAAAAGATCGAACCTAAACCCCCCAAAACGTGCCAAGCTATTCAAGCTCACAAGCAGGCTCAGATCAGTAGAGAGGAGTACGTAAGCCTTCGAAAAGAGTACAGAAAAATAAAGAGCATGCTCGGAGAACATTTGAAAAACTACAAGGCAGAAGGGGTGGGTGTTGGCGGTACCGGCGAAGTTCAGGGCAATTGTGGACAGAAGTGTGTGGTGGGTGAGGTGACTGGTCAATTGAAGTTCAAGGATATCGAGATGATGAACTGTCAGCAGAAGTTGCAGGAGACTGCTTACGAGATCATAGAGTTGAAGGATTACATTTGCAAATTGACAGCGGATAATAATACTCTTAAGACGGCTATTAATAATCTGATTAATAATTTGGAACGAAAGATCAAAGGTAAGAACATCTAGGCATGGGTGTTGATACAGGGGAGTAGATTTGGGAGGAATTATAAAGATAGTCCCTTGCGCTTTGCTTTACAGGGTTATTCACGCATACGACACAGAGTATTGTAGCTAAACGATTAGATTTTTACAAACTGCAAATTTTGGGTTCGTCGAAGGACTATTAGAGCTACAATTTAAAAACGTTTTACAAGATATACAGTGTCCCAAATAAATAAGAAAATATCAAAGTTCTATTTTTTAAACGGAACACCCTGTATATTATTACATTTTTAGTTTCTACGATTAAAATAAAGGTAAATTTGATTAAGGTTTACCGCATTTTAATCTTACCTTTTTTGAAATATTTACGTTTTATGGTAAAAATACAGTAAAAATTGTAATACTTTATTTCTCTAGGCGTATTTAAGTTCTTAAAACCAAATGTTGTAATGAGGTTTTTCTATTTACTAAAAATTTTGTGTTGCAATAACAAAAATTATACTACCTTATACAGGGTGTTTAAAAATGTATTGTAATTAATTAGTAGCTTTAAACGGTAATAACTTGTTTAATTTAAATGGAATACCTTGTATATTTTATGAGAATCAGATGCACAATTTAATAGTCTATCAAATTGTATTATACCATTTTTTACCTATTTCTTCAAGTTTTCGTAGAAAATGCATTTTATTATAATTTAGACTTCATTTATCAATATACCCATGGAATATTGACATTTTAGATTATTCTTAAAGATGTAACAAATTTTTAAGGAATAAAAATACTAATATTGTCGATATAGTTCGTTTATTTAATTAAAAAATAAAAAAAAAATGTTTAAATATTTGTTAAAGAGCAATACCAAACCAATTAATACGATTCCGGTATTCAAACTACATTAATTAATTGACTGTTTGCGTTGATTAATAATAATTGCTCCAAATACTAAAAAACTGAACTTTGTATGTGCAACAGTAAACAGTGGTGGTAAAAAGTAACACTTTAAAAATGTTATTTAATTTTTTGACGAATGCATATTTATAACAACAGAGACGTTCATTTTCATAACTTATTATTATATTGATTTCTGATTCAAATCCACATTTATTGAGAATAATTTATTAACTAGTACAATTAAGTATGTAGTTAATTAATATTTGGGCGGAAATAATGGTATATTTAACTCTTTTATAAATATTTAAATAGTTTTCTTTTTATATACAAATGGGCTAGCAATATTATCGTTATATCGTTATATTCTGTACATTTGTTGCTTTAAAAAGTCAATATACATTAAGTCATTACAAAAGTCATTACATATACAATATATCTAAAATGTCAATATTTCATGGGTATATGAGGGACAGGTAAAAAATAGTATAATACAATTTGATAAACAATTAAATTGTGCACCTGATTCTCTTAAAATATACTATGGTGTTCCATTTTATATGAGGTAGTATAATTTTTATTACTGCAATCCAATAACTGATCAATAAATAAACTTCAGTAAATATTTAGTATTAAAAACTCTGATACCCTTGGAGGAAAATTTTTACTGCAATTTCACAAAATTGAAAATATTTTAAAAACGGTAAGGTTTAAGTGTGATAAACCTTAATCAAATTTACGTTTATTTTAATCGTAGAAACTAAAAATGTAATAATATACAGGGTGTTCCATTTAAAAAAATACAACTTTGATATTTTTTATTTATTTGGGACACTCTGTATCTTGTAAAAATATTTTAAAATTGTAGCTCTAATAGTTCTTCAATCAACCCAAAACTTACAATTTGTAAAAATCTAATCGTTTAGCTACAATACTCCGTGTCGTATGCCGATGCCGCACCGTGAAGAACCCTGTACAATATATTACAATAAATTTTATACTTTTTAAAGGAATGTCTAGTCTATGTCTGTCTAAACGTATAAGTACATACTTTTCTATATATATTTTAGCTCCCATAAAAGGCCAATCTGTGGAAGCTATAGCGAGTGAAATATTGCAGAGTTTGTCGAACATCGAGTCGACCATAAGCAAAAAATGTGTCACCTGTGAAACGAGAGAATGTACGTGCATTGCGGAAATTATGTCACAGTACAGCATGAACGAGGCCCCTTTTTTTAGATCAGCATTTAAGCAAAGATCGCAAATGAGTAACCCCTCGTACAGTTATTCCGACACTCAGAAGGAGGTCTCAGAACACATGTCAAGGACCCTGGTAGATTCATCTACGGATTCAGACGATTGCCCATGTCCTAAATTCCTAGAAAATGAATCTGTCGAGATCTTTAAAGAGAGCTTGCAGGAATTTAGTCAGAAAACCATTCACAGTTCTACAATGAAACAATTGGCGTGTGGTTGTCAGCCACATGTTCCAAGAAAATAAGTAAACAATAGCTTTATGTTTTTTCTCTATGTTCTATATTTTTTTGTACTTTCTACATCACATAATCATGTAAATAAAAAGAGTAATCTTTCAATAGTTTTTTAATGATTTCCTTTTATGTTGTTGTAAATGTAGATTGTATGGTAGGGAGAATATCATTGGAATATTTTTCTAAAAAAATATGTGCGCTACTGACTTTTTCTCTTCTTAGCAAAATTGTGTAGACCGATTAAAAGTTATCTTGATATAAATATCTTGATATTTTATCGATTTCCTTGATGAGATAACCCAACTAGCATTTATAGTGGCAGATACGTATAATAAACGCCACGAATGTTTGGGAGTGATTCATCGCTTGATGAAGTTATAATCGACACGCGCGCTATCATTTTTACATTAAAAACGTAATTTTTTACCGCAGACGTAGGTTTTTAAAGGCCCAGTCTAATCATCTGCCTGCGCTTCTCCTACTTATTCTAAAATGTTAGCGTGATTGACAAAGACGATACTATATCGCGTTTCTTTGATTGATTCGTTTTTGTGCGTCAGTCCATTGGTATGCTTGCAGTGCGACCAATGGGGCATTCCATTTTATATTTATAACCAATAATATGTTTTGACAAGACTTTGACAGTTAAAACAACAAATTACAACAGATTATAATATATTGATTATTATATGACTTGAAACACCACGGCACTGGAATTACTTACTTATGTGACCTTGAACCATATGAACTAATCTTAGTTCATATGGTAGCGACCGATGAATCACTCCCAAACATTAAGCAAACATACTTGTGTCTAGCCCTAGCAGGCAACTGTTAAGCCCGACCAATCACGTTAGAGTTTTTTTCAAACACAAATGAATTAACACACTCCAAATAACCACGCTAACCAACCTGATTGGTCAAGCTTAATAGTTGACTGCTAGAACTAGACACTTCTAGCAAACATTCGTGGCGTTTACTATAACTGCTATACGTAGATACGTAACTAGTATACGTAACTATCAAAGCCACTACAAAGTGGGCGGTGACCATCGGCGGCTACGTCGTATATTCGTAGCTGTTAAGTAACTGCGACCAAAATGGGGAAAGATTAAAAAAATAATAATAATTTGCTTGAAACTGGGGTCAAACTTTAAAATAAAATTCCACCGTCAGAAATAAAAAAATAACAATGAAAAAAACTTTAATTTAGGTACCGTATGATCGAATAAAAACGGCGTCAGCGATGGCTTATGTTTATGATATTATAAATTATATGGGAAAAGTCATCGATCGTCATTTCCAAGCCAACTGGACGCCGTTTTTTTCGATCATACGGTATATTTAGCTTCAAAACACCATATTAACACCATATACCATTTGGCTGTTCGTCTAAAAAGTCATGAAAAAAATATACCCGTTTATCCGAAAAATACTTTATAGTTCCATATGCTTCCACAAAGTACCGGGAACAATAACATATTAGGCCAACCCTACCCGTTTGGACCCTTAAAATCTTCGGATTGATAAAGTGACAATTGTAGCTACCCAAAGGCGACTTTATAGAAACAATAACTTTTTTGGAACTACATGGTCCACGATCCTTTGGAACCATAAAGTGATTTTTTCCAAGAAAGTTCCCTGCGCCACCAAATTGCCACTTAATTGGTGCGTTATGCTCTGGTTATGCTACACCAATCGCGGCAGTGGCGACTATACATTCCATTGGTGCCACTATAACGTTCCGCCTTGTCCTTTGAAGTTCCCATTTGGCGACGTGAAGACGCGAATATGCCAATTCAATACAGAATAAGACGGCATTAAATTTTTATTCACAAGGCATTTTACAAAATTTTAATAAAGCTTAAAAGCAAGTAAAACTAAAACAGAGCAGCACACGATGCAATCTGAGGCAATTGTCAGTGTCCCGAATGTTTTTTTCTAAGAGACAGCATAGTAATTTAGCTTGGACTCAGCTAATTTAACTCAGACAATAAAGGAAGAGAGATAATATAAAGCAAAAGTTATGTTATGGTTATCAACAATAAAAGAATAACTTTTATTTACTATATTTTTAAATTTTATTTATTATTAGCTCTTACCATTACAGAAACATATAAATAAATATACATATAAATACTAACAGCAATCTGCACCAGACTTTTTATCCCTTTCCTATAGGTTAGTACTACAAGCATTCTCACTCTTAGAACTAGTTATGTTACTTAAGAAATTTGAAGATAATAGTGAATGAAACTTGTTTTTTAAAGTTAAAGAATTAACACTGAGGGACTTGAGCGACTGCACTGCCCCCTGCAGAGTCATTTGCGATTTGAGAAGCTGCTGTTCAACGGAATCCAAAGTTTTACCAGCCTCATTTAGGGTACTTTGTACAAAATGTTCCAGATTGTTGTACAATGAATTATTTGACTCTCCTAGAAATTAACATGCATTACAGAATAAAATAGCACTTATATGAAGGAAAATATTACTTAATTTTTGTTGGAATAACGAGTCATATTCAATATTGTCGTTCGGATCGTTTGAGGGGTTTATGAGATGTAATGCAGAGACAGCACTCGCAATACTGGCATCATTTTCTAAAAACTTAATATAATAACAAAGAAATATGTTTTTATTAAAGATTTTATTAACCATTATCCGATTCAGAGTCCTCTCCAGGAATAACAGCACCTTGCACCGAATTTACCACTTCAAACTAAAATTTGACTGAGATAAATTTATGGCAAGAAATAAACCAATAAATACCTTAACAATTGGTTCTTCTTCATCTTCACTCTCTGTTTCAGGAGCTTCACCTAATACAACTACACGATTACTCATATTACAAATCAAAGAAATAAAAGGAAGTTTATTTCTTATTTCCAATGTTTATTTACTTTTTTTTTATGATAACCTCAAATTTTTAGGGATTGTCACTGTCAATTTGGTAGAGATGTATAAGGATATCGATATACTGAAAATTTTCGATATTGAATTAAAAGACGCTAACTCAGAGATATAAGGCAGGGAGAAGATTAAAGGAGATCTACAAGGGAGATCGATAAGTATTAATAGCAGCTTATAATTTCTAATTAATCACAATTAATAAAATTAAAATTAAAATAAAGTTAATAAATTATATATTTTACATAATTTATTATTAAATAGTGTTAATTAGTGTAAAAAATCTAATTTTAACAAGTTTTAACATCTTGTAACTATAAAACTATGCATTTCCATACCCATGTTATAGAAACTTTTTTCATATTTTTTGATGCGGAATCAATGAGAACTTATTTAAAACTTTCGCAAGTTAATGATACTAAATATTTTTAAAGGTTGCTATTAGACCTGGGTCAAGGCAAATTAATAAAATTGCATTATTTCATCAAGGAGACCGAAATCGACAATATTTCGCTAGCAAGAGAAAAACAGTCAATGGCATACATGCTCTTTTTTAGAAAAATATTCCAGTGACCTCTATGCACCTGGTGGATATGTCGTCACTTTTAACTTTAAAATATCTCGCATTTATATTTATTTATACATTCGAAACGGTAAAAACGGTAAAAAGACTTTAGCACCCTGTAGCTAGGAAACAAAGCAGAATCGGACCTATGTTGATATGAAAAATAAATCTTATTTTTACGTGAAGAATCTCCCCACGAGAGATGGCACATGTTTTTTTGACACACCCTGTATACTATAGATAGTAGTTCAATTAATGTTACGAGATATTTTTAAGATTAACAGCTAAAGATGACCGTCCAGAAACTTATAATCACTATTACTTTCTGACCTCTCCACCACGATCAGAATTTCTGATTACGATCATGCGCATTCTTCCTACCTCTACATCCCTGCCTTAACTCCACTTTGAACAATGAAAAATACCGGATTAATATAAATATCTTTATTTACATAATATACATAAATGAGTGAGTTAAAACATGTTTGACTAGCAGTAAAAATCTTGATCATCTCTGAGCAATCCTCTAGGTCCGTCCGTGAGCTCGCAGAGCCCGAATTTTCTGGAAAGCACGCAATTGCTTTTGGGGCTTCCCCATCTCCCTTTGAAGCGCATCCAAGGCAACGGCGCGCTTCTCCCGGAATGATGAAATTTTATGGAGGCCCACGTTTTCCAGGGTGTACCGTAACCGTTTTTGTCCCGAATGCTTGGGATTCGGACGAATTCGTGTTCTCCCGGAGCTGCCCAGAGACCGTGGGAACCTTCCGCGGCAAATAAGACTGGATGGCCACCTATTAATTTAAAGAAATAAATATCTTTTTTATTAAACATTTATAAATCTACTTCTGGTGTTTCTTTAATATGCATGGTAACCCATTGTTTTAGAAAGTTCCATATTTGGTGTCTTTTTAAGATTTTTAGTCTGATTTTTTTACAAATTACGTCGGCAATAATAGCGTCCATTTTGAACATATTTTCATAAATTCACAAAGTGATTCAAGTTTATTTTTATACTAATAATAATAGCTCCCGTATATAGCGTTTAACGCCTTGGGAGTAGCAAGGTACAGCTTGCCATACTAGAGCCGTTCAGTATACAAGGAAGGTAATGTGGCTAGCTCTACGCTTCAACCGCCTATTATTACCTCAGGATTGTGAATCCCAAGTACTCATTTAAGGCTGAGTCGACCTAGATACCCAAACTATTTTTATTTTAATAAAAATAGTCGTCTGATACAATGCCGGGTGTGGGAATCGAACCCACTACCTTGAGATTGGTAGACGAGAGCCTGTACCTCTACGCCACCGGGCACCATTATTTTTATGCTAATATACTACATATATACACCATATTTTTATACTAAATAGGTAAATCTTTGAGAGAAACTTTGGACTTGAAATTAATCCCTTCAAAACAAAAATTATGATTATCGACAGACAGAACAACAACAAACCTGATGTAGTAAGCATTGGTCGTTGCAAGGTTGTAAGTCAATATATATATATATCTTGATCTTGGGTCACTTATAAACAACACAGGATCGTTAGAAGAAAAAATAAGAACATGTGAAATGACAAGAGTGGCAGTGCGAAAACTCTCAAAGATATGGCGAGACAAAAATATAATTATATGACACTTAAAAGAAAGACCTGTTTACTGCCTAATATTTCCTATATTAATGTATGGCTCCGAGTCCTGGACGATGAGACAGACAGAAATAAAAAAAATTGACGCAACTGAGATGTACTGTTGGCGACGAATGCTCAGAATTCTGGACTGTCCGGCGAACCAATGAATCCATAATATAATAACTGAACATCACAGAACGCCTCTCAACTTCTATACAGTCACGTATACTTAAAAATTTCGGTCACGTTATGAGGAGGGATACTGACTGTATGGAAAAACTCATTATACAAGGTTCCAGGAAGAAGACCAAGAGGCCGCTCGCCCTCCCGATGGATAGACCAGCTATCAAAGATCACCCACAAGCCACTGCAGGCGCTTGTGCATGAAGTACAAGACAGGGAATTATGGAGACAAACCTCACACATCACCTGACCACTATACATTCCTCTTGTAAGAATAAAGATAGAGAGGGAGAGAGCATATGCAGTATATTTGTCATCATTTTTTTTTCTTCCCAGGAATACTATAAGCTTCATTTAGAACTTAGTGGAATAAATTACTGGTTTCAGGTCAGTGTAGAAGTTTGTTCTTCTTCTTCTTCTTCTTAGGTCGCCGTCTCTCTTCAGAGTTTGGCGATCGAACTGGTTATGATTGTGCGTGAAACCGCACCTCTGAAAATTTCAATCGATGTTCTTCCGAACCAACCAAGCAGATCCTTAAGCTAGGAGTTTTGCCTTCTTCCCACTGATCTCCTGCCCTCAATTTTGCCTTCAATGACCAGTCTGAGCACCTCGTATCGTTCACCCCTCATGATATGACCGACGCACAGTGGAACGAGCTTATGGGAGCGGTTGGACATGAGGTTTTCTTCTCAGCACTTTTAATCCAAAAGACGAAAAAATTATTTTTATATACCGTAATAATGTATAAACAGAACAATTTTAAATTTTAATGAAAGAAAGTGGTTGGCTCATTACAAACCATCCACAGGGTGACCTAAAAATATAGTATGTTTTGGAAAAATCTTAGAATTTTTAAATGCTTATAAACTTTGCCAAACTGTCGTGGAATGTTTTAGTTTTAATCTTTTTAAAAAGAAATAGCGTTAGATTTTACCACTGAGATCTAGGACTACTGATACCGTGTTATAAAAATATGGTAATTAAGGGCTTATATTTTCCTATTTAATATAATTTTGCTAATATGTTCGGTTTGAAAAAAGATATCAAGATGCGGTTTTCACTGACTTTTTAAGCTTTTATTACTCTTTACTATCAGCTAAAATTACATATATTATCGCATTTTTTTGAAAAAACGCGCAATGTTTGTTAATTGTAAGACAGCGCCCCGTAGCGTCTACGTTCAAAAGCTTAGTATTATTTTTTATATGGTATAATATAGAGTAAGAAACGCTCTTTTAAGTGAGCCCCCGCTAGTTGGATTCCGTCCATCCAGTCCGGAGTTATTAATATTTAAATAAAAGTAGATCTAACTTTCCCCCACCACTTTATTTTGGCATAGAGTGACATGGCTAACAGAAAATATTCAGAATTTACTGAAGATTATGAAGCTATTATTTATACTACCCTTTATCTAGGCAAAATTGTGTAAAAACTCCATTTTCTTATTTTTTATAGCAGTTGTGCCCTCTAGTGGCCATTCTACAAACTTGAAAATAATTTCCAGCAATTTCTCATGGCCTCTTTAGTTACGAATATTTTTTTCCGCCGGCCTCACGGCTAATACTTTCCGAGATATAGCCGAAAGCTATTCTTAGCCGGACACCCTGTACAATTTATTATAAGCAAAGAATATAACAGTAAATCAACGCACTAGAATATTTTTATTACAAATAAAAAAGCTCAACACTGCACTTTAACCCGCTTTCTTTTTCCATAAGTTTTCTATATATTTGTAGCACCCTGTATCTGTTTTTGATTTAAGCGTCATTTTGTATTTATGCAATTAATAATTAAATATTAATAAATTTATAAAAAAATAAAGATAATTTGACTCTAAAAATTTTAAATTAATTTATTGGAATTGAAAACTTTTTTGATTTTGGTATAGCATGTATTAGTAATATAAAAAATGAAAATGTTTAGAGGGGGGCAACCTGGGGCAAGATGTTAAATTAGTTTCGTTATTAGAAAGGCTTAATCTACCTTGTGACATATATAAAGTCTTGGCCAACTTTGGCCATTTTTTTATTTTTCTACATACACATTTTTTTGCTACTAAATATAGTATTTAGTAACAAAAAAATGTTTATGTGTCTCTTATATACAATTATTGTTCTCCCAAACTTTTGTGACTATATATATATATATATATCTTTTATTTTAAAGTGAAAACAATCGTTTGCACTAATATGTATGGTTAAAAAAAAGTATTAATGTCTTTGCCACTTTTTATAAAACTAGGTTGTTTCACAAGAAATGAACACCATAATTAAGTCAGTGTAATATCTTCATTTGAAACTTTTCAAACAGACATATAATTAAAAATATTTTTTTGAGTTGGATAAAATATAACGGTCTGGACTTTAAGTAATTCAAATCTTCTACCAAAATTATTTAATTTAAAATTTTATTTTTAAGTCAATGTCCAACATTTTATATTGGGTCTTTCCACCGTGCGACGTACTGTAACTTCCTTTCCTTCACTGTTGATAGGGGCTCTTTATCTTTGCCCATCCGCCTGCGAGCACCTCCTCATTTTGTCACTCTATCCATCCAGGATATACGCAGCATACGACGGTACAAGTACATCGCAAAAGCGTTAATGCGGGTTTCCAATGTCTGGTCGAGTGTCCAACTCTCAGAGCCGAAGAGAAATACTGGATAGATGCAGCAACGCAGCATACGTATGCGCAGTTGGAGGCTTAGATCTCGGCTGGAGAAGAGAGGTTTCATGGAGGCAAAAGTACGTCTGGCCTGTTTGATCTTCGCCCAAATTTCAGTTTTGGTGTCACAAACGTCGTTTGTTCCTCTCTTTATTCTAATTTCATTGCAAAAACATGTTACAACATAAAATATGAGACAATCTGTTTCATCCTCACGATTATATCATTCTCAGCTTATTCAACCATTTCCAATTATGGTGTAGCCTCCCTAACATATTTAGATACTCTCTTTCTAATTGGGCTATTGTTTGGTTCATTGTGGTCTATTGTTGGCTACGCGGGCCCAAGTTTTCCCTGCTAATTTCCAAATATCATGGTCCCATCTCAAGTTTGGTCTCCTTCTAGGTCTCTTAATTCCTAGTGGGTACCATGCTGTAATTTATGTGGTCCATCTGTTGTCCGTCCTTCTTGCCAGGTGTCCTGCCCATTACCACTTGAGGGATTTGATTCGGTGGATGACATCTATTACCTGGGTCTATTGTTATATCCACTCTATTCTTTTACGGTCTTTCTTAGTTATTCCCAGCATATTTCGTTCCATTGAGCGTTGGGCGACCTGCAGTTTTCTGATAACGTCCGTTTTAAGAGTCCAGGTTTCGCATGCGTGACTGGTAGTACAGATTGGTCGAATGTTTTCTTCTTTATTCTTTAGATAAAGTGACATTCTAGATTTTTCAACCTGTTTATATTTATAAAAATATTTTTAAAATGTGTGCTACTATTGTTTGCATATTTTACAAAAAAAAAACGAGTGAACATCTCATAAAGAAAAACAGTTATGCAGTTTTTACAAACATTGGGTCACACTGTAATACTAATGTTCTCCAGTGTTTTACTGATTAACATACCTTGTAATCTTACATATTCGGGAAATTCTTTTGTTGTCGACAGGTGTGCGAGCTTTTCTTTCTTTAATCTAGATTCAAATTTGAAAGTATTGGTGGCTTTTTCGTAGGTGTAATACGCTCCTAAATCATGAAGCGATAAATAGAGTTTTTCAGGATATTCTTTTCCGGAAAACAACAATGTCATATGCTCCCAGTCGCCAACATGGTTTCCCATTTTCTTGTAACGCCCGAAACATTTGCTAAAAATCAAAGGAGTCGGCCATTTCCCTAAAATGTTTATTATTTAAGTAATCTGTATGATAAAAAAACGGCATCCAGTTGGCTTGGAAACGACGATCGATGACATTATCCATATAATTTTACATACAAAATGACAGCGATCTTCATTCCATAGCCATCGCTGACGCCGTTTTTTTTTCGATCATATTGTATTATTAATTAATGGTTTTCAGGAATTTTAGAGTATCCATTTCGTAAATAAATATAGGGAGTAAAGATAATTTATACAAGGTGACCAATGTACCAAAATAAATAAAAATTAAGATTCCTTAAGATATTTTATTCCTTTTAAAAAAAATCCAATAATATATAGCCTTTGATTTTCCGTATTCAATGTTTTACCCCACGTCATTATTAAGTTTGAAAGCTTATCAATATTGTAACGATGAATAGATTAAATATTTAAAAAACAGAGCCGGACTTGAAATTAGTTTAAATAAATTCTCCTCAAATTCCTGAAACAAAAAAAAATTAAATGTGGCATATCATTGTACTCAGGAGACCGAGTTCTTTCATAACCTGAAATAAAAAATGCAGGTCCGTATTTAAAAAAATTAAGTTGGCCTCTGTATCTCACAAATTATCAGCTAATTTGAACATATAAAAATACTATCAGATAGCCCTAATAGTGTGGCTATGAGAATGCGCAATTAGTTTTTTGATTTTCTAAAAAGCAACGACAGAAAAAAATAAAATTGATTTTCAAAAAAAAATCCGTTTTTTCAAAAAAACTCAGAAATCCTTGAAATTTTTAAAACTTTTTTGATGGCATCTTGGTGAACATCCCAAAGCGCAACTTTGCCCCGATTTAACCATGTTCGTATCTAGTACGGTTACCGAGATATCAATGCTCGTACCTCGAATTTGTAGCACCCTGTATATTTGCTAGGATTTTCCAAGTTCTCCTACCGGCGCGGCGTACTTAAGTATTCTTATTTTCTTAACTATATACTCTAAATTAAATACCCTGTATTTTATATTATAAATGAGTACGAATGTCTATGAATATTTTCCTTAAAAATAAAAACCTCAAATAAAAAACTTAATATAGAGGTTTATCGGAACACTGTGTCACCTTGTATTGTCGTTTATAATCGTACTGAAAACTATTTTATTTATATTACCTATGAAACAAACATCTTTTCCTTCATTATATGGGTAAAACATCCAGTAAGACACGTGAAAATATGGTAAAGGTGATTTCGTTTTATTAAAACCACTCTTCGCAACATTTCCTTTACTAAAATGGTTGCAATAGGTGATTACAGCATAAACAGGAACCGTAGGACTCAACTTCGGACTTTTACCATACAAGAACGACGAAGAATTGGTTTTTAGATCATCTAAAAACCCATCTCACTACAAACAAAACTGAAATATTTATTTTCTGATTATTCTTGACTTACCCAAAGGTACGCTGGGCACCAAATATGATTTTTTGGAGTTGTATCGCTTGGAGTGAAATCTGGAAAGTTGTCTACTTTGCGATATGATTTTGGCGTTTTCGTCTGCAATGTCTACGTTTTCTAGGAACTGTTCCACGTCGAGGGGCATATATTTTTCGTCGGGGGCAAGCCATATTAGTGGAGACCATTGCTTAACCAAATTTTCTACTAAAAAATTTAATAAAAAATGTTAGATTAATTGGTTTTGGGATTCTATTTTGTTGTTAAAATGTTGTGAAATTTATTTTTATTCAACTTATTTTTTATTATTTATGGTTTCCTTTACAGTGCAGTGTTTCACATTTCATAAACGTTTCTGTAACTTTTTTATTTTTTCAGAAAAAAAACGAGATTTAGTATTGAATTGTTTTCGGTCACTTCTTGTTTCACCGGAAATGACTACAACTTTTGATTTTTAAATGACACTCTGTGTGATTTAAGTTTACGATATTTATAGCAAAGTAAGTATTGGTAAGTATAGACCATCTAAAGTAAATACCTAATATAGATTTGATTTCAGGACAGTTCTTGTATTTGTAATTATTTTTTTAGTATGGTTCAAAAATATATATATATTTTTTTATTTATTTATTAATAATATCTATGAAATTATCAAAATATATTTATTCATATCATAGGATTTTGTAAAATATGAAGGAAAAATCATTGGGTGGCTTTGATAAAAATTTACTGTGGAAAATGCCATATGAAATATAAAACCGCGAATATCTGCGAAACCGTTAAACATTTTGAACTACTCTAAATACAAAAAATGTTAACTTTTTAATTCTCCATCTATTGGAAAAATAATATACAGGGTGTTTATCAGACATTTAAAAAAAAAAGAAGAAAAATTATTTTAGAAAGTTTAGCATAGAATCTTGGATATCCTGTATGATTTACGATTACCATATTTATAGCAGTAAGTACCAGGTCAGCTAAAGTAAATAACGAATAAGATTTTGATTTCAAGACAGTTCTTGTGTTTTTAATATTTTTTTAAGAAATGCTGAAAATTATATATTTTTTATTTATTAAGAATATCTATGAAATTATCAAAATATATTTACTCATATCATAGGATTATGTAAAGTGATCCGAAAGGAAGCCAAAAATGCAATAATATACAGGGTGTTTCATTTAAAAAATCATCCCAATCCACTCTTGATCGATTTCGATCTGTTTGCGGCTGAGACAAGCCAATATTCCCCGCAACATAAGAAAAGCATTGATTATACTTCTGAACGTATTTTGAGAAATGCTTGTAGTGTAGAGGGAAGTGTAATAACTAGAAATGCTTCTAGTGTAGAGGGTGGTAATCAGTAGAGAATAATGTTCTAATATGAATTCTTTCATTTATCTATATCTATACTAATATATAAAATCCTTAAGTGACTCACTGATTAATCACGATCCTGCTCAAAGCACTCAACGTAAGATGCTCAATTTTGGCATACAAGTTGATTCTAGGGTGTAGAGGTTCGATAAGCAGGGATTTTTCGAAATTCCAGTTCCAAGGGGAAACCACCCCTCAAATATTACAATATTTTTTATTTAAAAAACGGTCAAGTTTCTGAAAAAAAAACGCTTAAACATCTATATTTTATTTTGTTGTTTTTACATATTCTAAGATTTTTTTAAAAATGTATACGGGTGTTTCGAAAAATCTGGTCATTGATTAATCACGATCCTGCTTAAAGCGCTTGATGTAAAAAGCTGATTTTTGGAAAACGGATTGACTTTAGGGTGTAGAGGTTCAATAAGAAGGGACTTTTCGAAACTCGAATTCTAAGGGGGTAAAACCATCCCTCAAATATTAGAATATTTTTTATTTAAAAACCGGTGAGTTTTTCGGAAAAAACTCTTAAACACGTATATTTTATTTTGTTGTTTTACATATTTTAAGGTTTTTTAAAAATTTATACAGGGTGTTTCATAAAATATGACCATTGAGTAATCACGATTCTGCTTAAACTGCTTGACGTTTAATGCTGATTTTTGGCAAACGGATTGACTGTGGGGTGAGAGGTTCGAAAAGGAGGGGTTTCTCGAATCTCAAATTCCAAGAGGGTGAAAACGCCCCTCAAATATTACAATATTTGTTATTTAAAAAACGGCTAGTCTTTCGGGAAAACGCTTGGACCCGCATAATTTATTTTGTTTTTTTACATATTTTGAAATTTTTTAAAAAATCATACAGGATGTTCCAAAAAGTTGGGTAATTCATTAACCACGATTCTGCTTAAACTGCTTGACGGAAAAAGCTTATTTTTGGCAAACGGATTTTTCGCGAAAGTTAAACTCCAACGAGATGAAACTACCCCGCAAATATTACCAAGTTATATAATAATATCGCCATATTGTTTTTTCTCATGCTGACATAAATGTAAGAAAATTTTATCCATTTTGTGTGTTAATGGAAATTCTTGCTTTGCTTTATCATCACCATTACAAATGATTAATTCGACGCGAACGAAGTCGCGGGTACACGCTAGTTTCATATATTCCCATTATGTAGTTTATGACGAATACAAAAAAAAATAGAAAATTAACTTGGTGTCACTTAAATATGGTCTCTTCCTCATTCTTTGTAACGCTATGTTACGCTCAGAGCGCTTTTTAAAAATTGTCTTACATAACCTAGGACATCAATTATTTATAATTATCTACCACAATAAATAGTTTAAATGGAGAAAAAAAAGCGACGGTACTCGACATACAGATCGAAATGGTTGGTGCCTTTGGAGAAAGTTTTGTTTATATTATCAATTTTTGTTCATTACCTTTTTAAATTTTACTTACCCACTTTTCCTCTGATAATAAACGCTAAATGGCTTTAAAATATGTACGTCCTTAAATAAACATACCGTATGATTAAAAAAACCGCCAATTAAGTTGCGATAGAAATGCGAAATAAAATAATGAATATTGACGATGTTTTTTTTTATTATACTCTACATGTCCCTTGCTGAGCTTGCATTAGAAGTACCTGGTGATAAAAACCGGTGTCAAAGTGGGCTGAGAAATGACAATTCGTGATCATTTTGGTGAGGTCAATCTCTAGACGTAATTTGTTTAAGTGCAAACCTAAAGTGCAAACCTTTCTATTCTAGGAGCTACAGATGCCCGACACACTATTGCCGGGCCCTGTATTTAGCTTCATTTCATTAAATATCATATTAAAACTTTTTTCACGTTTTATAAGTGTGTATAGTTAAAAGTTACGATATTTTATTCTTCAAATGGAGAGTCTTGAGTTAGCAAGCGGCGTTAATTCCTGCATTGTAATAGCACTGATTAATCTAATTTATTTTATTACTTTTAATCATATTACATAAGCAATGTTTGCATTAGAAATGCATTATTATAGTCTGTTGTTATCTGGGTTAATAACAGTACATGTTGAAATTATTGCAATATATGATACGTTAATATATTTTTTAAAAATAGAAATTAAAATATTTTGAGGTAATATTACTGGATTATGGCCCTAATAACTTCTTTTTTTTTAAATTTTTTTTACAAATTTTAAAAAACTTAAAAGTTCAAATTTTTTTAAAATTACCGAATCATGTAAATTAATTACAGTTGAGGGTTGGAACCTTTGGTGTTACACAGCAAAATAAAACACTAAATCACCACAATACACCAATATATCAACAATTCTCAAACATTAATTTACATCAAAATAAAACACTAAATCACCACAATACATCAAAACACTTTTACTTTTACACTGGACGCGCGTTTCGCTAACCATGTTAGCATCATCAGCAGATGATTATAAACTAAATTTATTTATAATCATCTGCTGATGATGCTAACATGGTTAGCGAAACGCGCGTCCAGTGTAAAAGTAAAAGTGTTTTGATGTATTGTGGTGATTTAGTGTTTTATTTTGATATAAATTAATGTTTGAGAATTGTTTGTAATAATTAGTTAAGAATAGTTCTGTTCTTAAAGGGTTAATCCTTATGATACTTTTCGAAATTTCCTTCTCGTTTTAGAGAAAATTAAAAAAACCTGAAAGTTTAGTCCCAAAAAATACGTTTATATGGTAATGTCATTTCGTTTTCATTCTTTGATAGATTTCCTTTTTTGTCTAAGGTAAGGACAGATTGTTATTGATAAAATTTTAATTAACGGCATATTTATTGATGGTTTAAAAAGTTAAAGAAGCACAAAATTTATTTAGTTCAATGCAACGGAAAGGGTGATCATAGTTATCGGAAAATGTGATACTTCATAAGCAAAAAATATGACGTTAACCAAAATTAATAATAACCATCTACCAAAGAATGAAATTGAAATTATTTTGCCACAGAAACGCCTTTTTATTGTTATAGGGTTTAACAGGATTAACAATTTTATTATACCGTATGATCGAAAAGCAAACGGCGTCAGCGATGGCTATGAAATGAGGATCGCTGTCATTTTATTGTAAATTTATATGGGAAATGTCATCGATCGTCATTTCCTAGCCAACTGGACGCTGTTTTTTTCGATCATACGGTATTTATATAAAAAAAAATGGTTTATTATACATATTATTTATAGTTTCTCAAAATGTCAATACTAAAAAAAATCCTTTTGTAATACTCTATATTTATTTAAACAATATTTATTCTTTAGTTATTCTGATTGGATGGTATATTGTTTTGTTTCATTTATTTGAAATGTTTAGTATTTTTAATTTCTACATATTAATTAATGAAATATGCAACTACATGCTTCATATTTTATGAAAATAGCTACATCCTAATATAACAGGAGAATTTTATAGAAGGATTTAACAATTAAAATATCTTACTAATATGCTTTTACAGTAAATTGTGTTTTCAACGATTAAAGTAACAAGAATCAAATAAAAATGAACTTATTCCAATCTACTGCAAGGCTTTAGAGACAGTATATGCTACTATGGTTATCTGTGGTATAACTGGTTTTATTGAACTTGATTTGGTTTCTAAGCGGTATGGCATTTGTCTGGTTTTGTTACTTGTTCTCTTTTAATTTGAAAAGAGATGTATTTTTTCTTTATTTAGTTAAAATCGGCTTGCCCAAAATTGTTCAAGTTTTGCATGTGTATTTACTATATGCAGACCTTTAAAAAATTATATACGGCTTCGCTGTAAAACTAACAGGGGAGTCAATATTTGGACAGTTCATATTAAATAGTTTAGAAAATCGATAATTCTGCATCTTTTCATTAAAAAATGAAATAATTTTGAATACATTTTTTATTGAATTTGATATAGGTATAGGTATCTACTAGGGTTCGGGAAACTACATGTTACTTTTAAAAACTACATAAACTACATCACATGTAATTAATGTAGTTTATGTAGAGGATGTAGTTTATGTAACCTATGTATGTAACTTCACTTAAATGTCAAAGGTTTGAGGTGAGGTTATAATAAGTTGAAGCTTTAAAAACACATAATGTATTTAAGAAAACAGGAGAAATATGGCTTTAAATATAATATTTACATCATATTATCTCTATTACACCTCACACAAAGGAAAATTATTCATAATAATATCAATACATAGTTTATTAACGTAGTTTTCATGTAGTTAATGAACGGGAAAAGACGTAGTTTTTGAAGAAAAACTACACGTAGTTAATCAGGTAAATTACGCCTTAATTAACAACTTCCGAACCCTGGTATCTACTAAGAGTTCAATAATATTCTAAAAATACTCTTTTGGATACTCTGAAGCCTCACTTAAGAGCTGTAAACTAAATATATAAAACTTGTGACATATAAATACATAAACAGGGTATTAAAAATAGTGTATCTAACTTCGGGGGTTGATTTACCAGTAAAGAGAAAATGTGTTTCTTTTATCGAGATCTACGAGGCTTGAAAATATTTGCACTTATTTATTGACACCCTATATACAAAGTACTAACTATTTAGAGCCTTTGCTACTTACCAGTAACATTACCCTTCTCTTTAGCTGCACAATATAATTTAGTAAAACTTAATAAAAAAATATATACAACCCTTATCGCAAACATGTCTGCTTATTTTTTAAAAAATACAACAATTCTGTCCAACGTTTTTTTTTATATTAAAACACATAAAAATTTAATTTGATTTATTTTTTATTGTTTTTGATATATGCAAAAAGCAATTAAAAATTTCCATTTTTTATGTGTAAAAAGAATACGTTCTTAATAAAAATGTTTTAATACATGCTGAAAGGTTTTTAAAATAATTTTTCACTTACCTTTTTGTGTATCAAACCAATCGGCCGCACAACGAAAAACATTGAAACTTATTAAATAAATAAATAAAACCACTTTTCCAAACATCTCTTCACCCAAACCATGCTCATTTCTTCTATTTTTATTTATTAATTTTATTAAATTGTTTAATAAAAATCTCCATTATCCACTACAAATGCCGCAAACCGTTGTTTTGATTCTTCTTTTCTTCTTCTCGATCAAAGAAAACATTTTAAATTTCTTCAAGCTGTTCCCCACCATTTTTTCAATTAAACTTCAACGGTATGCTTTCTCTTTCTGTTATTTTCCGTGTGTTAAAAAAGGAGAGAGCATTAACTGACCTGACCGAACCTTATAAATCGATATCAACGATTGAAAATCACCTGATACCCGTGTTGTATGTTGTTTCTTTGTTTGATGGACTAAATGTGAGAAGAAACGATGTATAAGTAGGACGTGATAACCGCGTAAAAGATCGGTAGTGCTACTTTTTTAGAATTAAAAAAGAGCGTGTGAAAGTGGGACCAAGTTCTTTCTGTTCTAAATCCGTTCGGTCAAAATCAAAAGAAAATAATTTTGTTTGGTTTTTCGACAGGCTTTTTTTTAGAAATTAATTAATTAATTAATTTTTTTCATTTAATATTGATATTTGGATAAATTTATTGTATCTACTCAATAAAATAATAAATCATGTTAATAGTGCAAATTTTAGTTTTTTATAAATACAAGATGACATTAAATTTGTGGTTTTTAAATTACAATAATGACAGCGGTCCTCATTTCATAGCCATCGCTGACACCATTTTTTTTCTCGATCATATTGAATTTCAAGTGAGGGCTGTAAATGCTATTAAGGGCTGTAACTTACTCAGGAAGTATTTTAAGGCATATTTTCATAGGAACTTTTTCTTTGTAGGCTCTAAATAAAATACTGCACCAAACTTCAGTGATGAGTCACTGAAGTTTGGTGCAGTATTTTATTTAGAGCCTTTACAGAAATCGTATACAGCCCTTGTTTGAAACGCTATCTTGTAATTTTTTAGATCATATCTGGTATATGTAATTATATTGTTAGTTGTATTAATACACTCCATTAAAATTCTTACTAATTAAAAGTGATCCTTTAAACGTAAATATATTGAAAGCCGTTCACTGTTTCGAGCTAAATGAAGAGCGTGTCAAAAAATTCTAGCTTTTTATGCCATTTGTTGAACTTACTCTATTAGTACAGTCAATCTGGCACTCTAACTCCCATCAAATTAACCCCGCTCTCATATTTTGCATACGTAATTAGGATTCGAAATCTGCAAGTTAACTTCGCGGATTATACCATCGTAATCCGCGTAAACATTCTATTTTTTTTATCTGTAGATTCACTGAAGTTTGGTACACTTTTTTTTTGATACCCTGTATAAATAATAATAGAATTTTTCGTTATCTTTTTTATTCAAATGTATATGCCATATGAATAAAAAAACGGCCTCAAGTTGGTGTGAAAATAACGATCGATGACATATTCCATTATTCCATTATATTATGATCCATTATATATACTCCATTATATTATGATCAATTTCCATTAACATACAAACTGGATAAATTTTCTCACATTTACCTGTGATATAAACCGTCTGGAAAACAGTCTGTATTTACGTCAAACTTGCGAAGACGAAATAATAAACATAATAAAAATCTAAAAAATAAAAAAGCTCCTGGTTATGACAATATTAGCTCGGATATTATTAAAATAATTTCGGGAGATATATCAAAGCCTTTAACGTTTTTGATAAATTATTGTATCGAAAGTGGTTGTTTTCCGAACTGTCTTAAAGTAGGTGTAATTAAACCATTATATAAAGGGGGTGATAAGGAGCATATAGGCAATTATAGACCGATATCTATATTATCAGTTTTTTCTAAAATTTTTGAAACAGTTATAAAAAAACGTTTGTTAAAATTCTTTCTAAAATTTAACATAATATCAAAAAAAACATTTGGTTTTTTAGAAGGCAAATCAACACAGGATGCCGTTCATGCATTGACATCATCAATCTATGATGCTCTAGACTCGGGACATCGAAGCCTCTGTATATTCGTAGATCTCGCTAAAGCATTTGATACGGTAAATCACAAAATACTTTTTAGAAAATTAGAGAGATATGGAATACGAGGAAACAGCCTTAGTATTTTAAAAAGTTACCTTAAGAACAGATCACAATATGTTAATTTGGGAGATATTAATAGCAAGCCAGGAAGGATTGAGCATGGTGTACCACAAGGCACTGTGTTGGGTCCGTTATTATTTGTTATTTATATTAATGATCTACTTACAATTAATACAAAAGCAGAAATTTTTAGCTACGCAGACGATACAGCGATATTTTATAAATCTAACTCTTGGTCGAATTTGAAAAGATTAGCAGAGGAAGACTTTCAGACAATTAATACCTGGTTTATCAAAAACAAATTAACATTAAACTATGACAAAACCAAATATATATCCTTCTCTATTTATAAAAATAATGAACCAGATTGGGACAGATTACAAATAACCAATAATAATGTAATACCGGAATGTGATTTTATAAAATATTTAGGGGTTACAATCGACAAACATCTTAAATGGAATATTCATATTAATAATGTAACTAAAAAATTGCGAGGATTGTTGCCGAAATTTAATTATTTGAAAAGTTTTTTGGACGTCAAACAGCTTAGAATCCTGTACTCATCCCTTGTACAATCTCATTTGACATATGGAATTCTAGGGTGGGGTGGTGCGGCTGAATGTCATTTAAAGAGCTTGTATTCTGTTCAAAAATGGTTCATAAAAATTATTTACAATAAAAAGAAAACTTTCTCTTCAAACGTTCTCTTTAAGCAGGCGCATCTACTGGATATACGTCAGCTATACTGCCTAGATGTTTTAAAATTCATTTATCAGGGGAAAATATCTATTGAACATGTTGACCATGAATATGAAACTAGACATAAGGCGTTTTATCCTAGTTTATGCTCTAAAACTGTTGGACAAAGATCTTCAAAGTTTTTGCACCTCGATTATATAACATCTTACCAACCTTCCTAAAGGATGTTAAAAGTTACTCTGGTTTTAAAAAAGGGGTATGCAAATGGATGGTTGATCGAGGTAGAGATATATTTAATGACCTAGTTAACTTAAAATATACAAAATAAATTTTCATAAGTGCCAGTGAACATTATATATTGTCATAATTAAATTGTATTCCTTTCCACGTACAAGTAATTCTATTACTTTGTGGTAATTCTTTTAACGTTTATTTTGATTCTTAAAATTTAAATATAGTCTTAGTTAAATTGTACTTAGATAATGTGTATTAGATATAGTAGCATATTATGTTGTATTGTACTGTACTATTTTATATATGTTTTAATTTCAAGAGAAAATGTTTAATAAACGTCATTATTATTATTATTATTATTATTATTTATGTCAGCATGAGAAAAAACAATATGGCGATATTATTATATAACTTGGTAATATTTGAGGGGTAGTTTCATCTCGTTGGAATTTGACTTTCAAAAAATCCGTTTGCCAAAAATATGCTTTTTACGTCAAGCAGTTTAAGCAGAATCGTGGTTAATCAATTACCGAACTTTTTTGAACACCCTGTATGATTTTTTAAAAAAATTCAAAATATGCGTTTTCCCAAAAGACTAACCGTTTTTTAAATAACAAATATTGTAATATATGAGGGGCGTTTTCGCCCGCTTGGAATTTGAGATTCGAGAAACCCCTCCTCACCGAACCTCTACACCCCACAGTCAATCCGTTTACCAAAAATCAGCTTTAAACGTCAAGCAGTTTAAGCAGAATTGTGATTATTCAATGGTCTTATTTTATGAAACACCCTGTATAATTTTTTTAATAAATCTTAAAATATGTAAAACAACAAAATAAAATATACGTGTTTAAGAGTTTTTGCCCCAAAAAACTCACTGGTTTTTAAATAAAAAAATATTCCAATATTTGAGTTTATATTTGAAGTTTCACGCAATTAGAAATCGAGTTTCGAAATATCCCTTCTTATCGATCCTCTACACCCTAAAGTCAATTCGTTTTTTTTTATCAAATCAATGACCAGATCGACACACCCTGTTTACATTTTTAAAAAATCTTAAAATATGTAGAAAACAAAATAAAATATACGTGTTTAAGCGTTTTTTCGGAAACTTGACCGTTTTTTAAATAAGAAATATTGTAATATTTGAGGGGTGGTCTCGCCCCCTTGGAACTGGAATTTCGAAAAATCCCCTCTTATCGAACCTCTACACCCTAGAATCAACCTATATACCAAAATTGAGCTTCTTACGTTGAGTGGTTTGAGCAGGATAGTGATTAATCAGTGAGTCAGTCACTTAAGGATTTTATATATTAGTGTAGATAGTTAAGTAATTGATTAACCACGATTCTGCTTAAACTGCTTGATGTAAAAAGCTTATTTATGGCAAACGGATTTTTCGAAAGTCAAATTCCAACGAGATGAAACTACCCCTCAAATATTACCAAGTTATATAATAATATCGCTGTATTGTTTTTTCTCATGCTGACATAAATGTGAGAAAATTTTATCCAGTTTGTATGTTAATTGAAATTGTTGCTTTGCTTTATCATCACCATAACAAATGATTAATTCGACGCGAACGAAGTCGCGGCTACATGCTAATTTACATATAAGATTACAGAGATCTTCACTAAGCCAACTATAACGCCGATTTTTTTGATCTTATAATAGCATTCTATTTACAAAAACTACAATTATTTTAATATAAGTTTCCAACACTCCATACATTTGAAACAAAACAATAACCAAAAAAATTACATACATCCAGGGTGTTTCAAAACAAATGCGAAAAACCTGAGGGGGTGATTCCTTGTTCAAAATAAAGGGTAGTTTGCTTCATAAACGTTGAGTCAAAAGTCAACCATTAGGGAGATATTGCGGTACAAAGATGGCGGAAAAATAATGTTTTTATTTTTTATCTTGAAAACGAAAAGAGATGGACTAATAAAATTTTATGGAAGCATTACTGTTATGAAAACACACTTTCTGGTAATTTTTTCACTTTTTTAAAATGAGTGGAAGGGGTTGAAATAAACTATCCCTATCATTCTTGTTAACGAAATTTAAAGAAAAATCTTATCAAACACATGCAA